TCACTTAAAACTGAAACCTTGCTCATTTTACCCCCTGAGCAGTTTTCATCCTTAAACATCATAGTCTTATTTAGAAGACTTTTAAAAAATAAACCCATTTCATCAATATTGAAAACATCATTTTGACTGTATCCTTGAAGTAAAATTGGTAACGTTTCATTTAACCACTGCTCACGTACTTCAAGAGGGACAGCTTTAACTCCTCCATGAAGAGTGCGAAAAACATAGTGCAAAGGAAGGGGCAAGATATCAGCTCCTAGGTTTCCTTTCTTGCTTTAAAAGATCCAAAAAAAAATCGAGTTAAAGGGAGTAAAATTCGAGTAATCGAGAATAATTAACATGAAATTGAAGATAAAAGGGTCGGGACCCCTTAAAAAAATCTAGTTATAGTAATATTCGAGTTATCGTACTTCGAGTTATAGCGAATTGACTGCATATATAAAAAAAGTTTTTTAAAAAATTTTAAATATAAAATTAAAATATACTAGTAACAAAAAAAAATCTAGAGTAATAAAAACAATAATCATTTATATTTTTATCTTAAATACTAATTAGATTTTAAGCATATAAGAGGTTAATAAATCATTCAGAAAAAGATTAAACGAATAAGGAAAGTAGATACTTTAGCTGGACTGATTCAAAATGAAAATCTGAATCAGAACTTGAACTTGAAGAGGAATCGTCATCTTCAGACCAAGAAGAATCAGAGTCACGGTACTCTCCTACTTGCTTGACCTTAAATATAATATAATAAAGACTTTTAATTAAACATTTTTACATAATAAATAACTATGAAAGTAAAATGCTCATAAATTAAATTCATAGAATAATAATAAGAATAGAAAAAAAAAGGAGCCCCTTTTATAGGGCAATATGCCTTAGAATTTACAGCTTAAAAGATTTTCCGTATTCATATTACATCACAATTTCTTATTAGAAAATCTCATTTTTGAGTACTTTTCCCAGTTTTTTACAAGAATATAAAACTCTGCCAAAAATAAGAAGGGTATCTTATAATCAACTTTTACCAGAATAATAAGTTATAAATAAAATACTTTTTTTTTCCCTTCATAGCTTAGAAAACCTGTAGCAATAACAAACAATCAATCATGATACACAGGCCATATTGTTAGCTGTTTCTAAAAATGTAGTTTGCTTCTTATATAGTGCTTTCATATTTGAGACTGATTTAGACAAAATCTTCAAACACAGACACAAAATTCATATTTAATGTTCTATAAATATAATGTCTAACTATGGGGAGATTTCCGTATTGTGATCCGATCAGAATAATAGTAAAGTCTTGGAAACTTCCAGGCAGTGGCCAGCGAGAAACTAAATAAACATCACAGAAAGGGACTAAATAGAAAGATATAACTCGTAACTACCCCCGGGCAAACATCTACATATTTTTTTAAAAAACATTTGCAAGTTTAAAATCTATTTGGCACCCTGGCTATTGTAGTTAGTGCGACAGATCACGATACAGAAATATCCCCTAGCCATCTTTTAGCCAATACGTCAAAAACTTTTGAAATTTTATTAGATTTGTAAAATCATGGAGACAATAAAACAATTCGGATATTACTGAAAACATAATTAAAAAGAAAATAAAAAATAGTTCAAAATAATTTACTTCAAGTTCAACCAATTTTTTCTCTTCCTTTGAAGCATTTGCATTTTCTATTTGTTCACATTTCTCATGATTAAGAACATTATCTGTACTTTCTTTTGCTTCACTTATTTGTGTGCTATTAGTGTCATTCGCAATGTTAGAGGTATTTTCAACATTTAGTTCAGAAGAGTTGTTCAATACAGTTTCTGTAAATGTTAGATGAGCTTCTGATTCACCAAAATCATTTAATAAACTTAAAATATATTCAACACTTATATCTTCTTTACCTAAAGGGCTGTCTGACTTTTTTGCACCTTTTCTTTGTTTACAATTAATATTCTCGGTTTCGCCATCACTGTTTGATTGAGACATTGCACAATTAATTACACAGGTCAATGCTTGAACAGATAATTCACACTGTCATTTGAAACAACTGGAAAAACAATATTATTGAAATTGTAAAACTAAATGCTTTATTACTAATTTCATATTGGTCGTGAGAGAGTAAACAAACGCTTCCCTACACGTGAAGCAAAAAGAACCGCCGGAAGGCCACGAACGTTCCGCGAACTGCGAACGATTATGCAATCCATTGGACTTGAAGTGAATAAATTTTTTGAGAGAAAATTTAGAAAGAAAATGAAGAAGGAAGAAAAGAAATCGAGAATAAAGAGAGAAAAAAATATATTGAATTCGACTTCTCACTATATTATTTTAATTTTCTTTTTTAAATTTGATTTTCAAACTATTCAGTTTTTTACTATAGTTATAAAAGTTCAAACTATTGTAGTTTTTATAGGATTGAAAAAGTTTTACAAATTACAAGGAGTACAAGGTTCCTTAATGAACTATTCTAATTTAAAAAGTTTCAAAGCTATGGTGCACGTTATTGCCGAGGAGTTTTGCAAACACCCCATTCTTTCATACGATCTAGTTCAACCTCCATCAACCTTTTTTCTCCTCAGCTGGGCGCTGCGTGATTTTAAGTAAATAACTTGCTTCTGTTACTGAGACGACGAAGTTCTGGTTTTAATTTTTAATTACTTGATTAATGTAAACAAGATGTATGCCCGTACAGGTCGAAGGTTAATCGAGAAAATTCTTAGTGGTCGAGAAAGTTTAACTTCACTTAATAATTCCAATAAGCTAATATGGAAATATAGCAATGGTAAGTTATTATACAAGCATTGTTTACAATTATTGTGTTTATGTGATAAGCTTTTTATAATTAATTCCTGATTTTATGAATGTATCGTGTAGAAAGCAAATATCCGTTTTTGAAATGATTATTTGATTTACACTGCTTAATCATCGGTAGATAAATTTACAATGAATCAAAGGAATAATCTCGAAAATCTTTGGTCCATATGCAAAACAAATTCTATTTTTAACAAAATATTAAAAATAGAGTTTTTTAATTCTTTTCAAAAGAGTATTTGTGTTTTATAAAATATACAAATGGATGGATAAAATATACAAATGTTAACTTATTTTGCAATATTAATTTTATTAAATAAAAGTTTACATGGTTGATTAATTTTTCTATTTGTCACAGCAAAATTAATTCTAAATACTTTGTTTAGAAAACAATTTTAAAAAATATTAAAGAAAATTGTTAAATAAACAGTAGTTATGTAGTTAGTTGGCCTGTAAAAAACTTACAAGGGAAATTGAAATTATAACTTATATATTTAAAAACAAATTGAACAGAAAACAGCATATTTCTTTGACCCTAATATTATGCTTTTATTTCTAGTTTAAGAAGGAATTAATTTACGAGCCTTTTATTGATACCAGCATGAAAACATGGTACAGTACAGAACCCGTTATCCGGAAATTGGAAAACCAAAAAACCGAAACGAAATTCGATAAATTTTCCTGCCATTTTTTTTAAAAAATGTTTTTTTCCTCATAAGATTTTAGGATTTTTCTTTCTATTTTGAAAGATGTTTACCTTACCATCATTTTGGAAATAATCATTAGTGTATTACTTCATCGTTTTTTTCTTCTTTTTAAGATTATTTCTAAATATTTTTTTTTTTAGTTGGGTTTAACAACAATAAAAAACAGCTTTTTGTAGTGATTCAGAAAACCGGAAAAATCAGTTATCCGGAATAGCGATGGTCCCGATCGTTCTGGATTATCGATTCCCTACTGTACTACATTAAAATTAAAGCTATTTTATTTTAATTCCTTATTTAAATATTTTCTTATTGTGATCTGTCATGCCAACTACAATTGCCAAGGTGCCAAATAGATTTTAACTTGGAAATTTAAAGAAAAAAGACACGTGGAAGTTTGCCAGGAAGTGACTACGAGTTATACCTTTCGATTTGGTCCCTTCCTGTGAAGTTTTTTTTTTAGTTTCTTGCGGGCCGCTGTTCGCAAGTTGCCAAGACTTGGCGATTATAATGCCGCAGATCACAATATGGAAATCTTCCCTATTTTCCTATGAAAGTTATCTTGTAAACTGAAACTGTTCCTTTTGAATTAAAAATTAAATCTAGATATTGTTATAATAGATAATATCTTGAAAAATCCAAAAGAGCCCAATAAACCTCCCCCCCCCTTTTAAAAAAACCATACAACCTATCCAAGTTGTGGTTTTTTATTTATTCCATGAGTAATATTCTTGACATAAATGCTGACAAATTTTCACATCTCAAGCAAATTATGTTATGGTAAAGGAAAATAATCCTGTTATAATTTGTTTGTTTGAAAAAAAAATAAGCCTTTGAAATTTAATAGATTACTTTTGATGTAACTCATTTCTGTTTCTTACTTAAAATTTCAAACTACTAATGTAGTTGAAAGGGCATTAATCATAGTGAGGTTTTCCTGCATTATAGTGTTTCAGCGAAATTTTGTAAGTACAAACAAGTGTAGAACTCAATTACTCCCCATTTCATGAACTTTTTACTAACAGAATTACTAAAAAAAAAATTTTGAAAATAAAATTAAAAAAATTTGTGATTAATGTATTAAAAGAAACATCATTATCTTTAATTAATTTTAACTTAATTTTTGATAAAATGTTTTGTTATACTTCTTGTTAAGTTAAAGAATGATATCTATAACTATCAAAAATGTAATTAAAATTGTTAATTATAGTTAAGTTTACTAAAATATTATTCAAAAATTAATTATGTTTTTAACTTATCATTTAAAATTGACATAAAGTAAAAGACTGTTAAAAAGTCACAATAAAATTTTATTGATAATAAATCACATATCAAACATATACATGCAAATCCTATATTAAATTCACTACAGCATGCTAATTTTTATAATCATACTCTTAAGCATGAATGTTCTAATTGATTCTTCAAATTTTTAGTTAGTCACATCAGCATCACATGATATAGATTTTGAAATTATGCATAAAATGGAAGTAGTTTTTTTTTTAAATGAAAAGTAAATGTAGAAAACTTCTAACCATCTAATATTATATTAAATTTCATTTGTGTAAATTTAAGCTACTCTTAGAATGCTTATTGTTAAACAATCCTATTGGTCCTTTTTAGTTTCTCCATTTTGTGCATTTTTTTAAAAATTATAATTTTGTGTCACTACACTATTTTTAAGTGCTGATGTAGTTTTATTAGTATTTTGCATCAAAGTTATAGGAACTGGTTATGTTTTAAATTCATTCAAAGGTGCATTTGGAGAAAAATATCTATTAAAATGCTTATTGTAATGTGTATTATAAATATTTTAAGTTGAAATATTTAACTCTCTTTTTTTTATATATAAAAATTTAGAACACAGACTTCTTTCTAGTAAAGCACAAGCTAAAACAAAGGAAACAAAGCTGGTACAACAAATGAAAAATAGAATTTCAGGTAGTGGTCCTATTTCAGTTGCAGAATATATGAAAGAAGTCAACATTAATCCCATGTCAGTAAGTATTTTACCCAAATTTTAAAGTGATTTTTTACTTTCATTTATTATATAATTGACTGATTTGGTAGATTTTTTTCTCCTTCAATATTTAGCTCCTCAATCCTTCTGTAAAGAGTTCTGCCTATCCCTGCTGTTTTTGTTTCTACTACCTGCTATCAATCATAAAGTCTTCTAACTTAAGTGTGTCCAAAAATTGACTAGAATTTTCTTTTTGCATTACAAAAGAAGAAAAGGTTTTAATTGCTTCAAAAGCCTCTATCATAGGGACAAAGCTATCTATTTTCAACTGTTTATTTTTATCCTGGGAATTGTGGCGTAACTACCCCTATAAATATTGAATACCGAATCACTAGTATATAAGACATGTTAACTTGATTCTATCTAGAAGTACCTCTAAAGCGGCAAGATGATTAAGCAAGGTATTAATGTATTAAGCAAGATGATTATAAATTATTTCTTATATGTTGGATGGCAACAGTCTCGATAAAAAATAGAACAGCTATGGTGAATAAATATTTGCTAACATTCTGAATAAGTCTCTCTTGTATTAAGGTGATAAAACAACACTCAATGGTGACCTGCGAACATGATATGAACTGGCTAACATGATGGATGGTCCACATTAAACAGTTGATTTGCTTAATATGAACTGCTCAAAGAAAAAAAAAACGATCTAGTGAAGTAAATGAAGTAAACAATATAGAAAAAAAATGGGCAAAATGCTATAAATAAAAAATTAAGAAAAAAATATAATGAGCAAAAATGTTATAAATAAATAAATAGCATGAATCAACTAGTGGTATCCGTTCTTTGAATTCTATCCCAGATAAAATTCTGGAAGGGGAGAAATAAATATTAAATATGGAATCACTAGTATATAAGACATGTTAACTTGATTCTATCTAGAGGTACCTTTTGATAGATGAAGGTTGGCATAGTCTAAGATTAATTCCTCTCAGAATCTTTAGAATCTACATCAGCTGATTAATTTTGCCAACTCTTTATCTCCCCAACTATATCAGAGTTTGTAACAATATCAATGGTCTTTTCTCAGAAAAACATGCTTCTTTACATTCGCACCCATGAGGGGGAAAAATTCTAATCTATTAAAATACTAAAGGGCTTTTCCTATAATGTCCCTTCCCTCTCAACACATTTTATTCATGTAATTCTTTTTTTTGACTGATGTGTGAAATTATGAACACTATAACAAAACATTCAGAAATACCTATTCTTATAGATATAGAACGATGAATGATCAGTTTTTTTACCTGTCAGAGGGGAAATAAATTTCCTGTTCACATTAAAAGTATAATGTTTTCAAGAATAATGAAATTTCAATTCATCTTAAAAGATATTTCATGAAGATACTTTAAAGCATTATATCTGGATACATAACAAGGAATCAAAAATTAGTTCACCTTAAAAGAAATTCACAGCAATGGTGTTCAACTGTATGTATATACAGGGTGTTTATAANTTCCTAAAATTGAATTTGTGAAACTACCGTTTTTCCTAAAGTTGAATTTGTGAAGGTACCGCTAAACGGTAGTAAATTCGGCTTGGACAGACCCCTGTGTATGTATATACAGGGTGTTTATAATGTCCCGGACCCATTTTGATGTTTAATAACTCATAGAGATAGATTAAAATTAATAGCATAAATGGTTAGATAGACTCAAAAAGTTTCATGACCCTTGTTAATGAACTTCCATGTGTGCCCCCTTCGTCGCGCAGAGAATATCAAGTCGATAGTCAATTTCACGCCAGGTAGCGGCAAGCATGTCGGCATCCACAGAAGCTGTTGCGGTTGTAATTCTGGCTTTTAGGTCATCAAAGTTTGATGCGATCCTCCTGTAAACATTGTCCTTTATAAATCCCCAAAGAAAAAAGTCCAACGCCGTTATATAAAGTGATCTTTGTGGCTAAGGAATTGGACCTCCTCGCTCAATCCAATCCAAGGAACTCCTGGAAAATGGTCATTCAAAGAACTACGAACGATGATACCCCAATGAGGTGGTGCACAATCTTGTTGCAAAAAGACTTGTGGCGGAAGCTCTTCTAGTTGTGGAAATACGAAGTTTTCCAACATGTGATAAGTATACGACTGATGAGACCATCTTTTCTGTAAAAAAGAAAGGCCCAATGTCTGGGTCGTGCATTAGCCCACACCACACATTAACCTTTGGGGAATCCCTTTGTGTCTCACGGTATTCATGGGGGTTTTCAGATCCCCATATGCGCACATTATGGCGATTAACAATGCCAGAAACATGAATGGGTACTTCGTCGGAGAACATAATGCACTTCAGAAAACCGCAATAGCCTCTGTGGATGCCGACATGCTTGCAGCTACCTGGCTTGAAATTGACTATCCACTTGATATTCTCTGTGCGACGAAGGGGGCACACCTAGAAGTTCATTGACAAGGGTCATGAAACTTTTTGAGTCTATCTAACCATTTATGTTATTAATTTTAGCCTATCTATATTATTTTATGAGTTATTAAACATCAAAATGGGTCCAGGACTTTATAAACACCCGGTATTATATTCATACAGTCTTGTCATATTTTCACCAAGTACCTTTATATTTCTTTCTGTTTTGGAATATGTATATTCTAATTTACCTAGAAATATTTTGCACTAGTTTTCAATGGTGATATTGCAGCGATTTTCCAGGCCCTGTCACAACTTCGGTCTTGTCTAGACTTTTCAAAAGTTGTATTATTATCTGATTCAAAGGCCACACTTCACTTCAATTAATTGGTGCTCTTTGCCTCTAAAACATTAACCATGGATAATTGCTTAAATCTCTTCAACTGGTTTGTCAGTAAAATAACAAGACAGTAGTTCTCCAATGGATTGCAGTCCATTAGTTTGAATTTTTTAATTTTGGTGTCAGACGTAAAATGTTTGGTTTTCGAACATGAATTCTTCAAGATGGATATAAGTTTAAGTTAATGATAGCAATTATAAATACTGAAAATTACTTTAATTTTTATCTTAATACTATAAACATTATTTTTTCCATTAAATAGCTTCTTAAAATTTAAATTGTTCTCTATTTCCTGTTGGAGTAAGAAAAATCAATGTTAGCAAAAAGAAAATTTTTATATATTTGACATTTTCAGATGTTAAGCTACCTATTACAAAAGATTTTTTTTTTCAAAAATACATTTTGTTTTACCATTTTTTTTTAAATTCTATTTTAGCATCCATAGCATTATCAATAGATAGAAAATAGTTATCAAGCCACTTTTCTTGAGATCTACCATGAGGCACTTATGTTATTTTTTCAGTTACACAGCAGAATAGGTGGAACAATATCTTTTATAGCATTTTTTAATCTAGTGAAACTTAGTTGGAAAATCACTAATTTTAATTTTAACTATGCAGCGTATAATAACAATAATGGAAATACAACTCTTATTTAAGCACTATTTATTTAAATCTAATCATTTAAAAAATCCTGAAATAAAAAAAAATTAACAACAGTCGCTTTTTTTTTATAAATAAAATGGAAGAAAAAATTTATCAAAGTTTCACTTTTTTTTAATAGTAAAAAGATGTCTTGAAAAACATGTTACTGTACATTAGAAGAGAAAAAAAAATTGTACAATAATTATCATCCTTTTCTTTGATAATAAAAGATCTTTTCACACTGATAAAATGTTAATTTTATTGCTATATTTAACGCCTGCAAAAAATTAAGTGATAGTTTTGTACAGTTTTTACAATCTACTGTATTTGGTGCATCAAAGTAGATATTATTGATATACCTTTTATTTGAATTTAGTGGCGTAGCTATCAGGAGACAAGAAAGAACTTTTGTGTCCGGGTGTAGCCGTAGAGATGCACCAAATTTATGACAAATAATTAAAAAGAAATTCCAGAATAAATTTTTGATCTTTTTCCAAGTGTCGTTTGCTAATTACAGGCCCAGTAACAACTTCAAATTTTTATCAATTTACCTAAAAATTGAATAGATCGTTTATTATTATTGTAGTTTACCTTGCTATAATTTTTTTTTGCAAATAAGCGAGGCAAAAATAAATAATAACTACTTATCACTAATTCAAAAACAATAATCATCTAAGTGTAATAGGTCCCGCAGTGGGCTGTTCATTAAGACACGGTTCCCAGCAGATCACCGAAGTCAAGCATCACTGGCTGCGGTCAATGTGCGGGTGGGTGACCACTTGGATCAGTACGCGTATGGACCGAGGGTGTGCGGTATGGGTCCTCATTAAACTGTTCTACCGTAAAGTGCTCGACTTCGCGTGCAGGTCGTCGGGCTACCAAAGCGGGGGTGCCATCCCCTCTGCAGAGGATCAAAATTGTGATGGCAGGTCTTCGGATTATCCTCAGGTATGCTTCCCAGACCGTCGCCAATAGCCCATTGTGCAGCTCTAGTGCAATGTAACTCAACTACAACTAAGTGTAATAGAAACTATACTGTTCAACTTTAAACCAAATGGAATGAGCTCTTTTACATTGTCGGGCTATGCTGATTTAAAGTTGTGAAACCATATTCAATGTGAAATTAAATTAATTAATTTAGTTTTCCTAATCTAAACTTGTAACAATCCAGAAATGTCCTCTTAAGTTTGATATTATCTATATATATTATAGGCATATCAGATGCACAAAAACTTGGTTTGTCCCCACTGCTGTAAGTCCTAACTGTGTTTTTGCTTGAATTAGCAAGATTTGGTATTTACATTTAAATGCGTATGGCAACCCTTTAGCAAGCATTGGTGCTAACTCTAGTATAAGCAGGTTTTGCTCCAAATACAAACACTTTTCAAGCTTTCTAAGAAAAATGAATGATTTAAAATGTTCTAAATTTAGTTGAGTAGTTTGTCAAAAAATTAAAATTTATGGGCTTGCCTCAAAATATAAATAAATAAAATAGTTAAAATAAAATAAATAAATTTTCATGATCACATTTAAGTTCATAATATAAATAACTTTAATTACAGCATAGTTAAGTAGATTTTATTAGGTTGCTGAGGAGAAATACTTTATTCTAAATTAACCTAAAGGAATATTTAGATGATTTTTATTCATATTTCACTTCATTTTATAAAGAAAAAGCAAAATATGAGGTGGAAATAGATGAAAACAAATGTAATGAAAAGAAAAGCAGTGGTGTCAGACGAAAAAATAACTAATTAATCATTTACATGAAAAATAATAATTTTCTTGAAAATCAAAATAGATTGTACAAATGAAACTTAGAATCTTGCTTTAAACAGAAAAAATAGTTTTATTACATTAAATTTTAGTGGGACAGTATAATTAATTAGTAGGTGTCGGACATAAAATAACAAAAGTACATCTTGGAGATTTTTTTGTAAATCAAAATGTTAAATGTTTCTAAACATTTGTGCTAGATGACCTGTTTTGAAGCAGTTTACTTTAATTATTATTTATTCCATTTTTTATTTTTAGAGTGAATTTTTGAAAAAAAAACTGTACTTCTTAAAGATTCACTTATCGTGATTAAAAATTGCAAATTATGTAGTCCTTCATTTAACAGCCTATAGCTTATTGAAAACTGAAATTTATAAGTTAATATTTCTAAAATTTCATTTTTTTACCTTGAAAATAATACCTAGCTTGCTTAAAAATATTAAATTTAAAATTTTGGTCATCAGGTTGACCATACCATGAAATTGCCCTACTGTATCTTTTTAGTACTATAATATATTTTTTCATCAGGGATATTATATGCATCGTGATGTGATTGGAAGCTCAGGAACCGTAACATCTCCTGAATTATCCCAGCTTTTTGGTGATGTAAGTATTATATTTAATTACTTTGAACCAGTGACAATTGATGTCACAATACAAAAGTCTATTTTAACATAAAGTCTAACAAAAAACCTAAGCGTTGATCGAATTAAATTTTAAAAAAATATATAAATATTCTAGTGAGTAAAATAATTGTAAGCTAACTTTAATTTAAAGAAGGTATGGTTTAAAATGATAAATTAAAACAAAACCCTTACAGCTGTCTTGCAGGGTATATACTTCATTTTTGAAACATTTATATTTTAAATAAATTGTAAGCTTTTACAAATCTTGAATATTTTCTAAAGGACAAAAAAAAATAATAATAATTGAAACAGAATCGAGTTTGGTGAGTTGTAATATTGTGTTAAAATATCAGAATATTAAAAATCATGTAGCAATAACTGCCAAAAAAAGTTCAAAAAACCTCTTAAATTTATGTTAATATTGGCATAAACAGAGTGCATCAGAAAGTGTTTATTTTAATGCGCTATTCTAAATTTAAGTGTGTTAATAGTGTATTAAAAATAATCAGGATTTTTTAAATCACAAGGAAAAGTGTAACTGCCAAAAAAACTATGGAGAATAATTTTGTATTAACGGTAAAATCATCGCAAATACACGCGCCAAGTAGAGGTGTATTTAAACGGGGGATTCAAAATTCGTAACTGCATATTAAAAATACTGTGACTTTCTAAACCTTTTAAAAGTTCATCGCATTAAGTGTTAAAAAAAAAGAAAGAAAGCAATTGAAAAATAATTTGGATTTGCGTTAAAATCGGCACAAATAGGCTTTGTCAAAAAGTGGTTTTCTAAATGAGCAATTGGATACACGCGATTTGTTATAATATCGTAAGAAAAATATCGCACTTTTAAAAACCATGTGGAAATTGTATGATCAAAGTTCATTTGGATTTTTGTGCAAATAAAGCACATCAAAATGCGTTTATTTAAGTACACCACTCAAAACTTTAAAAACGTTAAAACATGTTTTTGAAAAATCATGATTTTAGAAACTACATAGTCAATGCATTACAATGACTGCAGAAAAAGAGATTGAAAAGTCATTGTATTTGCGATGAAATGGGCACTTATAAGAGAGGCAGAAATTATAACTAAAATTCCAAATTCGGATGTAATAAAAATTTATTAAAAATATTGAGATTTTTAAAACTAAGTGTAAATCCATAGCATTAACCATCGCAAAACTATATTAAGACTGGGCGTGACAAAAACTTAAATGTGCAATTTTAAATTTCTATTATTTTTTTTTTCTTTTCAAATTTAAGTATCTTTTTTTTAATTTTGTTTAGATGCTGCCGCGGGCCACACATTGAGAATTGGCGAGCCGCATGTGGCCTGCCAACATTTCACCCATTTTAGGTTGTGCACCCCTATCCTGTACAAATTAATTAGTATTTATAAGGTCATCCTTGTGGACCAATAAATTTGAGTCCTAGTACGTGGAAATCCAATCACTAGATAAAAAAATATTCAGAATGGCTCTTTCTTTTTTCACGCTGTACATTATGTTTTGAAAAATTTTAATTCAAGTCTAAAATAGATTTTTTCTGGGAAACTCGTTTAATGCTTATGATATTTTTCTTAAGTGTCTTTGTTACTAAATAATATAAAATTGGGCATAAAACATCATTTATAAATTGATCTTAAAAATTTTTTAGATTAGAATTTGACCTCAGTTACAATACTCAATTGTACTCACATGATTCATTTTTCCATCTAATGAAAATACATTTTAATAGTTAATCTTAAGAAGGTAATCCATCAAATAGAAGTACATTTTAATAAAACTTATTTTTGTTTAATTTCTGTTTCAATTCTGCTGTGCATATTCACTCTCATCCTTAATTTGTGTTACATATTTTGGCAATGCCATAGTTTACTTGTTCTAATTTAATCTGTTTCGCAATTAATTAAACTTAAATACGTTTAGTAGATTGCCTTAAATTATGTGCTACAACTACATTATTATTTAATATAAAACACATATTCAAATACAATATAGAAAACTTTAAATGCTGAGGGATTAAAATATTACTAGAGTATCCATTAGCTTAAAAATTGTAGAATCATGAATAAATGTATTTATTTAGTATGTGTGTTTAGTAAAAAGTTATTAATTTTGCATAAAATGTTTTCCCTTTTATTAGGTTATAGCTGAATGGTGTCTGAATGAATGGATCAAAGCTGGAAAACCAAAACCTTGGTATATTGTTGAGATAGGACCAAATAGAGGTGATTTAGCTGATGAATTATTAAGAGTGAGTCACTTTATGCTGTAGAGTCCTATATGTTTTTTTTTTAAGTATTTAAATGTATGCTTATATTTATTTAGTAGGAAAATATTGTATTCTATATTTATAAACAATTTTATGACAAAACAATTATAATAGTTGTTAGACAAATTTTGTATTACTGGCCTTTGTGTCTCTTATGGGTAGGAGAATATTTTTGTCTCTATTGGGGAAAAAAATAATAACTTGCAAACATTTAAATTTTACTTCACATATTGACAAAATATATTTCAGTGATGTTAACCTCTTAAAGATTGAAGCTACTAGCAAAATGTTTACATTACATGTGATTTGCAGTAATGTTTTTTTTTCCCATTATAAAAATAGAATTTTATAGAAAACTTTTATATGAAATTTTATATTTGTTATTAAATAGTATGTGTATTTGATTGGTATATATGCTAAAAAATCTATTTGAATAAATCTGTCAATTTTTCTTATGTTAACTTGTAAGGACGCAAGATGATGGAAGGAAAACATCGCAAAGAGCTCAATATTTTTAATTATACATTCACATTAAACATTTAACAATAAAGAGTAAAAGCATAACATTAACTAACATAAAAGTAATTTAAAGGGTTATCCAAACTGTTTGGGGTTAAAAGGAAACCAGAAAGGTTTGGAGAGCTCGTCTTGCGTCATCTCACATCATAAGTCAGAATGAAGACTATTGTTTTTGCAGATAGAGGGGTAGCGCCATCTGGTCCTACGAATTAACTATCTGTTACAAACTTAAATAATATTATCTATCTATACCTAATCTTTAATTATTCTTTATGTAAACCTAATTCTAGTTTTTGAAAATAAATTTTTTTAAATAAATTAATGTTCTTAATCGTAATTATTTTGAATTTATTTTGTATTTGGTTTTTTTTTTTGTCCATTTATTGTTTTCGTTACTTTTTTATGTTAAAAAAAATAATTTCCATTCCAAAAAAGGAAAACCGTCTTTTTTTTATTAATTTTTTTAAAGAAATTTATGCAATTTGAAGTTTGATTAAAACTTGTATTAATGAAACTAATATTTTTCTTTGCTTTATTCTGAAGTGATAATAACCCGATTATTGCAGTACAATTTTCTCAAATGTGACGTTATTATATAAGCTATTTCTTACTTTAGGCGTTCTCACAAAACGATGCTGCTAAAGATGTTGTTTCACTTCATCTAGTTGAAGTCAGCCCACACCTGAGTCAACTTCAAGAGTTAAAATTGTGTGGAACTGTCAGTGTAGTAAAAGATGTTTTGGAATTTGATGACTCCCGTCGACATTTGCATCTTCATACCAATCAGGATAAAGATGAATTGATGTATAAACACAACATCACCAAGCACGGTGTTCCTGTCTCCTGGTATAGAAATCTGGAAGATGTCCCAGAAGGATTTTCTTGTATTATTGCATATGAATTGTTTGATGCATTTCCTATTCATAAATTACAAGTGAGTTTTCATTTTAAGCTTATTTTTTGTTTAGATTCTATTCTTATTACAAAAAAAATGTATAGTTTCACTGGTTTTTTTTTTACCCGCAGTGCTTTTTTGGAATTTTATGTTTGCAGACTTTAAAATCATATAACTTGATTTTAAAAAAATTAAGCAGCTATAATAGTTTTTTTTAAAATTAGTTTTTGTGTCAATTTACACTTACTAAAAAAGATTTAAAAATTAAATTCATAGTTTCAAAATTTTGTTAGAAATAAAAACTAGTTGTTGGATATAATACAAAATGTTGTGTCCATAGCAGCTAGTTTTTGATTTTCTTAAAAAATTTCTAAATTTATATAACTTTCTAAAATATTGAAATATTGGTGGGATTGCCCTTTTGTTTAATTTTTTTAAAACAATAATTACGGTGTCCAGCATCTTAAAGATGTGCTTATGTAGCAATGAAAATCCCTTAAATTATGTACCTTGTTGCGCAGTGATTCACCTGTACTAGTCTTTTTTAATTTTTAACTGGTTATTTTCTGTTCACCTTGAATGTTTGTTGCTGAAATGTACATGCTTTAATTTTTGCTACTGACTCGCTAATAGTGATACAGATGCAAAATTTGTTCTGGAGACTAAAAATAAAAAAAATAAAAAAAAAAAATAAGAACTTTGAAAAGAAATAAGAATAGTCTATTCTTTACCTAAAGTTAAATTTTTTAAATTGATTTTGTTATCCTATGTTTCTGCACATCACCCTCCTAGGGTCAAGAACCTAGTTCCAATTTTCACAGATAAAGGGACAAGATGTTTTAACATTTGTTATATTTTATTATTTGATAGATTTTATTATTTATTTGAAATTTGATGTAGAAGGAATTTAAAATATCTTGACTCAGAGTTCTCCCAAGAAATAAAAAGGGCAGGACACTTTCTCACAGAAAGCACTTTGAGTTCTGAAAGGACACTCACTTAACACTGTAAAAATTTATCAAAATGTGTAACAGTATATAATAACTGCTTTTGATCTCAACACTTTTTAAATTACCCTTTTATACTATTTTATGCATGTATTTCAAAAAATAATTCTCACCCATTTTCAAAATAAGAGAAAAACTTATAATTTATAAAAAAATAATTAAAGGCATCCTAAAAGACAATCACTGTGCACAAATTTTTATAAAAAAAAGTAAACTAAAAAATGAAGCGATAATTGATAAAGAACTGAAAAGCTTTTTCTATAATTGAAACTGAAAATTATGAGAAATAATATAGATTCTTTTTTTAAAAAAAGAAGGCATTAAAAAATGAATTTCAAATTTAAACTAATTTTTAAATTACTAAATTTATTAATATACCCTCTCCCTAAAAAAAGAGAAAATCCAATTGAGAATCTTGACGAAATAAATATTTGTAATAGTAATCGGAATTAAACCTATAAACAGATAATTTTACCAGTATGTAATTATTATTTAAAGAGTGAATTAATTTTTTTAAATGGAATATGAATAAAAAGGCAGTGTTTTTAAGAGATGGTGGCTTATTTTGAGAGGATGCTGTTACTGCATTGACTCAAATTTCCAATATTCCAATTTATTTTCATCTTTGTACAATCCCATATATTACTCTATATTCTAATTATTTATTATTTTAGTGTGTTGATTTGTTGTCCTAATTGTTGCTTCGTATTCTATTACTGCTATTAAAATTTCTTTGGAATCTGCGTGCTTTGAAGGATATTAGTCTGATTAAAGACTGAGCCCAATAGAACCCTCTTTCAATATGGGAAATAACTCATTCTATACCTAAATTTTTACAATATTTAAGATTTTTATGATGAAAACATAAGAAATTACTGCAAAAAAAGGAAGGACAATTTATTGTATGAATTTGAAACTGACATTTTACCAAAATGTGTATAGATTCCAAAATATGTGAAATATAGTATATTTCCAATCTAGCTTTTTGTACCCTACTGGCAAAATGATATGAAAAAAATACTATAGAATCCCATTCTACTAGATGATGAATTTACTGAAAAATACTTTTCCAAATAATTTCTCTTTATTTATAGGAAATTTTTTAAATTACGAGAAAAGTTTTATGGATCTATAACTATATTGTCTATTACTGTATTTCTGTTTAACCATTTTTTGTGTGATAATTTTTTTTTTAAAAATTTGTTTTACAGCTTCGATAAAAATTTCAATCAGAATTTGAATGTTTATAAAAAGGTTGACGTGATCAGAGACTATGCCCAGTTTAAAATGTATTATGTGTAATTAAATTACTTTAAAAAAAGGCATTAATTGAAAAATCAATCAACTTTTGCTCTTCTGTCTAAACATTTATTTAATATAGTCTGGTGAATGGCAAGTTAACTAAAAAGCGCCATTCTACTCAAAAGAATTTTTGCATGTTACTTACTCCATAATAAGTCCCCATCAAGCATACTAAAATAGTTATTTAAAATTTATTAAGTCCTTTTAATTGAAGTTAAAAACTCATCAATGATTGTTAACATATATAAATTTTACTGATCTATTAGCTTTTAGTGCAATTAAACTAAATTTAATAATTAAGAAAATATTATTTAACTTACCTCTTGTCTAGTTTTGCTATTACTTAGTATTGTGTTCAATTCTAAATGTCTCTTTTTCTTCAATTATGATTAAGAAAACTAATGAAGGTTGGAGAGAAGTTCTGATTGACTTAGACGATGGGCCGGGAGAACACCACCTCCGTTATGTTCTTTCTCGTGGCCCAACCACTGCCAGTCAGTTTTTCATCGATGTGAGTGTTTTGTTCTAATCCTGTTTTAGTTTCAGTATGCATGGGACAGTTTCTTGAGTTCTTCCTTCAATTTTATCCCGACTCTGCTCTTGGTGTTTTGTTATTTTGGATGCTTAAGATTAAATTTTTAAAATTATAATTTAAGGGCTTTGTGCGATGCAATGCTAAGCCACATTTTTATAGTGTTCATAAGAATGATTTGCGATGCCACAAGTTCCTAGTAAGAAATAAAATGTTTCTGTGTATTTTACTTTTATCTAAAGTACTTATTAAGACACCATACTAAGAAATAGTTTAATGTAAAAATGTGGCTTATCACTAAATTACCCTAAGCCCTTCAGTTATTCTTTATCTTTAAATTAGAATCTTAATATATTAACTCTTCTCTAATTCTTGAAAACACTTCTTATTAAAACATTAATATTATCTCTTATAGTGAAACATTATTTTTTAATATATAAGATTTGATTTCATACATAACTGCAAGTTTATCTGCTGTTTATTTTTCAAATTTGCATCAATTTAGCGCATTGTTGTTTCTCAATACCTGTATATTATGTTTATCTGTTTTCACTCAATTTTCTTTTCTGGCTTTTATTTGAATAATAATAATAGCTTTTAAATTAAATCTGAGTAATAGTGGCAAAGGTTTTAAAAAAATTAATGGAGATTTTAATAATTTAATGGAATTTAAAAACTTTTTCAGCAAGATGAGGGTCGATCAAGTTTAGAAGTCAGTCCTGAATCTGGAGTACTAGTACAAGAAATAGCTGCAAGAATTGAGAAAGAAGGAGGTTACTCTTTATTAATTGATTATGGACATGATGGTACTAAAACTGATACTTTTAGAGTAAGTTTTTTATTGCATGTGTGGTACACCTAATTTATGTTTGGAGTATAGTTTTAGTGAAATTTTAGTATGTAAGAAACTTTTGATGACAAATAATATATATATTGGTCGATTTCACCATTATCTTGTTTGCAGATTTTAAATGCATATATCTTGTTTGCAGATTTTAAATGCATATAATTTAGTTTTTAAAAAAATCAAGCAATTCAGATAACTTTTGTTAAAATAACTTAAGTTAACATTTATACTTACTTTAATTTATATTAACATTCATAAATATGAAAATTTAAAACTGGGTCTTATGGATGTAACATACTATGTTACAAATGTCTATTAATAAAAATTAGTACTAGTGTAAAAGACTACTAGAGGTATTTTAAAAAAATTATTTGAATAGTATTGTTTTAACTGGGTAAAATGCATTGAAGCATAACTTTTGTAAATGGTGAAATTACCCATTATGAAACTATTTGTCCTGATCACTTTCCATGAATTATTTAACAACTTTATTACAAATATTTTTACAAACAAGGTTTAATTTTGGAATAAAATTTTAATCTGATTAATTAATAAGTGAAATTCATCTTGTAAATCAAGTAAATAATTTTAATCACTTTCTTGGCATGGAATATAGATGTAGTAATGATAGTAATATAAAAATGCAGTAAAAATGACTATATAATGATGGTGTAAAATGTTTATAATTACATGAAATGTATAAACAAACAAAAATATTTATGTAGGATAGTTTTGTAAGCATTAGTACTTAATGCAGTCCTTTAATATTAATTCCTGTTTCAATATTTTTTATTAATTCTGCACTTAATATATGTTATTTATAAAAGAAACTTTAGCAGAAAATGGATTACAATCATAGCATGTCAAATGTGCTTGACTTTTTCAGTTATCCTTGTATCTTGAAATTGTATTACACTTGCTCACTTTCAACCCTCCCCCCCCCAAAAAAAAAAGAAATCTGAAAAATCATTTTTTAAGAGTAAATTTAATATAATTGTAATAATAAATTAGATATTATGTAATTTTGCCTTACCCTATAAAATTCCTTTCTACCAGGCACCAAAGAAATTCCTTCAGAAACAAATGTAACCTTTATAAATTTAATTAGACACAAAACTGAAATTTAAAGAGTTGCCTGTGTATTTAGTGATAGAAAGTTAATTAAAAAAAATTTAAGTTAATTTATATGAATATTATTGTATTGAATTTTATTTAATAGGCTTTTAGACGCCATGCCCTTCATGAACCTTTGAGTGAACCTGGAACTGCAGATCTCACTGCTGATGTAGACTTTTCATATTTAAAGAAAATGGTTCAAGGCAAAGGTAAATCTGATTTTTTTAAACTTGATATCCTGATTATGAACATAAAACTGCAAGGGTGATTGTGCTCTGGAAAAAATCTGAATTTTCCGCTAATTGTGATCCGAAAGTTTCCGGAAATCCAAAGTCCAGAAGTTTCAAGAAATCACAGATCACATTTATACATAAAAATTCTTGTATATTTTATTTAAAAATATTAGAACTAGAATTTATACTTGGCATCTCTTTCATTTGTAAATATTTTTTCTGGTAGAATAATAAATGTGATTAGAGATAAAAGTAAACTTACACATAATTATTCATTTATATTATGCTGCATATAATTCATTTAGAATATCATGTTTTGAAAATTTCAATGATTTTAAATTTGTAAAGATGTCAATTTTTTAAATGATTTTACTCAAGAAATTTTTAGGATTTTTCAGTTGGGCCCACAATCACGCCTGAAACTGTTAAAAAAAAATCTTTTTTTCTACTAAATTCCTCCGATCCACATTTTAATATTTTGGAGTTTTAAATGACATAGCTTTTTGTTTCTAGTAAATCTCAATCAATATATATGATTCATGTTTTCTTATTTTTCTTATATCTTTTACATTTAAATAGCACTTTATTTTAAAAAATTTTAAAACATTTTTAAAATTGTGTGGTATGTGAAATTACAGTATAGATTCATATATATAATTATAATATTAAATTTGAAGAATATAATACTTTACATTATAATGAAAAGTTCAGATGAAAATATAATGGTGTATACCAAAGTAAACAAATCTGACATCAAGGCTTTTGAGTGATAATTATGTATTAATTTAATATTAAGTACAGTAATTGAAAATTTTTACATTGTATTCGTAAACATAATTCATGTTTCACTGCATTTGCATTAACAAACTATTAGTATTTTGAAAAAACTTAACTGAGCATCAAATATATTGCATATATCCTGAAATTTGTGCTAGTTTATAAGTAGTAACAAAATGTTTAATAAATGTTCAGAAAATAAAATGCTTTTTAGCGAATTTTTTCATTAAAAAATGCAATAGGAAGAAAAAGTAATAAGCAACATTATTAAAATACCTTTAACTGAATTAGTTGTCTAATAGGGTTAAACGATGAGTTTCATATTTTTTCCACAAATAAGTGCTTATAAATCTCTATTTTTTCACATTCATTTTTTTAAAGTTGTTTTTGCCTTCCCTCACCCTAAAGATTCTTTTACTATTTTGGCAAAAGAACTAAGTTTCTGCAACTAAGATTTGTCTTCTTTTTTTTTCTTCCCCAATTTGAACACTCTATTACTGTTGAATTTTTCCAGTATGGAAATTTATGTTCGAATATCATGTCAGAATTATGTACACATGTTTTTAAATAATGGTGATCACTTCTAGAAATCTTCAGAATCTCAATGATCTAAAAATTGAAGCTTTTTTTTAGTAATTTTCCATTTATTTTTTTCAAAGATCTCAGAATCTTTCTTTTATGTTCATTTGTATTTTAGCCATTCTTATTTATTTATAATTATGTATTTTTCACTATGTTATTATCATGGCACACTGAGTTTATTTTGTTATTAGGCATTTTTGCTATTTTTATTTACTCAAACTTGAAGCATTGTATTACATTATGAGTCTGTTATTTTTAAATTTTTGTGGTGCATTCAGATTAAATAAGAAACAAGTGCAAAGTTTTTCTCTTATTTTTAGTTGCAATTTAACAAATGTACTTAAAAATAAATATACTTAAAAAAAAATCAAGTGATAAAAAAATAAACATTGAGAAAAAGATTTCAGATAATTTCTCCTTCCAGCAATCACATATTTGACTATGGTATGAAATTCAAGCTTGATTATTCAAATTATGTATACTAAGAGCACAGAAGTGATTTTTTATTTCACTTGTTTTTATCTATTTAATGTACTTGTTTCTTTTATTAATTTTTTGTGAGATATACCACAGAAACTTAATAGTTCATCATAGCATCTTACTTACGCTTAATTTCTGGCTATCGGCACATAATTATCACACAATAGAAAATTGTAATTGCTTAAAATAAAAATAATTAATTTATGAGGTTTCTAGGCAATTTCAATCTACTTTATGAGCATCAAAAAGATCCTAGTCATTTTAGATAGCTAACTGTGGCACATAAAATTGTTAGGTTGTACATAAATTTAGTTCTGTTCTTTTGAGAATTCATAAGAAAACAAAATTAGTAACATCCATTCTTAAATGATGCATGCATGGGTAGTTCAACATAAAAAGAACAAATATTATGCTAATTTCCATAAATATTTACTTCAAATTCTATTCTTATTATTCTGACAATTTACTTCAGATTGTGAATCTAATAAAATGAGCTGTTTTTTTTATATTTATTTACTGCTCTTATTGAAAACTTGCGGTTAGTTTAGCTTTAATTGCAAATAATACGAAATGCATATGAGAACACAGAGTAAGAGAATTTTAAAAGCAAGACAAAAGCAAAAATTACAAAATTATTTGTTGCATCTGAAATAAACTTTGACGCTACTGATTAGAATAATTTGCTATCTTCCCACTTCTAAAGAATTTACGAAAATAATATTAAAATTACATATTTCATTAATTTTGAAGTTATCCACCATTGGTAATATCATAATGTGTACAATGTACAATAGATATATCAAAGTACTTAAGGAAGCCTCAAATGTGAAACAATTTTTATTTGAGACACATCTGGCTTCTTCTTTAATGGAATTATGAAAAACTATAAAAGAATTAATCATTCCAAGACATTATGATACGACAATTATTTGAACTATTCTGTGATTAGACATTGTAGAAATAAGTGCTTTGCTGTAAAAAAAAATTTTCCTTTTGCATCCTAACTTCTTTTAAAAAATGTACCCTCTTGCTATTCGTTTTAACAAGACAGCTTGAATCTCATTTAAGAACAACTAAAAAAAGCATTTGTGCTGGTAGTTTGCTGTGCAGAAATATCTGGGCTCAATTGTGAAATATTTGCGAGCCTAACAATTGTATTATTTGGTTCATAATGTGGCAGGGTTGTTAGATTCGTCAATAAATAGCAAGAAACTTGAAAGAATTAGGATAGTTTGTGTTTTTAAACTATGATGAAATAATATTTTTACTTATTTTGCTTTTTTAAACCATAAAATGAGCAGTAGAAACAATAGCATGTCAATTGTACTGTGGTATTAAAAATTTAAAAAAAAAACTTTTTTGTCAGTTTTTGTAACTTTTTTGTGTGATGGGTGACCAGAAAATATCAACTAATATAAAATCTTTTTGTCAGTATTTTTCTTTTTGCATAAAACTTCTTGTGTTATTTTTTCACTCTGTCCTTATACATAAATAATTCTATTTCGATTTGCTAATAGTATATCTGTGTTGTATTTTCTGTGTTGTTTGGGAAGAAGACAAGGATTGTGTACAATGAGTTAGTGTATTTCATTAATTAAGTATTTAAACAACATTACACTATTTTGATTTTATCCAAAAAAAATCTCTGGCGTCACTTATACTCAGACCTGCCAACCTTTACTCTTTCCGAATAAGTATTTTCAAAATGGTAGTAAAAAACTAATTGAAATACAATTATAGATGTAATTAACTTTTCACAGTTGCTATTACTTACACTAATTTTTGTTTTCATAACTTGCTCTGATATATAAGATTGATTTATTTCCATTAAGTAGTAGTCAAATTTATAAATCCAAAATCAAAAAGAAATTTATAAGACTCAGTACCACTTTAAATATAAGATTGAAATACTATGGACAATCTATAGTTGTTGGTAGATATGTTTGCACCATATCATATCCAAGTTGAATGTAACAGAACACCAGCTATAGGGTTCACACCAGCAATTCAAATGGGTCTAGGTGGTCCAATAAGACCACTTAGGTATTCATTTAGTGGTCCAAAAATTGGTAGACAAATTTGAGAGAGAAAAAATTGAACATGACAATTACATTATTCATGTTATTGTACTCTTCAAAAATTATTAATTATCATCTATAATATCCTGAAACTAATTAAGTTCATTGCCTTATCATAATTGAAGATTAGTATGTATTTAATTTAAGTGAAAAAAATCTAAAATAATATCAGAAAATAGACTCAACATAAAAGTTAAAATGCTAAGACCAAATAAATAAATAAATAAATGAGGAAAACATAGAAAGGGAGAGCAAATAAAATATTATATTAATTATCTAAAAATTATATAATTTTAAATAAAGTCAACTCTAAAAGAGCAAAAAATATTGTTTTGTTGATGAACAATTATACTTTTGGTACATGAATGCAAAACACAGAACAGTTTGTTAATTTGAAATTTCAGCATTTAAAATTTTTTGTACCAGACACATTCCGTTATTCCGTTTGAATACCACACATTTGAATTCCATACCATTGTGTAGATCAATAAAATTAGTACAACAAAGTTTTTTTAAATGCATGGAACTTAATGGAGAAAAAAACTTTTTTCGTCAATGTTTTGAAATTTCTAAATAAATTTCAAGGCGACAAATTTGTTGCTTATGCTTATAATTTCAGCGAAATTCATAGAACATTTGGCGATAAGTGTCGCAATACTGGCATAAACCCTAACCCTCTATCAGAATAAATTGCCATTACTTACACTCTGCGCCTTTTTATAAAAAAATATCATTTAAATATTATGCTGCTGTTTTATTTCAATTCGATAACAATCAAATAAACTAAAATTCATTACTAGTTCTCTTTCCTTTGAATTTAACAATGCTACTTTTTTTTTCAGCTCTAACATATGGACCAGTTACACAACGGGAATTTCTCACTAGAATGGGAATCAAAGCAAAATTTGAAGTAAGCTTTAAACTTATTTAATTACATATATTTATACTTGTTTGCTTATTTACTTTACTGTTTGATTTAATTTTTTTTTTCATACAGAAAATCTTAGCATCAGTTAAGCCAGAAATGCATAAGGAACTTATATCTAGTTATGACATGCTACTTAGTTCAGAGCATATGGGAGAGAAATTCAAGTTCCTTAGTCTATTTCCTGCAGATATGGCTGATGTTCTGGAGAAGACTCCTCCTGAAGGTTTTGATAGCAAATAATTTCTTCACCTTAATTTTATATGCTTTCATAGAAAATTCTGGCACATCTCTTTTCTATGAATTATTGAAAGCTGTAGATGCTATTCTTTGTTTTTGTTATATTGTAGATTTTGTATGCTTACTGAAATGTATAGTTTTCAAACATTTGAATTGTAAATAAATTTCTAGTTTCAATTATAACTTATATTTCATTGTCAAGTTTAATAGATTCATGTACACTGAAGGGGGGAAAAGGTATATTCAATCGTTTTTGACAATTGCTATTTTTTGCATTTTCTGGTTGAAGTGGTAGAAATACTACAATAGATTTTACTTATGCCAAGCACTTAATACTTTTAAAGAATTTCGCTAAGACTTTTATATATTTTTTTTTAATTATTTATATGCAGTGGTGATTAACCTCTTGCAGTACGCTGAAATTCGGAACAAGCCATGCCTAACTTATGCACCCGATGTTCGCGAAAAGACCCTAAGACGAGAGACAGGCAGAGGATGCGAGATTAGGAAACAAGATATATCATAACTATTCATGTGAAGAAGAGATAAGAACCCATTCTGACGTTCTTGTTTAGCCTGAGATTAAGACCACGAGCTCGGCTCGGGATATTCATGTTTGGCCAGAAATGTCGCAGACTCGTGATATTCACATTTTACAGGAAATTAAACTACAAGCCTGACTTGTGATATTCAAGTTTGGCCTAAAATTTTCATCACGAGTCAGACTCATAAAAATAGTGCAAAAGGTTAAAATGCTTTTACATCAACTTTGTTGAACAAAGATAGAAATATTAATGCATACTTTGTTATAACTTTAAATATAAAAGGAAATTTCCAACGCAAATCACATTCAGTAGCTGTATAATGATCAGATTTTCCTTTTCTAAAACTCAATAGCTTAAAGAATAGATTTTTACTGTACTAATTAATTGCCTGCAAATTAAAGTACAAAATCAGACTCTAAAGCATACTTTCTCTAAAAATACAATTTTATCGATGGAGTTTGATTTTTACCCTCTCGGACAAGAAAATGGTTGAAAGTTAGTACCCATATAAAAAAGAGGAGTAGACATTACTTCTGAATTACCCTCTCAGACAGGAAAATGGTTGAAAGTTTGTACCCATATAATAAAGAGGAGTAGACATCTGAAAGGTAAAGTCATACCTAAAAGACCATATAGTGTAGTTCAATGCTAGGAACAAGCGCTTATCAAAGTATAAGAGCTATTTTTAATTGTAATTGTATAATAGAACAGTTTCATACTTTATGAACAAACATGTATAAATTATTTTTCTTTATTCAACATCGTTTTGATAAAATTCCAGTTGGGAATTTTTGCTTCATTTAACTAGAACAATCATTCAAATACAAATATGTATGAAACATACTCTTTTTGTAGACTTATGTATGAAATGTAGTTTATTTCAAAAATATTATTGAACAATCAGTTCTACAAGTTAAAACCAAGACCATTTTTTTTAAAGGGCAGTAAATTCTAATTTTAATATTTTTTTAGTATGATTAAATATAGTAAAAAAATTGTACTAATAGCATTACTATGCTTGTTTAGCATCACTTTCATATTTGTTCAAGAGCACTTCTATCTGTTGCTTTTTTCAAATCAACACTCACATTTTTTGTTTGATTTTCATAAATTTTTTTTTCATAAGACTTTGACAGTAATTTTATTTTGGGTAATCTAATAAAAAAAAAAAGTTCAATTTAATCCCAGGAATCCTTGATTTAAAAGAAAATAATAAAAACTTGTGAGATGAAAGATCATTCATTAAATGACTTTCATACTTTATCGAAAACATTTCTTGTGATATTGAAGTCAACTTTCATTAATTAGTTATAAGATTATTAACTGTTAAACTTTGGAAAAACATTATGCAGGCCACAGAAATGCAGCTACAAAATTAAAATTTTACATGCTGAAAGGGCCATGCTTATTTATGATATATATATACATATATTGAAATTTCATTTGTTTGAAAGTTATTGCAATTTTAAAAGCTCTTTTTTTCTAATTTTTCTTTTTTGCTTCATTTTACATTCTGTTTTGCTGTGTGCAAAATTCTATATGGCTTAAAAGTTTGAAATTACGAAGGTGTGTTGAAAATTATACAAGGTATTTGATGGAATAAAAAAAAATTTAAGATTTGATAATTAGTTCTAGAATGATCAATTGTTAAGTTAAAAGTAAAGGAAAACTATGTTGGCTAATCAGAATTGTAATTTGATACGTTGAAAGGGCTATTATAAATGTAATGAGTTTTTTAATAAATTCAAATTTGTTGAAAAGGTGTAACAATTTTAAATGCTTTTTTCGTTAATTTTTTTTTCTCTTTTTGTGCATTAAATAATGATTGTTTATCCATTGCTGTCGAAAAATTTACCTTTCTCGAGATCATCATTTTATTAGCTCAAACATGACTTGATGTCAAAAATAACAAAAAATGGATAGATAAAATTAAAGTAAGAGAAAACAATCAGATGTTGCCAATTATGAATCATAATATTTATATCAAAATTTTTTAAAAATCGAGATGTTTCAAGAGAGATAAAATCCATTGTTTTACAATATAAAGTTATCTTTACCGATTGTGTACAAGTAAAATTACTTCTTATTCTCTTATTTATTCTATATTCCCCAGTTAAATATTTTCCAAATTCAGTTGTTAATTTTATTACGATCAACATATTGACAAAATGTTTTTACATAAAATTATAATTTATATATTTTATAAACAATTTTTGTTGACTAACTCTCTTAAAAAAAGAGAAATCAAATTTTATAATGTAACATTACTTAGTTTAAGATAATATTCAAATATTGATTTAATTTGCATGGATGGAATTCTTTTTAGATGAACGAGTTTTATAATTTTGAGCAAAACTTTTTTGTATGCCACATGGTAGACATAAATTGCCTTAGTCGTTCTTTTAACAAGTACTATATTGACACCCTAGTACAGGGGTGGCGAAGCTTTATGCACCAACGTACCATTTTTTTCAAAATATTGTTTAATGAGGTCATAGACGTGCCCTCAAATAATTTTGACTTCTTGATTATTGGGAAAATAATAATACTAAATTCTATCACTCAAAACTCTTTATTTACTATGAAAAAAAAAAACATTTTGCAATGTCTCAGTTATGCGTGTAATTCAACCTAAAGTAACATTAGTGTGACTTTTGTTGTTGCAGATTAGAAGACAAATGACTTATATTAGGTTGTAAGATGATAGTTTAAGCAGAACTGTTAATGTTTTTTTGCTAGTTATTTATTGTTAGCTTGTCTTTTACAGTTATTGTTTTTTTCTTGGCATTAGGTTGTTAATTTTTTTTTGTTAATTGTGTATTTTTTTGTTTGTTTTTGTGAATTTTAATTTAATAGTAATATGCTTCATAGTGAACTTTGTGATTGGTGGCGTGCCGAGAATATTGTGTCGCGTGCCATTGGTTTGCCATCCCTGCCCTAGTATATCATTTATTTTTCTGTATTAAAGTAGAGTTTAGCCCCCCCCCCCAAAAAAAAAATTTTTTTTTTATATATTTTAAATTGACATACATATAATCTAAGTAAAGAAAAGATTTTTAAAATTTAAATTTTTGACTCTAGAGTACTAGTAACTAGTTGTAAAAGAACTGAAAATAAATAAAGCAATTTCTAAAAAGATAAAACATAAATATTTATTTATACAATTTACTTCAAAATATACATTCTAAAACTTGTTTAAAATTTTCCTTTCTATAAAAATATATGTTTTTGTAAGACTTCACTTTTAACTCTATATTAATTATGTTAAACTTTTTATGTCCTAAAAAATCTTTTCACCGAACTTTTCATTTTGAATTAAATGATAATTCTATATGAATATTGAATTGAATTTTTAAGAAAGTAGGTAATTAATTTATTTTAATAAATAAAATGTTTTCAATTTACATTTTGCCTATGGTATACCTGCTAACTTTCTGGAATACCTACTGATACAACAGGTATTCCAGAATAACAGATGTTTAGTCATTATTTCAATTAGTATTGGGAAAAACAAATTTACACATTTTTAACAATTAAAAAATTTAGGTTGTTAAAAGTTAAACAATAGAACCAATATATTCACCAAAGGTTGACAGAAAGAAAATGATAAATGTTTTAGCTGAGCTAAGAATACCAAAAAAATTAGTCAAACTAATTGAAATAGCCCTAAGTGACACCAAGGCCACAGTTATCATGCAGAAATGAATTTAATATAAATGCTGGCATCTACAGTGTGGTGCACTCTCAACTCTGTTATTTAAATTGATTCTGAAGCATGTTCATCAACTTGACTTAAAAGGAAACATCTGCAACAAAAAATCACAGATTTGCACTTATGCTGAAAACTGATCAGATTTGCACTTATGCTGATACTTTGAAAGAGTGCATAGTTGCACCCGCCTTGGCTCCATCATCACTGATTCAGAAAGTATTTCCGAAGAAATACATGCAAAAATTCTTAAAGGAAACCGGTCACACTTTGTATACAGTTACCTTTTAAAAAATAAATTACTTACAAAATCTTTAAAAAGGTGACTTTATAAAACTATGATTAGGCCAATTGTGACATATGGAAGTAAAACCTGGACAATGACCAAAAAAGATGATAATGACTAGCTGGTGTTAGAACGAAAGGTTCTGAGGAGAATAATAGGATCTAATAATGATACAGGCAAATGGAGAATTAGATCGAACCTAGAAATTGAGAAAATCATAAAAGGAAGAAATATTGTTTGCTTTATCAAATCCAAGCGCCTCTCATGGCTTGGACACATAGATAGGAGAGAGACAATAACTGGGCACCTATAAGAACCAGGCCAAAAAGGTGGAAGTAAGACGTTATTAGTGATTTAAAAATAATGAAGATCTGTAGGTGGAGGGAGAAGTCAAGAGAGAGGGCCGGTATGGAATAGAATTTTGGAACAAGCCAGGGTCCACAAAGGGCTGAAGAGCTATAGAAGAAGATATTTACCAAGTAGGACATAAAAAGTTTAACAATCATTGCAGTTAATATATTTACAAATAGGACATTAAAAATTTAACAATATCATTAGATTTACAGATAGGAATAATCAGGATACATTGATATTATATATAACCTTTTACATCTTGTATCTCATTTGTAGTGAAATGTAGAACCGTGGCAATAGCATTAATCATATGCTTTCTGCTATTGTAATCATTGCATTTCAAAAATCGTAATACAACATTTTTTAAGTACTCTACATTAGTACCTTCTTGATCTTGAGTACTCTCCAATAACTTTATTCTTGATTTAAGGGCATCAACTTCATCAAAGTACTTCTCTTTAATGGTACTCAGAGCTTGCTCGAGCTTTCTCACATTTGATTCAGATTGAATGCGAGATTGTCGAAGGTTTGATATCTCTACATCTTTTCTAGCTAGTTCCTGAACGTAATGTAGTATGTGTCCATCTTTTTTACTTGATATGAGGGAATGTGATAAAATATTTGTGGCAGCTTCTTGGTCTATTGCTGATAATTCGGCATGTTCTGCTACATCTCCATCAGGTTTTTTCTCCTAATGGAATTAAATTAATGAATTACAATTTTTTTTTATAAAGAGTTATCATCAAAATAGCTCAAAAGTTATAATTAGATATAGATAATTTTATTCACTATTTTTCTATCGTTCGTTTAGATATGTTTTATTCTGAGTGCTTTTTTTTTACGAAATACTGCAAAAAACTTTTTTTTTGTTAACTTTTACTTTAATTACACAGGAATACATTGTGTGAGGAAGCAATGAGGTCCTACCTTTAACTCTGGGATCCACAATTAAATGGCTAAGTTAAAAAAAAATTAAAATAAGATAAAAGAGTAGAGCTTAAGTAGAGAAGAGAAAGTAAAAATATTTTAAGCAATAAAATAGCAAGGATTGGCATTTTGTAATGTGCTTTTAACGTGCCATTAATGTGCTTTTCTCCCTCCCATAAACAGTAGACCAAAGATATTTTAAATTACTGTTTTATTTCTCAATCATGGAAGAATTATGTGTAAGCTGCAGCCTTGAAGAAAAAAAAGCAAGCAATACGGTATTAAAATGTAATGAAATGTATAACAGATAATTTGAACAAAAAAATAGATTTTTTCAATTGTCTGCTTTATGGTATATATCCAAGGTCTAATTTGTCAATAAAATTTTACATGTACAATAATCTCCAATTTTTTTTTTTTTTTTTAAATGTATTTATNTTATTTTTTTTTTTTTTTTTTTTTTTTAATAGTGTTAGTATTTTTGTCTTTCAGAGAATCTGTCTCTTAATATTCTGTCTAAATGAGATTTTTTGTCAAGACATTTTGTTAGTTTCATAATATTTTGTTTGTGTTAAATTTAGTTTTACAATATTTCAAATGGATACCCTGAGGCTTTTTATTTTTGACTGTATTTATGCTATAATATTCCACCAACCATCTTTATTTTATTTTTTGTTATTATTGCAATACAACAATTATATTTTGTTTTATAATCATCATTACTAAAAAAAAAATTGTTAGACTATCTGCAAAATTCACTTATTTTAATTTATTTAATGTTTCAATATCATTAAATAATTGAAAAAATAATTTTGAAATTTAATTAATAAAAAAATATAAACTGCATTCTTAAACAAAATAAACAAGGCAATAATATCACTTCTGTACAATTGAGAATGGATAGTTTTTTTTTTTGTTGATAATTGCAATTTAAACATAAAATAAACATTAAATAGTTAAGCATAGAACATACCTTCTGAATAAATGAAGAGAGGAATGAAGATTTTAGATGACTAATCTCTTTATCTTTTTCTTCCAACAATAGCAGAGTTCTTTCCCGTTGCTTTTGTATTTGGTGTTCTAGTTCTATGAGATGTGCCTTACCGGATGCTTCTATTTGAACAATTTCTTGTTTATGAATTAATTTTAAGTCTTCACAGGCCTTCTCCAAGTTAGAAGTTATTTTACTATGATATTCTTCATTTAGCTTCAATTGGGACTTGCATGATTGTAATTGGTCTTGCATGTGTGCCACTTTACTCTTCAATTCTTTAATTTCTTTTCCAGCTTTTGCATCCTGCATTTATGAAAAATTTGAATCAATGACAAATATAAAAAAATACTTACGCGCATGAGCTGATTATAAAATTTTGTCTAATAGCCTTCTTCTGTAACTAATGTTTGTTATAACTGCATTAAATTAATGTAATGTCTTTAATACTTCAATATATAATACATTTGTCTTTAAACAAAAAAGAGTTACATATGAACATTTTAGTAAATCAATTAATTAAATTTATTGTATTCAGGATATTTAATAATTGAGTAAAAACACTGTCAAAAAATATTTTAATAGCAAATTTGATATTTTATGTATAAAATTAGATAATTAAATAAAATATGATGATAATGTAATAGATGAAAATGATTGGTGCTCTTTTAAAGAAATAATGTTTTTTTTTTCTTTTAGTTTCTTTTAGTTTTTCTTTCAGTTTAATGAAAGAACAACAAATGTTAAAGTTTGACAACAGGTTATGACTTTTATTAGCAACTTCAACCAAAATAACATTTTAAACACATTAATTTTTTTTTTCAAACTGTTTTCTTAAAATCAGTATCAAATCATAGAGCTTAAACTTTTTTATGGCATTTTGAAATTATTTTACAAAATCAAAAGTACAACGCTAAAAATTTTCAATCAAAAGATTATTTTAAGTTTTTAAATAAATATATTAACAATACAGGAATGTTTTAATACATTAATCCAAAATTACTAGAAACAGTAATCACTATACATTTTTTGATAATATCAAATAACATGGGTCTAAATAATAAATCATAAATTATATTTTAATCACAAACATACCGAAAGTAAAGCTGCTGATGATTTGTTATATCTTTCCCTGAGAACAGATTCACACTTTGCTTTATATTGCTCTAATTCTTTCTTAAGCTCTGATATTTCAACTAGGCAATGTAAATGAAGGTTTTCTGAAATAAACTTCACATTAAAATACATTACTGAAATAAGTATAATGGATATACAGTATGAGATAGAATTTTATTTGTATGAATTTAATAACTTTCGTACTTTAATCGAGCAGCAAAATTTTTTTAGAATTATTAAACCAGTTTAATTTAATTCACATTCTGGTGTCTAAAATTAATAGACAGGTTAACTCAATACATTTATATGAAATGAAATTATTTGCTTGAGCTCTTTAACTGTCAGACTTAGATAGAAATATGATTTGCACAACACAAACTGGTTTCTGATCACATTACCCAAGATAGATAACACTCATAGCGAATATATTTTTCTAATGACATAACATTAAAACTAGATACAATAATAACATTAAAACTAGATACAATCACTGGTATAGCCTGTAGTTGAACAGCCTGTAGTTGAACTGTAATTCAGTTAAAATTCAATAAATTCTCAAATTCTTTAAAGTTTTTAATGAATGAATAATATATTGCAGTAAAGATTTTAAAAAATTCTGCAAAAATATAGGAAAAATTTGATAAATAAAGCAATTTTCTCAGTAATTATTTTCGAAAAAAAATACTTTTTTGAGTCAAACTTTCATGTTAATTTTAGTTTTCAAGGATTTATTTTAATTTTTTTCTTTTATCACAAATTTTCCTCAAGCTAAATATTATCTAAGTGATTTTGAGAATTGTCTAATACAAAGGGGACAAAAATTAAAATAAAAAAATTCTATCAGTAAAAAAACTCTATTTAACTACAGTTTCTTCAATAACTTACCCAAACATCGGCAAATTAATTAACTAAATTTTGATTAAATTTTAAAGCAAGCAAACTTTTAGTCTTAAAGTAAGACAATTTAGCAAGGTATTTAGTAAAAAATTTTAATATTTCAATCTCTCAAATCAAATAAAAGCAAAAGTAGCTATATTTGATACTAAATAATCAGAAAAAAATCCTTTTTTAATTACTTTATGAATACACAAATAATTTGAATATTGGAAATAAAACGAAGAGTCATAAATGCAAGTTTAATTTTTTATCTGAAATGATATACAATATGCAATTCTATAAAAATAAAATAACGTAATATTCCATAAAATGTTTAATTTTTAAGTTTCTACAAAGTTACAATTTAATTGAAATGAAATTTTATTTTCAATGTTTTTTTTCTACCATAGGTGAACTAAAAAATTTAAAACAAACCTTCAGTGTGGGAATTGTCTGTATTAACATACAATGGCTCAGAATGAGTTCTAGGTCTTTGTACAGTATCTTTAACCTCAGTAAATTGCCTGAATTCCAATAATTTGGAGTCATCAGTAGAAATATGGGATGAAAATGCAGCACATTCATTTTGAAGTTGAGATATTCTAGCCTTAAATTAGAAACAAGAAAATAAGTTATTTCTATTAAGATTTCAGGAAAAAGTGAGTTGATTTATTTTTTTTTTAAAAATTCATCTTTTATGCAAAATAAATAGTATTTAAAAATTTGCTTTCTTTGAGCGAACAAGCAACATTTTCTACATAATGTAACAAAAGCTATTTTTAAACTATCTTATTCTTAAATGCTATTAAAAATATATAAATGCTATTGAAACTTTTTAATCAAATGACCCTCATCAATTCATTAGAATCAATCAATATATTAAATTAATAAAAAAGAAAAGTCCACTTCATGCATTGGATTAGACTAATTAAACTAAACATTAGATCTGAAAATAACCACTCGCCGCATGGCGAGTCAACAAAAAAAATGGTGACTTAAATTAAGTATCATTTTTTAAGCATCAATTGGTCATTTTTTTTTAATTGTTAAATGATAAAAGTAGATAAATGCAGAAAGACTCAGGAAAATAGAATTTGCATTTAAATGTCCAATATCTCCATTCAAAATTTTGCTCCTTCAGCTATTTCAGCTTTCCATCCTCATTGCTATTTCATGAAAAAGTAGTGCATAACAGAAAAGTTCTGAACATTTGATCCGCAAACTTGTAATGTTAGAAATATCAACTATTTCAAGCATAGAAAGATTTAATATAAGTATATTAAGAAATTATATTAAGTTACAAAATCTCACTTTGTTTTAAAAACTCTACTTTCCAAAATCACTGTGTTTTAATTAGAATCTGGATAATAAAATATAATAAAACTAATTAAGCATAAACTAAAAAGTTTAAAAAATTCATACTTTAAGTTTTTCAATGGTAATTTGATCTTGCAATTTTATTTTGTCATGATCACCAATTATACAAGATAATTCAGACACTCTGCTCTCTAAATTAGCTATTCTTTCTTCTTTAACAAAAACTAGCATCCCTAGTTTCTCCTCAGCAGTGTCAGCTCGAAGTTTTTCTTCATTAATCTTTGATTGGTATTGAGACTAGAAAATGAAGACATAGAAATACACAAAGATTTTTTAAATGCCTATCTAATTACAGCAAGTAAATTTTATTTTCAAACTTATAGATTTCTGAACTATAAATACAATAATAAGAAATAATTTAACATATAATATATAAAACAAAGATTGTGTTTCATTTATTTATCAATTTAACAAAAGTCCAACACATTATTTTAGCTATACTTTTATACAACAACAGCATTTTCAGATTTATTAGCCCATTGACTCTTATAAACAAACTTTTATATATTCTAACATAATGAAAATATTCTTAAAAAAAATAAAAAATTCCCATTTAAAAAGAAACCTAAAAGAAAAATTAATTTCTTTACAATGAAAAAATATGTTAATAATATTTAAAAAGGTTTGCCACAACATCAAAGAGAATTTTACTATTGTTCATCATAATTTACTTTTCAGAACACAACAATAAAATGAATATTATGCTTTTGTCAAACAATTTATATGGAAAAAAAAGGCATCAAAGCAAATTCAGTGCAGAACCTCTTATCCGGAAATCAGAAAACCAGATAACCGGAATGAAATTCAGAACCGGAAATTAATTTTCCTCAATTAAAAAAAAAACAATTTTTCCTACAAGATTTTGAGCCCATTTTGTTATTTAGAGCGTACGACGTATCAAGTTGACGAAAGAACTGATTTAGAGGACGGATCAAAAGCCATTTGTAGACGAATCTCACATAAGCACAAATAGCTTATATATGTTATTAATGTTAATAATAACATTAATAACATATATAAGCCTGTATATAATTTTTATTTCATAATTTCTTTCCTTATTTAAATTTAAGTGTATTATTATTTATAATTTTTTATTATTTCTAAAACTATTTCAAAATAATTTTTTAGTTTCGTTTCATAAACATTAAAAAGACGGCATTTTGTAGCGATTCAGAAAACCGAAAAAATCAGTTATCCAGAATCGCGATGGTCCCGATTGTTCCTGATAATCGGTTCTCTACTGTATCATCTTTTTCTTATAGCTCTATTTTTATTTAACAGTTACATCAATTTCGGAGTTTGAAAAAACTTAATTACTAAATTGAAGTACCTAATACCTTACGTGTTACATCTACACGTGTATACATTGCTATTAAATTAGTTACAATAATGGTTATTATATATACTTTTTAATTTAAATTATTATTCACTTTATTTTGAGGAAAACTATTCAATATTATTTATGAGGTAATTATTTTAAGGAAACTATAGTCAATCTTATATGCTTTAGTTTAGAAGACTTTTTTTAATTTACCTTTAGTGAGGTATCAATATGTTAATGAAATAAAAAAAAAAACTTACCTTCATTTCATGAATTTCTTCTTGCATTTTCAGAATCAAAATTTCTTTTTTCTTTACTTCATTTCTTGCAGCATTCAAATTCTCTCGGGTGGACTTCAATTCAGCTCGCAAATCATCAAAAGTTCTCTCATATTCAGTAATCTTTTTCTCAGAAAGCTTACCACTAAATTTTTGTAAAAGTTCACTGATCTATAAATTTGAAAATAAAAGAACTGTAACTATTAAAAAAATTTACATATATAATAGCTGATAAGTACTATTTAAACAAATAAAAAAAACTATGCAATCATAAATTTCCCTATTTTTGCATTAAAGGGTAACAGCAAAAACAAGCTAGCAAAATAATAATTATGAAAGTAATTTTTTTTTATCAAAATAAAAAATTAAACAGAACAGAGAGGAAACAAAATTATTAATTACTAGAATGGATAATTCTTGTCTTTTTTTTTTCTAATCTACACACACACTAGAATGAAACTAATCATTTTGCAAAAACATACTACCCATAACTCTTGTCAGATACCATTAAAATTAAAATATGATTTTATAATCAAACAAATTTAAGAATCAAGGTAATAAAATCGAAAATCATGCTTAAAAAAGCTTGAAATTAAATATTTTATTAAATTAAAAACTGACAACTATTAACATTACAAATAAAGATAAATTCTTCAGAATACTTTCCAATTTACTTTGAATCTATTTTCACACAAAAAAAAAGTAACTCTTATACATCAAACAAAAATCAAGAATTAATTCAAAACTTTTTATTAATTGAAATTTTCATATTTTTGTCACTTGATTATTGTTTTGAGTAACCTCTCAACTCAGTATCACCATTAATTTTTAAAATATTAAGATATGAAATAAAAATTTTATTTAAACTCTTTCAAAGTGGCAATATCATTTTGAATATTTAAAGAGGGATTTCAAATATATAAAACTGTGAAAACTTTATAACATAATGAGATGATAAAAAATTTCAATATATCAAAGGGAATGATTAGACAATACATATGTTTTAATTATATGAAGATATCAATTTTTTAAAGCATATTTAATCCTAATCAGAGCTTTGGCTATATATCACATACTTCAATCAAATACATTTAATAATTTCTCAAATTTTGTCAATATTTTTGGAAAAATACTTTCGAATTTGCTTGGTTACCTTTAAACATATCACTTCACACATGCATGGAAAAAAATTATCATTTACCCATGTATCTGATTTTAAAATAACTTTTTTGTAACATATAAAATTTTATCTACAGTATCAATAAACTCAAAGTTCATTTAAGTTGCACCTAAAATTAATAGCAAAATATTTTAATTAAAAGATTAAACAAAATTGTAAAAAAAAATTCAAAAATTTGTTTACTTTCTAATTAAAGTTTTTTGATTCTAAATACAATATTAAAGTATTATTTTTTTATGAAGAATTAATTTAATTAAAGAGGAAACAAATGCAAAATCTTGCGTTGCAGAATCTTACCAAATAAAATTTTTATTTGACCATCAATATCAAATCAGATATTTTTATGAGAGTTGTTTCTCACATTTTATAATAAAAATTAGGTTTTTATTCTAGCATACATTATTCTGTTTCATTCAATTCAGTTTATAAACATTCCAGATAAAATTGTTAACCACACTAATAATATGTTTAAAAAAAATTTAAAATATTTTTATCTTCTCAGATAAAAAAAAAAACATAAATTTTAATTATAATTCATGTAAATGGTGGCAAAATATAAGAAAAACAATTTAAAGAGCCTATAATCTAACTTTGACTTTGACGCACATTTTCTTTATCTTTATAAATTATGTCCTAATACTAATTGCTTTAAAAAACTAAATACAAGTAATTATTTAATATATATGTTAAATTAATATAGATAAACCTTAATTTAAATTTATACCTGTTGCTCTAATTTTTCCTTCATAGCTCTTTCATTTGCAAGAACATTTTGAAGTTCTTTTAACATCAAGACATGATCTTGTTGTTCTTTATCTCTTTCTCTTTGTTGGTCACTAATTTTCCTTCTTAACTAAATTAAGCACAAGATTTTATTTATGTAATACAGTCAATACCAATCGTCAGTAAAAGTATAAAACATATTATTGGTGTTAAGATTTTTTATAAATGTCTGCTCAACAGTTTTGAAAAGAAAAATAATCTTAAAAAATCTTAAAAATGAAATTTTAAAAAAAATTGAAAATAGTACAGGGCACGAAAGCTAAAAAATTTCATGCAAACTTACATTTTACTTGTAAAATTTACTGTTATATTTTACAAAAAAAATATTTCAATGAGTGTGAACAAACTACGATTACATTTCTAAAGTATTATTACTTGTTATGCTAATTTTACAAGAAGTAATTTATTTTATAAAACTATTCTCAAAAATATGCATTATTTCTAATAAATCATCCAGCACCAAAATTATGTTTCAATCGGTAATGCCTTATATGTATAAATAAAATAAAAAATAGCGCAGCTGAAACTACTATTTTAAGTATCTGTAACCTGTTAATTGTATACTTTAGTTCACGGAATGTCCACAAATGCTTTAATTTGTAATCAAGAAATCAGTTAAAAGTAATGACTTATTATATTTAATTATTTATAAATTCCACGCTTTAAAAAATTCACATAACTAACTCAGATTTTTTTAATGCCTGTAGCAAATAATTGAGTAATGACTTAGCTTTCATGCTTGCATTTACTAAACATTATTTAGTTTTTTATTACAGAACTTTTTGACTAGATAAAGATCGCTAAAACTAACAACTTTCTAGAAATTATTTTTAGGAAGTCTGCTTAAGTATTGCTGGCAAGTCTTAAAAAAATGGCTCAAAGGATAAGAAAAATATTTATATCAAAAATTCATATGCTTCATAATCATGTAATTATCTTACGCTTTAACATTTAAAGAAAACAGGGCTATTGCCTATAAAATTTGGTACAAAGAATTTGTTAATAATCATTATAGTTTAAAAAAAAGGAACATGTTTTTTACCTCCACTATGAGCTTGTCACATTTTTCTTTTTCAAGAAAATACTTATTTTCTGAATCAACAAGTTTTTTTTCTAGATCCTCCTTCTGTTGCTGAATTTTATAAAAAAAAAGAAGAAGAAAAAGAATCAAATAAACCAGATAAAATGTTAACAAGTTTTTAGCATTTCTAACAGCTTAGACATTAAATTTACCAAAATTTTCTTCCTATCTGTTTTTAATTCATTTTCAATGCGGGCTCTTTCAATCGTTAATGCACCTAAACTGCTCTTTAGGTTTTGGATGCAAAGCTCATTCTTCTTTTCTGAGGAAAGCTGAAAAACATTTGATTGTTTTTAGAGAAATAATTATTCTATAAAATTATATATAATGCATAAAAAATATTTATTTTAAAAAGGAAGTCATCGTCAAAAGGTAGGAACCAATTATTTATTTAAATATTTACTACATGTTTACTAGCAGGGGTCTGTCCAGACATTTTGTAAAAGGTCCGTTTTTGTAAAATTGTGAAAAAATTACTTGTAATTCGTGAATATAAAATAAACTTTCACGTTCTTTCAACCAGGATCCTGCTTTTGTGAATTTGTGCAAATAGGGGCCTGTTATTGCAAAAAACTTTTTCAATGAGTTTTTAAATTGTAAGGTGATACCAGATTATGCTCAACACTGTAAAATTATAATTAAAAAAAATTAAACTTTAAAAAATAAACAGTAATTGCTGCTACTAAATTAGACATGCAACATACAAATATTTGGTATTTAGCCTATTCTGCTGAATGCAGAATATTAATTTCGGACGAATAATGGAAGAAGCCTCTGCCGAAGACAAAACTTAGTTCGTTTACATCTGTCTTTCTTCCCCCCCACACCGCTGGAAAGGGTTTATTCGATTAACAAAACAATAATGACGATAAACAAATTTGTGAAAGGTCCGATTAAAAGATTAATCATTCTGTGAAGGGTCAGTTTTTAAGTTAAAATATCTTGTAAAGGGTCCGTTTCCCTGAAAAGATATTTTGTGAAGGGTCCGTTAACAGGCCCAAATTTCATCTAAACAGACCCCTGACTAGATAACTTTTATTACATATTTGCTTGATNAATTATTTATTTAAATATTTACTACATGTTTACTAGCAGGGGTCTGTCCAGACATTTTGTAAAAGGTCCGTTTTTGTAAAATTGTGAAAAAATTACTTGTAATTTGTGAATATAAAATAAACGTTCACATTCTTTCAAACAGGATCCTGCTTTTGTGAATTTGTGCAAATAGGGTCCTGTTATTGCAAAAAACTTTTTCAATGAGTTTTTAAATTGTAAAGTGATACCAGATTATGCTCAACACTGTAAAATTATAATTAAAAAAAATTAAATTTAAAAAAATAAACAGTAATTGCTGCTACTAAATTAGAGATGCAACATACAAATATTTGGTATTTAGCCTATTCTGCTGAATGCAGAATATTCATTTCGGACCAATAATGGAAGTAGCCTCTGCTGAAGACAAAACTTAGTTCGTTTACATCTGTCTTTCTTTCCCCCACACCGCTGGGAAGGGTTTATTCGATTAACAAAACAATAATGACGATAAACAAATTTGTGAAAGGTCCGATTAAAAGATATATTATTCTGTGAAGGGTCAGTTTTTAAGTTAAAATATCTTGTAAAGGGTCCGTTTTCATGAAAAGATATTTTGTGAAGGGTCCGTTAACAGGCCCAAATTTCATCTAAACAGACCCCTGACTAGATAACTTTTATTACATATTTGCTTGATAACTATACTCTGTTAAGTGAGAACCGATAGAGAAAGTAAACGAAATTGCTAGGGACTTGGAATTACTTTTGGCTGATTGATACCAAAGTCATGACAAGTAGTTATGACCAATGGTAAGGAAGAAAAGAGTCTCCGACTTACTGAAAAACCAGCAGATGTTAGTTATGTTGTCTATAAGCAGTAAACTCTTATGTTTACTTCCACTATCAGTTTTAGCTCTAGCTGAACACAGTATAGATGGTAAAACTAGTTTTAATATAATGCCTACTCATATCTGAATGTAAACTGAAACTAGTTAAATAACTAAATGTCAGGTGAGAACTACTATTTACTAGATAAAAGGTTATGGTTAGGAAAGTTGAAAGGAGTATAATAAATAAGTTAATAATTAAAATTAAGATTTCATTAAAAGAGTTTTTAAACATGTTTTTGAAAAACCTGAATATTTTAAACATAAAAGTATTTATTATGAGTGCATTTCCATTTTATTCCTTTCAGAAAAAATACAGATCATCTTTAAAAAAGAAAACTTAATATTATAAATTTGACTTAAAACTTAATATTATAAATTTGACTTTGAAAGAAAACTTAATATTTATATAACTGTATTGTATATAATTTAATTGTATTATTTAAATATATTGTATTGTGAATTTCTGAGACTTTTTTGTGTTTTATATGACAATCTTTTGATACATTTTCCAGTTATCCAACATTTGAGTTGAACAAGGAGATGTTTTACACCCAAATTTTCATCATCATATCTTTCTAACAAAGGCCAGTTTTATTCCAGACCCTGTATTGAGTTCCGAATAAAACTGGTTGTTTATTTGGATGGCAAATAATAATAGATGATGAACGCAATCCACTATTCTTGGTGAATCTGATATAGAAAAAGAATAGATTGAAGAGAAATTACTGTGCAAATTTACACAGTTTGTTCAACATTTAAAAGTTTAAATCACAATTTTTTTATCAGAAAACTTTCAAGAAAATAGAAAAAAATTCTTTTTTCAAGTGCTGAATCATTCCATTTACAAACACTGATTACCAATTTTATATTTTATCAAAAAATATAATTAGTATATGTTCTTTCCAGAAAATGCAATAATTTGATACTTTAAAAAATGCTTACATCATTCTCATTATTTTCACTTGTTTCATCCGTAGATATTACAACAGAAGCTTCTGTGAGAGTTTTAATGCTGTTTTGAAGAGTTTCTTTTTCAGCTAACAGATTTTTATAAGATCCAATAATATCTACAAATTAAAAATTATGCAAATTTATTATTAAAAGCATGCAACATTTGTGACATGGGAAGAAAATTGACAAGAGAATATACAACTTAGATTTAATATTATCAATGTTGCTGTCAAAAATGTGAAATTACTTGCGATAGCAGCAACATAGTTTAAGAAATAGCGAAATATAGAGTAAGTGAATTGCTTGTTGCTGGAAAATCTCTACAAGATATAATAAAAAAAGTTCAGATTTTTGCTCTATGCTTAACTTGCAAATTTCTTGTTAATCAAAAATTTATATTTAACTAGCCGCTTAAGACGGCCAGCTGTCCGCCACGCTAAAGGTTTTCACAAATAAAGTTTTTTAAAACATAGCAAGAAATCTAAAGATTAGTGGACAATTAATGCGTTCCTGTCCTGCAATTTTGTCTTTATATCCAGTTCTGCTGCAGATGTGTTATAGCTCTTGAGGATCTTTGAAGATGTAACTTTGCTATGGTAACCTAAGGCCTATGGTAACCTAACCTATAATATAACTATCAGGTGGAGACTTGTTTTTTTTTTCTTTTAAAAAAGGCCTCAGAAATTGTAAAAGCATACAAAAGTTGCTTTCGAAATCATCATTGGCCANTCTCTAATCGAACTATTCCTAAAATTCCAAGGGAACAATTTAATTCAAAGCACTTTTGCAAAACAAAATTCAGTCTTTCCCATTTTCTATTTATAATTTATAGCCTACTTTCGATTGCATATAGGGTAATTAAAATTGATATTTATATAAAAATAAGAACTACTACTTGTTACTTACATAGTAAAAATAACAAATTCATAAAAAATTTAAACGTGAATATTTATATGTATAACAACATAATAAAGACAAAAATGATAAAGAAAATAAAGATTTACGAAGAAAATTAATAATAATAATAATAAGCTTTATTCACTGCGAATAACCTGCAAATACATTGAACTCTATTGTATTGATATATTTTGCTCTAGGCTACATTAATACGATATTAGAAAGCACTATTTTTTCTTGGATTTAATCATGTGAGCTGATAACGAGATTATAACTTTTCCCTATAATATTTTTTGCTTAAATTTTTTTCAAATTTTCAGATAGTTTTAAAAACATTTTTTACTAAATTTTTTCTATTCCTTTAAAAAAGCTTTATATCTTTTTCTTTATTTTTAACATTAAGTAAAAAATCACGTAAAAAACAGAAAATAATGTGTTAAGAAAAAAAAGAACAAAACACAAAGCAAAATTTATAAACCTAGTAGCGAATTCAAATGAACTTGCATGTACCGGAATTTTTCAAGAATGATTTAAAATATTTTTGTAATAAGATTGCCAGATAATTCAAAGAATGATATTTAATTATACAATTTTGATGATTTTTGAAAAAAAAAAGAGAGAGAGAAACATCATTTCCCCATTTTGTACAGATTTTTAGTCACGGATTTGCCCAACTTGGATTTGCACATGGTAAAAATATAAATTAACAAAAAAATATTTAGTAAATTTATTAATACTAACATACAATTAACTCAATGATTTTATATAAAATTTAATTACTTTAGTTGGGTATCCATTGTTTTTTTATCAAATTTTGAAAGAGTTCAACTATATATTTTGTTTTTTGGATAAATAAATATTGCTACATATTCTTTTAATTTTATCCATTTGACAAAAAATGGTATTTAAATAGATGTTTTCAGAAACATTTAGATGTTTTTAGAATTTCAGGTAATTAGTTTATTTATGTATTAACATTGAAATCATTAGTTTTATCGTATAAATCAACAAAGCAGATATTTTCTTCATTTTTAATACCCAAATCCAATAATTTAAAATTAATATTTTCATCATGATTACGAAGCAAGATTAATTCCTCTAGACATATTATTTAATAAAATTGTATAACCTTGTAAGCTAAAGATAATCAAATCATCAATAAATCTAAAAAGAAATTTAATATTAAGAGTATGATTTTTTTTATAATAGTGTGAAAATAAGTTACCTAAGAAAGGTGAAAAATTAAATCCATGTGTTATTCCATCAATTTGAATAAAAATATCTTTTCCATAGTAAAAATAATTATTAAAAAGACAAAAATTAGAATTTTCCAATAATCAAAATTGCAATTAAAGATATTTTAAAATCATAGTAATAGTTTAAAAGAGCATCTTTAAGTTTAGAAAGGGGAATGCTGTTGTAAAGATTCGGGAAATCAAAAGTCGTAATCGAATTAATTTTATTTTGTTTAATAAATTATAAAATCGGTTAATTATTAGTGATAATCCAAGAAAAACCTTCTTTAGCAATATTGTTTATTTTATTTAAAGTTAGAAAAAATTGTGTCAGATTACTTAGGTAAGTATTAGATCCACATGTGATTGTTCTAAATTTTATAGGAATTTTATAAAATTTTGGTAATTAAGTAAGTAAGGGAATAAAGGGTAATTAAGTAAGGAAATTGTATATTGCTAACTTTAAATTTTAACCTTTTATATAAAGTTACAATTTTCTTAATGATATTATTATTTAAATTACTTAGGTTAAAGTTTTATGCAATTTTTAACTCCGTAATTAAAAGTTTAACTTAGAATTCTTTATAGAAGATTGCATAGTTATCGTTAGATTTGTCTTCGGGTTAATTACAATTTTTTTTTTCATAGTTGCTTAATAGATCGAACAATTTTAGAAACATATTTTTAATTGTTAATGTTATTTACATTTTTCTTATTATCCAGAATAAAGTTTTTTAAATAATATTAAACAGCCTATTTCCATTCTGTTAGCATACCTAAAGGTAAAGATAATTTGCTTGATATCTTAAAACAAAAGTTATTGAGATCATTAAGAAAGTATTTTAGAATTTTATTAATTGATATATGGTAAATGGAATTTTTGTTCCAATGTTCATTAAATTCCAAATTTCTGAGCTTTCTATATTGTTGTTGTTGTTGTTAATTTACGTCGCACTAGAGCTGCACAATGGGCTATTGNTATTAGATCCACATGTGATTGCTCTAAATTTTATAAAATTTTGGTAATTAAGTAAGTAATGAAATAAAGGGTAATTAAGTAAGGAAATTGTATATTGCTAATTTTAAATTTTAACCTTTTATATAAAGTTACAATTTTCTTAATGATATTATTATTTAAATTACTTAGGTTAAAGTTTTATGCAATTTTTAACTCCGTAATTAAGAGTTTAACTTAGAATTTTTTATAGAAGATTGCATAGTTATCGTTAGAATTGTCTTCGGGTTAATTAAAATTTTATTTTTGTAGCTGCTTAATAGATTGAACAATTTTTAAAAAAATTTTTGAATTGTTAATGTTATTTAAATGTTTCTTATTATCGAGAATAAAGTTTTTAAAATAATAATAAACAGCCCATTTCCATTCTGTTAGCATACCTAAAGGTAAAGTTAATTTGTTTGATATCTTAAAACAAAAGTTATCGAGATCATTAAGAAAGTATTGTAGAATTTTATTATATTAATTTATATATGGTAAATGGGACTAATTTTTGTTCCTTTGTTCATTAAATTCCAAATTTCTGAGCTTTCTATAACATTTAAATTACCAGTAATAATATGTTCATGGTGTTTATCAACAAAATCAAAATATTTCTCTTCTTCACAGTGACATTCATAATCGAATATATTAATTTTCCCTTAATTCTTGCTTATATTATTATAATTAAATATAGTTCTACTAATAGATTAAATATATATATATATGAATGATAAGCCTAGTAATGTGTAAAAAGTAGGTAAAATAAAGTCTAGTTCATTAAATATGTCTCATCAGAAATCATTGCAGACATATGTTTAAACTCCTTATTCACAAAAAAACTAACCATGTAAGCGAGATTTATACTTCAGTAAATTTTTATCTTGATCTTCGATTATAGATAGCAATTCTCTTTTATTTTTCTTCTCCATTATAAGGGACACCTTTTTATAATTAAAAAGTATTAATTTTAATCATAACTAGAACACATACAGCAAACGTCACAAAATTAATTGAATTATTATCGTCTGTTTGTTATTGTTTTTCAAACAGGACATGCACCGCTATCAGTAGCTTATTTTTTTCAAGTATAGATCAGCTAAAAGTAAATATTTGAATTTCAGTTGAATTACGAAATTAACGTCAAAGTTATTATCCAGATTTATTTTAAAAGTTTTAGCTCACAGCGAATCTTGAATGGAGCAGATATAAGCAGCTAATAGCGAAAACTGTAAACAAATTTTAAAGCACGTTTTTCAATAATAAATTAAATCTTTAATTAATAAGAATTACCTGTAATTAAAACTTTCATGATGATAAAATATAAAATCCCTCGCAGCCAAATACAGAGAATGGCTTCCTCTAACAATAGCTTTTGTTTAAACAACGCCAATTGCTTTGGCGAAAAAGTTTGGTCACACCACACAATCAATATAGGGTTATAAGAAGATTGATGGATAAAAGCTAGCGTCAAGCTCACTCCGCCCAGTTACCAATTCCTAAATTGACCAAATATCAAAAGTTTTAGCTCACAGCGAATCTTGAATAGAGCAGAAATGAACAGCTAATAGCGAAAACTGTAAACAAATTTTAAAGCACGTTTTTCAATAATAAATTTAAAAAAAATTTTATATCATCACTATACATTGAAATTTAAAAACGGTAAAGTAAATTTGTGTTTCTGATCAAGTGAACTGTTTTTTTAGGTTTTGTCAGAAAATCTACTTTGTAGATATTTTAATAATCTTATTTCTTTAGAAAATTTTCACAGAAGACTTAATAATTGACGTAATGCTTATTTTATTGTTTACTATAGATTTTTGCAACTTTACTTGTTATCTCCAAATAGAAAAGCTACGTTTCTCTTTTAAATTACTGCTTTAATTATATCTGTTTAAACTACAGTAAAGGTGTTAGATTTTAGGCACTAAATTCGACCGATTAACCGTGTAGCTATTTCTTCAAGTTCTTGAAATTTTAATTGCAAAGAAAAATATACGGAATAGTCTCCATAATCAATTTAAGTCAGCTTTTCTCTCTCTCTCTGAATATATATATATACATATATATTTCTTTGAAATATTGGGGAGAGCATACAGATCATAAAAAGAGGGGAGATGGGGAGGATTACCATATTTGCAGCAAGTTGGCGACGAAATCCGTTTTCTCTCAAGAAAGATATTATTTTGTTACATTTAAAACAATGTTATTGATTCAAAATGTTATTTTCTAGTCATTATCATAGAAATGTTTAAAAGTGATTTTTTATCAAACACTTTCATCAAAACATAAAAAAGAGTAATTAAAAGAAAGAAGTCTGGATATTATGTGAAAAAATCTTTACTTTGAAAATGATTAATGTTTCTGTCAGTTGAATGTGAGTAAATTTTTTGAAAATTATAGCTTACTACTTAGAATAGTAAGTATTTATCTATTAACTGGGTGCCAGGCAAAATTTCCTGTTCTAAAGGGTGAAATAAGTATTTATTAAGAAGAATCCTAACTTAAATTTATTACCTGCAAATATAAAGTTCAGAATTACATTCTGGCTTCTTAAATTTTTATTATGTTTTATACATAAAGTTTAAGTTTTATTTAAGTTCAAGTTTTTATTTCTGTAATTTAAGTGTATTAAACATATTAGTATTGAAGCTTAGTCTAGTAGCATTTTACAACATAGCAAAACATTCTATGTTATTAGATTAATGCATACATGATGAGATGTATAAATATTAAATTTAGTGAAATATGTTCTCATTTATTTTAATTTAATATTCTATGTAGGATCAAAAATATGGGTGATACAGACTCTGAGTGGCAATCTGTTAATCATAAAAGGAAGGTTGTGCATTTTCCCAAGAACAAAAAGAAGAAAAAGATTCTTCAAAATGAACTTGGTATAGATGATTTGAATAGTTTAAAGTCCTATGAAGATTCTCACACTAATCTTTTGAAAATGCAGGTAAATTGTCTTCAGATATGATTAATCTTTTTTTTTTATGTTAATAAACATTTTCTGAGGCCTTAAAAGTACATTTGCCAGCCACAGGAATTTAGAAAATTCTGGATATATAGGTTACATAATATTTTAGTAATTATTTGGTAAAAAATTATTGCTTTGAAACTGTAAGTGTGATTTTGTGTTACAATATGATTAAACTAATACAGTATTGTATAAAATGAGATTTATTTATAAGTTGAAACTGTGGTGAGAGAGGAAAGCGGTGTTCCATGTAGACAATTGGTTATTGATTAGCTTAAATAGTATCAGGCATTTATTTTCAAATTATCCATTAAATATATATTCTTAATGTATTTTTAAAATATGTAAATCAAAATACTTTTTATTTATGTAACTTCCTTTTGGTTTAAATGTTTGACATATTTGTAACAAATTTTCCTCATATTTTTTATTTACTTTTATTATATTTTGAATGAAAGTGAAAGATTAAGCATTATCCAGGTGCTTGACAATAAAAAACCCTTATTAGCTTCATAATTAAAATAGAATGCAAATCAACATGTTTTGAGTAAAACATGACAATCTTGGATCTACCAATTGTGAATTCTTAAAAATGATCAAAAATAGCTTTATTGTGAAAAAGAAAAGTTTATAGGGAGAGAGACTTCTGATCCTAACTTATCTGTTACTTTACTATTATACTTTTTTTTTTTTTCAGTTACAAATTTGCTAATAACTTGGCTCATTTTGGTTTTCAAATTATTTTCATGCTTTTTACTAAAATTAAATTCAAATCCCTTAAAGATTTAACCAATAAAGCTACTCCTTAAGCCATTTATCATATACTTAGACAATCCAACTTTTGTTACATATGGCAAACCAGACATGCATGTATTTCGATTAGGTACACTGCAGTTGTTCTTTATTGAGTGTTTTTATACATCATAAATTACTGCCATTTTCCAATTGGTAATAAAGGGATGGTATGTTGATTTACTTTCCCAATTTCTCATTTGATGTCTTAGCTTGTTTCTGTCATGACTGTTAGTTCTATGTTTTTTCATAATTTTAGATATCAGACATTCTCTGTAATTTTACATTCAATTTTACTTAAATAACTTTTTTTTCTTTGCTTTTAACAATGCAATATAATGCTTTATCTATGATAAATATGTAATATTAAACGTTACTAAAAAAAAAACTGATATAATATTCCTTAAATAAAGGTTCGTTTGCCTTTTTTAATTAGTTTTGTTTAAAACATTTGTTAAATTTATTTTACTTCATATAATTTTACTTTTAAGAGAAAAACGTATAATTCAGGGATGAGATTTTTCCACTTTTTAGCGGATTTCCGCTTTTTTCACTTTTATCTCTTAAATTTCAGCTTTTTGATCAAAAATTCAGATTTTCTAAAAATTTCATTTTTTTAAATAAGTATTCCGCTTTTTCAGAAAATTCACCGATTTTCAAAGAGGAACAGAAAATTCAAACTACATAGCTACCAATCCTTTCTCATTTCTACTTATTTTACCTATTTTCTCCCTTTTTACACGCAGCACATAAGATTTTCCGAATTTTTTACCCACCCTCCAGATAGATCCGATTTTCGTAGTTCAAACGGCGCTGCTTCTGACAATCCTTTTAGAGGTCCCAAACCTGGAATCTGCTAATATCTCGATTCTTATTCAATCGATTTTAATATCACACATAGCTTTTCATATTTGTGTGTTGCGATTCTTATTCATGCGATTTGAATACTGTACGTTGCGATTCTTATTTACGAGATTTAAAAATCCGATATTGTAATTCGTATTTACGTCTTTTTAAAAACCTATGTAGCGATTCGTATTCACNAAAGAAATGTAGTCATCTTTAGCTGATGAGCAATCCTAAACATCATATATGGAGGCAGTTCCCAACTCTCCTATAATTTATCCTAAATTTATGTTATTCCGCTTTTTAAACCTGTCTAACCAGTGATTTGAGCACATAAAAGTAGTCACACCTAATCTCTTCATTGGCTTTGACTTGAAGCATTTGTTCAGATACTGGAAGATTGTGGATTCTTTGAATGCTGAACCAATTCAATAATGAAGGAACGAAAAATTTTTATTGCTACATTTCATGCTATAGAGGGTTATAAAAATCGGGGTTTAAAATGTATTTTAAAAGGGTTTTAAAAATATTAAAATTGTTTTAAAATGTTTAAAATTATTTCAAACTAGAAATTTTAAAATTATTACAAAAAAAAATGAAGAAAATCTGTCGAAGACGGAAAAAAGTTCATAATATCCAACTTACTCTCTTTTTTTGGTTCATTATATCCACAAAAAATAACATTTACGTTTGTAGAAAGGCACACGAGCGAACATTTTGTTCACTATATCTGGGAGTTTACTATGGCAGGGTTTGACTGGGTATATATACATATATAACTGCACTTTTAAACATTTCTTTTAAAATAAATTCTTCTAATTTAAGAAGAAAAGTTAAACTGAAAAATAAGCACTATATTTTAGCAGTGCAAAGCTATTTGTTTAAAATTTCATAGTGATAGCTTAGGAAGAAGTCCTTATAAGCAGACCCTTTCCATTCTTTTGAGTCGGCCCCTTTTTTTCCTCTTGTAAGTTATTCATAGATTGCCCTATTATCCTCTCCTTATAATTTTGTTTCTAGTGAAGAATTGTTACTCGATCACTAATTATCTTCTTTTTATCTGATCTTTGAAATCACACAGAAGTCTCAAAACTATATCATGCAATTCGGAAATTTGTAACTTAATTACTATCTAAAGATGTATCACTTGATTATTTTTCTCCGCTAAAACTTTTTAATTTAGATTTAACTGATTCCACTTATTAATTATTTAAAAGAAAACTTTCGTATTATTTTGTATTGTTTTACGTTTGAACAAAAATAACGTTTGCTGTAGGAATAGTTAATATTAACATAACTGTTGTTATTATTAGGAATGGCTTCGTTTTCTTTTCGATTAACTGCATTTCCGTGTGAAGAAGCTTTCAAGGAGAGTAGGTTTCTTCCTGATAAAAATAATGTTCGATCATCTTGGCTATATGGTAATATTGGTGGTAAGTATTTATTATTTTCATGCATATATTATCATTTTATTTTTATGCATATTTTGTCTGTATGTTTTCTACCTAGTATATTTTGCACTTGTTAGTTATTAAAATTTTATTTGTCTATTGATACTCATTTTTAAAGCAAATGAAGAGCAAAAAATACTTATTATTTAGTATTTGTGGAATCATTAGACTCTTATCTTACTTCAGGTTCTTTATCACATCACTCATTCATGTTAAGTTTTAAGTGCTATAGAAATGTAGTTATTATGAAATATACTTGTATTTTCATAAACAATTAAAATGTAATGCAATATCAAACAAACTTTACAAAATTTATTTGTGAAGCTAATATTTAAAATATTTTTTTTTTTTTTTTGTTCAAATACGCAAATAAAATATTGATGTTTTTTCATGCACATGTTTTCAAAAAAAAAAAAAAACAAATTATGATTATTTCAAGAGTTTATATTTTATGTTGATGTTAGAAAAAAAGTAGACTGTTTTTAGAAGATTAGCATGCCATTTGATTAATATATATATAAATATATTTTTTTAATGAAAATTTTTATGTAGCATATAATTTTTTAACTTGCCTTTTTTTATTTACTTATTTTGCTCATAATATGATTTGATTAACTGATTTGTTGTGCATATGTACTCGATATTTGGCACATGTTTTTCCTCGCCAACCGCTCTTCATGCATTTTTATTGGTGCCGCCTTCATCACACAGCAAAAACGGAATCATCTTTATTCAATTCTAAGTTCACTTATATTACAGTCATTTTTTAACTCAAAGCATGGATTTCATAAATGCAGATAATATCCTATGATAATTTAATATCCAGTGTATTTACTAAATGTGGATTATTTCAAAAATTAAATTTTGGATTTATGTTAAACTTAATTTTTTTTTTAAATTAAGCTAAGCTAAAATTAAGTAATAACTAATGCTAACATTGCAATCTATTATCAAAATATGTGTTCAGAAAACATCAAATTTTAAGAAGTATGTCTTTTTTTAACTTTAGTACATTTTCATAAACTGTATGTATTGTTCCTTATATTAATAATTAGTATATTTATAACAATTATATTATTATATTTTATAGCAATTGATGAGCCAACACCATTTTACAACTCTACAGTATTAGCTGATATACTTCTTGTTAAATTAAATGATTACATAAAAAGTAATTTGTCAGCGCAAAGTTTAAAAGATGCAGTAATTTTGTTAAAGACATGGGCTTTCACAAGAGAACTCTTGTGTGTAAGTATGAATCTAGATTTTTTATTTTTATGAATTGTCATAATAGGNTATTTTAAAAGGGTTTTAAAAATATTAAAATTGTTTTAAAATGTTTAAAATTATTTCAAACTAGAAATTTTAAAATTATTACAAAAAAAAAATGAAGAAAATCTGTCGAAGACGGAAAAAAGTTCATAATATCCAACTTCCTCTCTTTTTTTGGTTCATTATATCCACAAAAAATAACATTATACGTTTGTAGAAAGGCACACGAGCGAACATTTTGTTCACTATATCTGGGAGTTTACTATGGCAGGGTTTGACTGGGTATATATACATATATAACTGCACTTTTAAACATTTCTTTTGAAATAAATTCTTCTAATTTAAGAAGAAAAGTTAAACTGAAAAATAAGCACTATATTTTAGCAGTGCAAAGCTATTTGTTTAAAATTTCATAGTGATAGCTTAGGAAGAAGTCCTTATAAGCAGACCCTTTCCATTCTTTTGAGTCGGCCCCTTTTTTTCCTCTTGTAAGTTATTCATAGATTGCCCTATTATCCTCTCCTTATAATTTTGTTTCTAGTGAAGAACTGTTACTCGATCACTAATTATCTTCTTTTTATCTGATCTTTGAAATCACATAGAAGTCTCAAAACTATATCATGCAATTCGGAAATTTGTAACTAAATTACTATCTAAAGATGTGTCACTTTATTATTTTTCTCCCATAAAACCATTTAACTGATTCCACTTATTAATTATTTAAAAGAAAACTTTCGTATTATTTTGTATTGTTTTACGTTTGAACAAAAATAACGTTTGCTGTAGGAATAGTTAATATTAACATAACTGTTGTTATTATTAGGAATGGCTTCGTTTTCTTTTCGTTTAACTGCATTTCCGTGTGAAGAAGCTTTCAAGGAGAGTAGGTTTCTTCCTGATAAAAATAATGTTCGATCATCTTGGTTATATGGTAATACTGGCGGTAAGTATTTATTATTTTCATGCATATATTATCATTTTATTTTTATGCATAACTTGGCTGCATGTTTTCTACCAAGTATATTTTGCTCTTGTTATTTATCAAAATTTTATTTGTCCATTGATACTCATTTTTAAAACAAATGAAGAGCAAAAAATACTTATTATTTGGTATTTGTGGAATCATTAGACTCTTATCTTACTTCAGGTTCTTTATCTCATCATTCATTCATATTAAATTTTAAATGCTATAGAAGTGTAATTATTATGAAATATACTTGTATTTTCATAAACAATTAAAATGTAATACTATATCAAAACAAATTTACGAAATTTATTTGTGGAGTTAATATTTAAAAAAGGGTTTTTTTTTTTTTTTTTTTTTTTTTAAATACGCAAATAAAATATTGATGTTTTTTCATGCACATGTTTTCAAAAAAAAAAATTTATGATTATTTCAAGAGTTCATATTTTCTGTTATGTTAGAAAAAAAGTAGACTGTTTTTAGAAGATTAGCATGTCATTTGATTAATATATATAAATATATTTTTTTTAATGAAAATTTTTATGTAGCATATCATTTTTTAACTCTCCTTTTTTTATTTACTTATTTTGCTCATAATATGATTTGATTAACTGATTTGTTGTGCATATGTACTCGATATTTGGCACATTTTTTTCCTCGCCAACCGCTCTTCATGCATTTTTATTGGTGCCGCCTCCATCACATAGCAAAAATTCTAAGTTCACTTATATTACAGTCATTTTTTAACTCTAAGCATGGATTTCATAAATGCAGATAATATCCCATTTAATATCCAGTGTATTTACTAAATGTGGAGTATTTCAAAAATTGAATTTTGGATTTATGTTAAACTTAATTTCTTTTTAAATTAAGCTAAGCTAAAATTAAGTAATAACTAATGCTAACACTGCAATCTATTATCAAAATATGTGTTCAGAAAGCATCAAATTTTAAGAAGTATGTCTTTTTTTAACTTTACATTTTCATAAACTGTATGTATTGTTCCTTATATTAATAATTAGTATATTTATAGCAATTATATTATTATATTTTATAGCAATTGATGAGCCAACACCATTTTACAACTCCACAGTATTAGCTGATATACTTCTTGTTAAATTAAATGATTATGTAAAAAGTAATTTGTCAGCACAAAGTTTAAAAGATGCAGTAATTTTGTTAAAGACATGGGCTTTCACTAGAGAACTCATGTGTGTAAGTATGAATCTAGATTTTTTATTTTTATGAATTGTCATAATAGGTATTTTAAACATTAGACAGTCTTAAAATAGTTTTAAAAGTGAAATTCAAACATAATAATATCTCATTTAATTTAGATANAATAGATTTAAGAACAGGATGTGGCTTTTAAAAGTGTGAGAAAGTATTTCAAATAGAATAATTAATTAGGAAGAAGTTTTATAGCAGAGAAACTAACATAAAAAGATTAATTGAAGCTTTTTATGTTACATATATATATATATATATAGTGGAAAGAGAGAGTTTCACAAAATAGGAAGTAAATATTAAACATTGAGAGAACTTTCCCATAAAACTAATAATTGTAAACAAAACATATTTTTAATTTGCTCCAAGTTAGAATTGTACCAGATATCGAATTTTTAAGTATACTTTTACTGTTTTCAGTTGTTTTTGAAAAGTAAAAGTTTTTTTTACAATGATCAACTATTTTGTATATTTGATATATTTTTAGTTCAACTATATTTGTTGGGGGAAAGGAGTATGAAAACACCTGAGTATCCTAAAATATACTTCAATAAACTGTCTTAATATTATTTTTAATATTCCGGACTTAGGTTTATCGTATCACCCTTCCGTGTCTAAAAATTAGGAGCTGGGCCTGTGATTTTCTAAGAATATCGCGGAATTTCGCTAATTGAAATTTAAATTTTGAAACTTTTACTGAATCCCATTAACAAGACATTTACATACGTGTGATTCTGGTGGATTTTCGCTGTTTGGAATATTTGGAACTGCTCTGGAATCCGCTACTATCACGATTCTTATTCACGTGATTTTAATACCAAACATTGATTTCTCTATTCACCTAATAAAAAAATTACACATGGTTATTCTTATTTATGCATGATTTAATATCTGCAGATATTCAAGCTATCTAAAATCATGCATTGCATTTCGTATTCACGTTTTTGAAAACCAATATCCCAGTTCATATTTATTTACGTGATTTTAAAATCCAATATTGCAATTCTTGGGAGAACTAAGGCTTTTCTTATATTAGCTATTATAAAGGTATGATATATCTTCATTGGTAGGTAATTTAATTATGAATCTAATTTCAAAAAATTATGTTAAATACGAAATAGGTATTTTTTATAATTTAAACTTTTTGCACACAAAATTTTCAGCGTTTTTCACTTGTGTCACAATCACCCCTGTTAAATAGTCTATAAGTCTTAGATCAAATTGTACCTATTTCAGTTTTCTAAAGTTGTAGGATTGTTCTTTTATTCAATTATCTTATTGTCTAAATACTATTATCTAGTTATTTACGAACCGTATTTTTAATGAAAAGAAAAAGATTAGCATGTAAACCAAATCTAATATAGGATTAATAACATACAACTATAAAAACATTAATGCTTGGTAAATTTTTAATTTCGTCCATGAATAGTTGCATTTCCCTTTAATTTAAATATCATTTTATAGATTTCACAACTAATTAAGTACACCAAATAAAACAGAAGAAGCTGCAAAGGAATTCTTTTTACTACATTTTTATCTATTGTTTGATGCTGTAATTAATATTATTCTTATTGTGTATTACTCTTATTTTGTTTGTTTTGCAGGGTTATGGTAGACTGAATGGCTTTATTTTGTCATCATTTATTGTTTCTATGCTACAAAATAAACGAATATCTTCGTATATGAGCAGCTATGAAATATTCAAGTATGCCATCCTTGATTTAAGTAAGTTTAATCTCTTTTATTTATTTATTTATGTATTTCATACGTGCCTACACCTCCTATTTTTACAATATACCCTGAACTCCTAAAAAATGCCCCTATATAATATCCATTGGAAACCTCATATTCATTAATACGTTTTAATAAAGAATTCATATCGTCATTATTTCTGCTTGTGTAAATAACATATTCTTATCTACATTTAGGTTCAAATTCAATACCACGCAACATGTTTAAAGATGTTACAGGTTATGATGTCCTTTATTCCGTTAGTGAAGAAACTCTGCAAATGGTATATTAAACTAATATTATACGTATTATAAATTAACATAGAGATTTAAATTATGCTTCAATTGTGTAGTTTTCATACTTTATTTTAAATTTATTTTATAGACTTATAATTAATGATAATTTCAGTGCGAGCAATGTTATTTCTTCATTGCTTGCAATTTCAATTTATATATAATGGTAAAAATTATTTAATAATTAAAACTAATCAACTCATTCACATTGCAATAATTTCTTTTAATAAGTTATTATTATTTTCAAGGTAATTATGTAATTGTTCCTTAATGTCTTGCAAAATTTTTGTCCATTTATTCATAATCCTGGACTTCTCATATAATTTTAATTATTGCTTAGNTTGCTTACAATTTCAATTTATATGTAATGGTAAAAATTATTTGATAATTAAAGCCAATCAACTCATTCACATTGCAATCATTTCTTTTAATATGTTATTACTATTTTCAAAGTAATTATGTAATTGTTCCTTAATGTCTTGCAAAATTTTTGTCCATTTATTCATAATCCTGGACTTCTCATATAATTTTAATTATTGCTTAGTATTGATTGCATTAGTTATTTTTATTTTATATGACTTTTTTTAAAGTATTTATCAATTTGTTTTGAAGTTTGATTTCAAAATATTCCATTTTTTTCCCTCTAGCTGAGACATGAAGCGAAACTGGCATTAGCAATGTTGAATAGTACTTCTTTAGACACTTTTACTTATTTATTCTTAAAGAAAATTACATTTGTTGAGAAGTTCGAATATCTCTTACAGTAAGTTATTTTAAATATAATAATTTTTAATTTTAAAAAATTTAATGATCAATACTTTACTAGTGATTAATACAATACAGTTCATATAGTTTACTGTTTTTAACAGTAGATAACGAAATTTTATGAGAAAAAGTTAACCAAGCTTAGCTAAAGTATTTCTTCATTATTACAGACATACTAAATTGCCTTGTAAAAATGTTCAGCTAAAATTATTAAAAAAAAAGTTATGGGCATTGGTACCATTTTATTTGTTAAAAGAATATATATATAAGTATATATATATACAAGACTTCAGTTTTATATGTATTATAATTAATATATGAAATCACCCAATATACTAACAAAAATTCAAACTGAAACTTCAGGATTTTTTAGACAACAAGCAAATAATTGTTTATTTTATTATTTAATTTCTTATTAATTCATAATTATTTTCTATGCTATAAAAAAATGAACTATTCTAGACAACTGGAATATTTCTGTTCTATTTAAAGCATGAAATTTCTATTTATATATATATATATTTGCAAAACTGTAACAATCTTACATGTAGTTACATGTTGTTAATTGGCAAATTATAAAACAATGTTTTTATTGTGATAAAATACATTCTTAATTTGCTTAATTATAATTTTAGGATTTTTTCCCCCACCGTTTTTAATAATAAGAGTTAATATGATATGAATGAATATAATTTTACATATTTTAATAACCGTTTTTGTTTCAAACTTTTAAATTAACCAGTTATTTATTTAATCAAATAACTCCAATGGGCTACTGTGGACAATCAATAGTAACAGGGCTCCTAAGAGCCTTTTACAGTAAATTTATATAATTGTTTGCAGGAAAATACTTTTAGCATTATTAAATTTTTCTAATAACTGTTGGAACCATGATACAATATTAATATAGTCACCAATGCTGATTTTGTAGATTTCTTTAATAGTGCTGTAAAGAAAATTTCAGTAAGGTCAAGTTTACTTGATTTTGTCACTTAAAAATTTCACTGCATTATTATCAGGTCATATATATTAGTTTAAATTGTTTATATATTGAGGTGACCGAATAATCGTAAATCAAATCAATTATATCAGAAATGGAATAGTAAAGCAAAATATTTGCTACCATTTTAAATATTCGTCAAAAATCTTTCATTCGGATAGGATAAGTTGGCATTTCTGTATTTATTAGGCTTTAACATTAATTATTATAGAGATTTTTTTTGCTCGAAGCTGGTATTTTTAGACAAAAATTATTTCCATTTTAATTGTAAATAACAGTAGATTAAATAGTTTTTTAATTATGTCCAGACTTAGGAAACCCATAGCATGAAACTAGTGTGTTTAAAAACAGCTTTTTGTATAAATTAAAAATGTTGAATTATCTTTTTAAAACATCCATATTACCTTATGTGTTGTTCAAAATAGAGATATGTGTTCAAATTTTAATATAAATACTAGATATATTCAAAATATTTATTAGTAAATTAGCAAAAATAAAATTTTTCCCTTCTAGCCTCTTCTCTATGTTTTTTGGCATATCAAATAAGATACTGCTTTTACTTTTATATTAATATTACAGGTTAATAGTTAACAATGATAAAATTTGATTTTACTTATTTTGTTTTTAAATCTTGATGCCCTCATTTTCAAGTGATATTTATGTAATCAGACTACATGCAATATTTGTAAAATAATGATTTATCATCAAAGCTAATCGTAAAAGGGGGCACATGATAGTTAGAGAAAAGTGATAAATTGAAATTTAGATTATTAAATAAAAAGGAGAGTAAAAAATAATAGTATTCTGTATCCAAACAGACTAACTACATTAATTTTGACTAAAACTCTCATTTGGCAATTTTAAAGTATGCATAGCTTTTTCGAAAAAAGTCCTGATGAAAACATGCAGAAAATTAAAAACTTTATTGCATATTTACAGTTTGAAGGATTTTAAACTAGACTCTCTACCAGATATGTGCAAAAAAATTAAGGAAGGCCTTGGGGATAGGATATTGTTGATGGATGTTGCTAAAAGTCCTTTTATATCTGTGAGTACTTTTAGTGTCATTAATCTTTTTCTATTTTATAACAAACTTATTTAGTTATTTCATTGCAAAGTCTTAAGTTTATTTTTCTTTCTAATAAATTAAATTATTCTTTAGAATTAAATTAGAAAGGAATTATTTTATTTTTTCAAAATTTTTAATTCTTCTAAAGTAATCAGTGAATCTTTGAATTTTGTTTTATAAATAAATCAAAAGCTGTTGAAAAACAATTTCAAATTTTTTTAAAAATTTATATTGTTTTTCTTATTTTATTTTTTCTTTATAATGATAATTAAAAAATAATTGTCATGGACTGAAATAGGTTCCATAATAAACCTCAATTCAATATTCCGTTCATGCTTCCTTTTAAAAATCTTTTTATAATTGACCTTCCTAATAATTGTTAGTATCTGCTTTCTTAAATTATCCCCATAAATATCATTAGAGCCCAAAAGTTTTTTCAAAATTTAGAGCTTTTTTTTAAATGTTGTGTCCATATTGTATGCTACTTCATAATTAGTATCAGAAAAATGGTTTTTAATTTGTGTTATGTACCAATTTACTGTCAGAAAAATGTGAGTAACACATTTTCTGAAAGTAGACTATTAAAATGTATGAGTGGATATGAATAGAAAATTGTAATTGGGCCTATTATACACCTAACTTAGCTGTGCAAAGTTTAATTTGGTAAAAGTTTGCATAATATCAGTACAAATTTATGTATTTTTCTAACAGAAAAATTATTTATGAATGAAATTGTTTTTTATCAACATTGTTTATTTCATTTTATCATCATTTATCATAAAAAAAACCTTCAGTGTCTGTAATATTTTAATAAAATGAAGTATGGTCCTGTATAAACCTCACTTAAGCTGTTCATGTTAATGGAAAAACTTCATCCAGTGAGAGTTAAATGGAGTAATATATTAGGTGAATTACTGAATTCAAATTAGATATTTTTTACTGTAGAAAATTCATAATCTTCAGAATATATCTGCAGTTTTTTTTCTTCTATGTTTAATGTTAAATCAAAATTGCGGAATTTTAACTAATAAAAGCATTTTTTTTAAAAGGAAAATTTTTTTATAAATATAGTAAATGGAAAACGAAAATTAAAGTTAAAATAAATATCAAATTAAAAGCAATTTCAAATGATTATGTTTAGTGTGTCTATATGAAATTCGAGAGTTAAAAGAGTATTTTTTAATTAAGTGCGTGCTAATTGAATCACCACCTATTTCATAAGCACAAAAATGGAAGAAAAAAAATTGTCTGCATTCTTACTCATCTCAGAAATAAGATGGAGCTAAAGGGAAAATATTGATTATGCCGAATAAGAAATTTTGATTGGGAATAAACTGAAAATTATGTAAAATTCTGCTTTTGATAGGTTTCTCTTTGTTGTATCTTCTTTTCTTCTTTCTTTTATGAGTGTAATTGATCTTTTTGATGCATGCATAAGCCAACATTAAAAAGATATACAGAATAATAAAGCAATAGACCTAAAGATTCCTACAGATCATTTTAAAATAGTTGTCACTCAACTTTGTTTTAATAATCAAAAAAATTTTCAGTTATTTTCCTTGTCTATTGAAAGTTATTCCCTTAAAATTATTTTTTTCTTGCTTATAATTTTAATACGTTGTATGCATTTTGTTTAATAGGAATATTTTTATTTCTTTATCTGTTTCAGAGAGTGCAGCTCTATAATTTATTTTTTCTTCGTTTATTTTGTTCCTCTTTCACCTGACGAGTAAGAAGAAATATAGCATTTAAAGAGAGATTAGTGTTATTATCATCAAACTCTTTACCTATATTATCTGTTCACAGATATCAGCTAGAATATTAATATTTTAAAGTGGTAGTTATTGCTGTATGATAAAAAAAAAAATCAAGTGATATTCTAGGTATGTATTGTTTTCTAAAATAATAATAATTTTCAATTTTGTTTTACAGTGGCCTGTAACTACTTTTCCTCCTGATGTTAATAAAAACCTGGTTACTATTGGTTTTCTTTTGAACTCAGAAGTGCCTTTAAGTAATTTGGAAAAAGGTCCATTAGCAAATGACCCTAAAGTAACTACTGCATCCATCTTTTCTTTTTGGATTCTAAGTTGTTGTTTTTTTAATATTTTATAAATCTGATTTCTTATTTTATTTATTTTTGAAGGCAAAAAGTTTTCAAGAATTTTGGGGAGAGCAATCAGAATTAAGAAGATTTCAAGATGGGTCTGTAAGGGAAGCTGTTTTCTGGCCTGCAGTAACCGTTGCAGATAAAAGAGAAGTTTTTTGTACAATACTGAAAGATATTGTTGAAAGGTATGTATTATTTTCCTAAGCTGCACTGTAATTTCCTGCATATTATCTATTATTTACTGTGAAGCATAATTTGCATAGATGATTTTTATTATGTAGATTAAGGAGAGAAATCACCATACTTCGTCTGACTGGCATTTCAAACCATAGTAATAGTAATGAAATAAAACAAATTTATTGTCTAGTTACCATATTATTGCCGAGGAAAATAGCCTTTAGAACACCTTTTGTATAAGGTTTATAATTCAATATTATCTATCAAACAATAAATACGAATGAAAGGAAAATTATGAAAATTTCAGAGAGAAATCTTTTGTGGGCTGAAAAATGAAGAAAAGTTTGAGTTGAGATGTTTTTCAACAGATCTAATACTACATGTAATTAAACACTTATTTCCTATTTAGCATTAAATGATTAATACCTTCAATTGTAAGGAAGGGCAAATAAGATATAAGAGACATTTCTAAATTAAAAACTGCTATGTCTAAATGTAGTTGCTACTGAATTTAATGAAGTAAATTTTATTTTTAATAGGAAATGTAATAGTAAAAAATAAAATCATGACAGGGAGTGCATCTGTATGTTACTTCTTAATTTTTTTTCTTCATGTATGTTCTTCTAAATTACATTATCTCAATGATTCTGTTCTTCTTTCAGGCATTTTAAAATACCGAAGACAGAAGTTACAATAAATGGTGTTGAAACTGAATGCGTCTTGAAATTGCCTGACATTATTTTTGCCAAAGAATTTTCTGCATACGGCACTGGTGAAGAATCTCTCACAAAATTGATGCAATCATTCAACAGCTTATCTAAAGAACTTCGGAGTTTAAAACTTCCTTTACTTATTGCATCAATACAAGGAGTATCACCTGCTTTTAGATTTACTGATGTAGGTTTTAAACTTTTTATTTTCTGTTTGTTTTACCCTACATTTTTCTAACCAAAGGTGCATGTACCAGGCCTACTTCAAATTTTGAAAATAGTTAGTCTTGAGGGGGAATTATTTAATTTTTTGTGCTTAACTTACTTTCCTTATAATTGAATTTTAGAAAGTACATATCTCAGCTTATCGCCGCTTTTTAAAGTAGAGTCATCCCAAAGTAGTAATTTTTGCTTTTGAAAGTAAGTGGTATATACACTCATGACTTAGTATTATTAATTAAGGTTATTTATTTCAGTATTGCTTACTCATTTTATTTGACACACTTTCTAAATTTTTCTTTAAAAAAATTGGGATCAAAGTTGAGGGCAAACCATTTATTATGTATTTCTGTGCCAAAAGTAAGCCATGACATTAAGAATTATTTTGTTTTCTACTTTCACACTAACTGTTAGAACATTAATAATTAGGGGTGAGTTTTGGCACAAGGATCATTCATATTTATATGAAATAAGGCTTTTCTTTTTCTTAGATTATTATCATCAAATTTTTGAATTTCAATGGTCAGAATTTAAAAAAACAAACATTAAATCATAGAAATTTGTGTGTCAAGAATCAGCAATGAGTATTAATGCCCTAGTAATTAGTGTGAAAATAGTAGAAAGCAAAATATGAGGATGAGAATCATTTATGGCACAAAAAAAGCGTAGCACTTTTTAAGTTAATGCCTTTTTTTTTTTTTTTTTTTTTTTTTTTTTTTTTTTTTTTTTTTATGTAAATACCTGGTGACCTTTAGTTTTGACATTACAAATCTTAAAGAATTTTTTTCTTTCCACTTAATTATTATTATTTGCAAAAATAAATTTTAAAAAAATCATTTACCTTTTTTAATCATTGTCTGAAAATTTCAACAAAATAAAAAAGTTGCTTTTAAAATGTATATTTAATTATGATTAATATAATTTCAAACTTTTATGAATTAATTTCATGCAAAATAAAGTTCAAATTAATATATTATTACTGTAAAACCATGATTTTTTGAACCTCTTTTAATAGAACACTTCCCTAAATCAAAATTGATTCAGGTTTTTTTTCTTCATTTTATTTATTTTTTATATGCACACAAATGGTTTATTTTATCCCCTAATAGTATGCTGCTGTAATTCAGAATCTCAAGAAAAGATTTTTTTCTTTGTGTATAACTTTTATATTCATCATTTTCGCCCTATTCCATTATAAATTTTTAACAAAAATTTCCTAGTTGTCAAAAAACTGTTAAATGAGCATTTTAGTATTTAACTTAACTTCTAAATTTCTAAATATGTTAAGTTTTCTTTTAATAATAGCAAAAAAAAAAAAAAAACTTTTTTTTTAGAGCTATTTAGGAAAATTGATTTTAAAACAATGTCACGACTAAAATCCTTATAATTTAGCTATACAAAAATCAATCAGATTGCTTGCTTTGGATAAATGAATACATATTTGATTATATTTATTATATAATATACTTTCTCTTTATTTTTTTTATGAAAGTTAGAATGCTAGTTTACAGAAAAAAATTTGTGAATTGCTAAATTTTCTTACCCTTGTATTTGAGCGTCAACCACATTTCAGCATTTAGTTAATTTTAATTATAGTATCTTTTATTTTTATATTACCTTCATATTAATATTATATATTCATTTAAAAGAAATAATAATTAAAGGTCATAAGTATTTAAAGATTGATAGATATGTTCTCACTATCATATTTAAATATTTATGAAATATATTAATTTTTTTTGCAAAACCTACATTGATGTTTCATTTTTTACAGGTATTTCCTCCTCTTTCCATAATCCATAAAGTAGATAGTTCCGTATGTTATGTCGATGGGCAAGTTATGAAACTGAAAAAAGATTTCTCTAAAGTGCCACTTTACATTCCTGCTTTAAAAGGTATTATTTCAAATTGTTTAATATTAATTTTTTATGTAGTAATTTATATTACATTTTAGGTCCTTACCCTACTCGCTGGACTCTCCAATCTCTAAATTGGTTTTGCTGTTCTCTTTTTATTGCTTTGCTAGCTCGCTTAATCAGTTCATTGGATAATTATATAATTTAGTCTCGTTGGTATATCTTGTAAGATGAAGTCATAAAACTGTGCAATTTAATTTATATTCATTTCATTGCTACTTTGCAATAACATTTGGAAATTCAGAACTCCTTAATTTTTTTTTCCTTGCACACAATTATAAATTTTAGTGTTTTGAGATGCAACAGTTTTTTTATCCCCTTTGTACAACCTAAAGTCATAAAAAAAAAACAATTGCTGTCCAATAGTTATTATAAAATGCATCTTTCTTCTCTTTTAATTATGAAGCATTAATAAAACTAAAATATAGCTCGAAATTGTTATTAAATCTAAATAAATTAAGTATAATTGAAACAAAAATAACTCTCCCACCTTATTTATGAACATCATTAAAAACTAAAATATAGCTCTAAATTATTATGAAACCTGCATAACTTAATAACATAATTAAAAAATATGTTTAACTCCAGTCTGTAACTTGAAAAAAATTGGTTATTCAACAATATGCATGCCATATAATACAGATTTCATTTATATTTATTTTATATTTTATTTATATTATTATGTATGTAGGGGAGAGTGCTGAGCTACATGGTCAATCTTGGCTATACGGTCTTACCCCACATTCCTCTATATTGTTAGTAGTACCTAAGGAACTTTAGTATGCATGTAATTAGAAATATGAGTTTAAAATATTGCTTATATTTTTGCTAAGATGTAGTTAAAAGTGTAATTAATTATAATTATGTGTATGTATATGCTATGCTTAATTTATAAATTTAAATTTTGCATTAGTATTTTTACAATTACCATAACTTATTTAACTATAGTTGTATGTTTTATTTACATTCACATTATGACTATATAATAAGTTTATTATTCTACTTTTACCCAGTTTTCTAATATCCAGTGTACTGGGAACAAATGTATCAGTCACACATGACTATTGGAATGGAGATTTGAAAAACCACATTTGCGCAATTGACAGGCAAACTGTGGCTAATGCAGCTAAAATAGTTAAACTTATCTTTTATATGTTTTTGAAAATTACTTTTACTAAACTGTAGTATTATTTTCTTGTGTTTAAAAGTCAAATGTCTATAAAATGATGTTTATTTCCGCAGCTGTTCTTCACTTTGAAGGTAGTGGGAAGTGGCCAAATGATGTAGAGGCTTTGAAGAGAGTGAAAGCTGCCTTTCAAGTAAAGATTGCTGAGCTGGCTAAATCCCAATGTTCCTTAATGGCAATTCCATTTGTTACTCATACAGATATATTTAAAGTAAGATGATATATATATTATAGCCCTTTAAATTTGCAAATACAGTAGTACTTGTCTATACTTATACTGTATGGAAAACTGTGATTAAGTAATTATAAAAGGTATTAGTTTAAAATTAATGATAATTTAATTTTATATGATCTGCAAGTGAAAATTTCACTTGCAATTAGAAACAAAATGAAAGCATACATAAAAGTGACATAAAGATAAATTTAATTGTAAAAAAGAAATCATTTAAAAAAAGAATCAGTTATTTATTTATTTAATAGCAATGGATATTTGCATGCACATAGATTTGTGTCCATCTTCTAAGGTAAAATGAAATCAATCAAAAAAAAGAAATAATTTAAGAAAATATCCAGTTTTTTTTCCTGAGCAATTGATGTTTGCATGTATGTGCATAAATTTCAGTTCATCTTATAAATTCAAATATGCATCAAATACATTTATTAGCATTAATACAAAATCTTGCAGTTTTTTAAATAATGACACTCAGAAGTGAAATTTGATTTTTGTTTTGAGAACAATATGTTGTCTCTTCCTTTTATCACTCTTATCATCCAGAATAACTTCAGATAAAATCTCTTCATCTCTTGCATCAACATATTATTCAAAATTAAGAAACTCATCCATATTAAATAGAAAAAAACTGATTTAGAAAGCTCTGACAATTGAAGTTATACCAGCTACACACTCTTCTTCTTCATCACATTTTTCTTCAAAGGAGGAACCTTTCTTTGTACAATTTTAGATAGTGGATTGTGTCACTGAATTCCAACCTCCAGAAATCAAATCGCTTGTATTTTTTTACAGCAACTGCATAAGGATTTAGGAGTTTTATTTAGACAACATTCAACATTCTAGTCTTCTTTGATAGAATCCTTTGAAACATTTTATGTTCAAATCTAATGCAATATGTAAGAATCGACTTGTAATTGGGTCGATAATAAGACACTTTAATGTTTTTCAAACATCAGGAATTGTTGTGAAGTGTGCAGTTGTCAACTATGAAGGCTATTTTTTTCATCTCTTATGCACATCAAGGAGCTAATTGATTAAGATTTTTTTCATCATCCAGGCTCTCTTGTTTGTCTTGCAGTCAACCAGCAAACTTAGCATGTTTATCTTCAACTTATTAGTACTAGTATTGTTTGCACAAAGCAGGACTGTCAATTCCTGTTTTGATTTTTTATCACTTTTACAATTTTGTCCTTTAAATACTATTGTTTTGTTTAGCATTGCACTAATAAAATAAGCCCATTTCATCCACATTGCACACATTTTCAAGAAAATTCATTTTTTCAATCTGCTCCTGGTCTCGTTGTTTCCAGATTGTGTCATCATTGACAAGAATAGACTTCTCTTCACTTAAGATAACATTCACAAAGTAAGGTAATCCACCCATTGCTGGCTTAAAATCATTGTTTCCCAATGAAGACGCAAATGTTCTTGATTTTTCTGCTATCATCAGACCACTATTGGTACATTTCGTGGAGCTATCTTAATGTAGCTTTGTTACCATCATTGTTTACTGCATCTTTGAATCTTTATTTTTCCTCTGTTAAATTTACATCCTTCTGCAGCATCTTTGATTTCTTTTCTTCAAAATAGTATCTATCATTGATTGTAAAACCCCATTTTATTAGCAGCATCAACTTGCTTTAATCTTTCATTAATTTTTAAAATGATATTTAATTTTTCTTTAAATGATAATGCGTTACACCTAGCCATCACTTTAAGAATAGCAAATACTGAATTTTAAGCAAAACCTGCCAGTCCGAAGTTAGTATTGACTAACTTATGAACGAAAAGATTTAAAAGTGAACACTCTGGTGATGAAAAAATTCTGCACAGCACCCTCCCTGTAAGCAAGCTCAAAAATTAGAACCTGTTCAAACAGACCCTTTCCTCAAGATCTGGATGTGGGGGTAATCACTGTTCCCTCGCCATGCGTCAAGAAATTCATGACACTGCTGTGAACAGACACCTTTGTAAAGCTTCCCTTTCTCAGTGGAATATTTTTTCTCTCAGAAACAATAAGAGAATGGACATCTGGACACAGAGACAAAACCAAACAGTTTTTTTTTTTTTTTAAAGTTATCCAGATGAGAAGTGATAATTCTGGTTGACAGCTTTCTGAAAAGGTAAATTATTGTTGTACTTGGACTTTAAAGAAATATTGTTATGAACAGTATCGTTATACCTAAGTTTTACTGTATTTATGAATAGAATTTTGTGTATAAATATCTCCATCTCTATGTATTTATTCATTAAACATATATATATTTAGAGAGAGAGAGAAAATAATCTTTCAATTTAATAAGATGAAATTTGAAAATTACTGAACCATAAGGTTCAATCAGCTTGCATTAATTGCACATTGAAAAAATATCAGGGTTTTCATTGCACATCAATATGTATTTTTTTTAAATAAAAAAAAGAGCATATTAGTTTAGTCTTAAGAAACTAATCAATAACTGTGTTTAAATGGTAATTAAAAAATTTGAATTTGGTAATTTTAACAACAAAAAATTTTCTTTCTAAAGAAGGCATTGCTTGTGCTAAGCAGCATGATGGCAAAATGGGTTATGGAGGTAAAGGTCAGTAATTTTATGACCAACAGCAGGGTTGTGATAATGTGGTCTTTATTGGGTAGGGATTGCCTTTATTTCGTTGAAAAGCTTGTAACCATGGATAGTCTTCAAGCAGCCACTTAGAATCGAATATTTGCATATATGTTTATCTTATATTGTCTAAACATACATGTAAAGATGTATTATTATTATTCTGCTGTTTTTGCACTTTTAACTATTTTTGATTCAATTTACATTCATTTAAAATTTTATTTTACTATTTAAATTACTTAACTATGTGTGTGTGTGTAATGTTCACTGCAAATGTCAATTAACTCCATTTTTTAGAATATCTGGAATTTTAGTGTCAAGGGGCACTTTTGTTCAATTACAATATTTTATTCTTATAATCAGTTTTACAGGTAAAATGAATTATCACTTTTAAATTCAAAAAAATTTATGAAATTTTTATGCTATGAAAGAAAAAGTTAGAAATAATTCACAATATTAGGTTTAATCACGTTTTTTTCGTTTTGTTTTATAGAGTTAATAATATGTGCTGTGATTCTCTTATGTGAATATGTAAGATAAATTTCCTATGTAAATATGCATGCATTTTTATTGTGAAAACATTAAAAAAAATATATAATTTCTCTTAGGATGGTTTTGTCTTCCGATTTGAAGTGGCTTGTCATAAAGAAATTAACTTGCAGAAACAAATTCAGTCACCAGATGGTAGCATAAAAATTAAAGACACCAAAGAATCACTGAAGTTAGAAATATCAACTAAAATTCTTCCCAAATTGAATAGCATTCTTCATGGGTATATTTGCTTTTTCCTCTGAGATATGTCTGTTATTTTTATACTGATCAAATTTATATGATAATTATGCACTATTTTTTTATATGTATAAATCTAATTTATTTGTGTTGCAGGCTTCACCAACAACACAACAGCTATGGTACTGCTTGCCGAATTGCAAAAAGATGGATTTCCTCTCAATTGAAACATAAATTCATTGATGATCTCACAATAGAACTCATTGTTGCATCTCTTTACGTTCATCCTGAACCATTCACATGTCCAAAGTGAGTTGTCAACCAAAAAAAGTCGGGGGAGGGGGATTTTTAAACCCCCAATTTGTCTCAAAAATCGAAAGAAAATTTTGAAATTTATAAACTCATGTTCTTTCAAACTAGTATATGAGCTATATTCCTTTTTATAAATTCCTTTCAAAATCAGGTTTTTTGTGCTCAGAATCTAAATAAAATCTTAGTCTAAATGGAAACTTAACCATTTAACCCTTTCCTGTATGGTATAACTAGAATATGAACACTAATTCAACAACTGTTGAAACCACTTAAATTGGAAAATTAATCGATTTTAATCATTTCATAAACTTACTGGGGTTTTTTTTTTTTTTTTTTCAAATGCTTCTGAAAAAATCGCTCTTGCCCGATTTAACTGGAACATTTTATTCTAAGGAACACACTGAAAGAGAAATGAAGGGAATAGAAATTAAAAATCTGGCAATATGTTTGAATTCAAGCACTGCAAAATTTGTCAATTGCTTTATGTGATACTGTTTTTTATTAAGAGATATAAATGTTTGGAATTATTTATTAAAATTTATGAATCAATTTCGGTTTGAATTCCAGAAGAAAGAATTGACCTTGTTCTCTAATCGCTTTTAATTCATGTTGGCTATTTATTAAAAATAAAATGACATTATTTGATTAATTATGATTTAGTACAAGGTAACTGCGATTATATTATTTCTTTCTAATCAGGTTAATATATGTGTCTATTTATGTATAAATGATTACAAATTTTTATTTATTAGACAAAAGTATTGTTTGATCATATTGAAATTTAAAATATGTAATCAAGAGATCTCAACATTAAATCTTAAAAATGTAAACTTATCATTATTGTATCTGAAATTGTTACACTAAATTATTATTATTATTCACTTATAAAAATTCATTTCAGTTGATTACCGGCATAAATATATATGATAAGATTTAACTCTGTGAGTAATTACTAATTAAAAATTAAAACAATTGCTAAAAATTCTCTTCAAACCCATATTTTCAAAAATGTCTATGATTTTTTTAATTGGCAGAGGAAGAATACAAATCACATGATTTACCAAAATGATAGACTTTATCTGTGGGTAACTCTTCTGCTTCGTTTGTTCGATTTCAACCTAATGTTGCAGTTGAAAGTGGTCTTATTTGAATAATATTCAAAGGAGTTCTTGTGATTTGAATCAAGGAATCACATTTAAGTTGTATATAGATGTTAATGCATTTTTATATGACTATAATTTACATAAAACTAAAACAGACTGCAATTTCAAAACTAGTATACTTCGAAGAAGTCTAAAAAAATTATTAAATCACTTGCTTTTCCAAAAAGAAATAATGTGCAAGAGTTTTTTTCTGCTTTAATCCTAAATTATGTAATAATTTGATAATTTAATTGGTAAATATTTTCAGTTTCAAAGGAGCAAGAATTAAGGAGATATATTTTTTATGCTTTTTTTAATTATTATTTCTTATTCCTCTCTGATAATATATTTATTATAAAAAAATCTCATTGGTCTTTTTTATGAACTGTATCTTTTATTTATTTAAGTGTGAGAACACGTGAGTATATTAACAAATTGGCCTAAGATTTCTAATTTGTCTTAGAAATGCTGTATAAGCCGGACCTTGTTCTTTCATTCGCATTTTTTTGCAAGACAAATAAAATTCAGTATTGCAAACAGCTATTCTTAAATATTCAAACTCATTTATTTACTGAAATTGTTTTTAAGTCATTAGTTTTACTTTTTCAGTTAAGTTTTAAATTCCACTTGTTAATTATTTCACTTGCTTTCTATTATGAGCTATTTGCAATGACTTTTTCCTTCTCACACTTATCTAATAACAATAAACTATTTTGCAGCTCTCCACAAACAGCATTTATTCGTTTCTTGTCGTTAATAATTACTCACAACTGGACAGCAGTTCCTCTGATTGTTAATTTAAATCATGAATTAACGGGTAAGTTTTATCATTAAGAAATGGGCAAGTTTTGGGCCCAGGAACCACTATAGTATGCTTTGAATCGTCAAAACTATTCCTGTAAAGAGTTAAAAACTTAATTAGTTTAAATGTTAGAGAGAGGAGATATTCGCCCTTTCTTCTTTTTTTTTTTTTTNTGAGTTTTTTTCTTTTCTTTTTTTTTTTTTTTTTTATTAACAAGTGATTTAAAGTTAAATGAAATGTTTTTGAAAGTTTTTATTTGTAACGAAAATATTGAACAGCGCTGTGCTAATTTCTTTTTTCAATTTTTTTTTCATCAATAAAAAATCATATAAAATATGCAATTAAAAATTACTGAAGTGAGATAGATCCTTAAATTCTGGAAAATTATAAATTGAATTTGAATATTACTATTTTTTTTAAAATGGGACTTTATGGGTTGTTTTCTTTTAAAAAATTTTTTTGAATATTTAAAAACTATAAACAGAGTTGTTGGAAAAGATCACATGATTGCAATTTGAATATTTGAGAAATTTTGAACATGCTCCACTGGCTCCTGATCACAAAATTTACCCACTTTTGTTGTCATTTGTAACACATTTTTGTTTTGAAATTACTTACTATGAGTCAAATTTGTAGAAGTTAATCTATGAAATTTGATATCAACAGGCATATATTTTTAATTGTGAGGAAAAAAATAGAATCATAAATAAAATAACCTACTGACAATGTTTTTTTTTTCTTCTTGTGATTAAAGAAGCATTGAAGTATATTTTAACAAAATATTGAATTTTATCTTCAAAGTGAGGGAACATTTGTAAGTCAGTGTTTCCCGATTCCTTTCCATAAATTCTCCAACTTTGTAATTGTTACATTTTTGTGTCTGTATGATGTTTGTATCCAATTAACAATTCTATAATATATGAAAGTTATAAAAAAAAATTCACTAATTTTCATTTGTAATATGATATTTCATTAGGTTTTCCTTTTCTGCCTAATACATCTATCATCAATTAATTTTAATCAATAATGATATTCTTATAAATGTTTTTATTAAATATTTATTTATAAATAATTATTTTTATTTAAATTGTGCAAATATAATTTTTTTATATTCTTGAATTTAAGAAGGTTAGCACCCCTCCTGTACTGTAATTTATGCAATAAAATCATATTTAATTTTTTTTTCTTTTCTGCTTTTAAGAAAGATTGTTTAGCTAATGAATGATTAGTTATGTATTTTTTTGTTTTATACAGACATTTTTTTTTCTAGATATCATTTCTTTGTTTCTTACTTATATGATCTAGTGCCTATTTTCAACACTTATTGTTATTGAAATTAACAATTATTGCAAGTATAGAATAGAAAAATCACAATAGCTTCCTATTGTTAGAAAATTTTCTTGAAGCATAGATAAAACTAAATTTAGCCTTGCATTTGAAGTTTCTCTTTTTTCTTACAACTAATTAACATTTTTATTAATTGTTTACCTCTATGATATTGTTTGTGTTTTCATTTAATGACCTTATTTATTGCTAGTTTCTGGTTAACCACCTTAGTGTAACCATCCTTGAAAAAAGAAATTAAATTTATGAATATTGCGTGAATCTTGTTAATTTTTGTATTGTAATTTATTTACTTTTCCTATTTTTAGCTGAAGATATAGAAGAAATAAATTCAAATTTTACTTCTCAGAGATCTACTCTTCCACCCATGGTTATCATCACTCCATTTGATAAAAAAGGCAACATGTGGACAAAAAACAAGCCTCCACCTGTCATTCTTAAAAGGATAATAATGCTTGCTGAAGCAAGCTTAAATACTTTGAAAGAAGCTTTCCTTAACTGCAAATCTTTTGACTGTAAAGTAAGTTCATTGGAATTAACAAAAATATAATAATGTAATTAAAAAATACTATTAGTTGTTAGCTTTAAACTTAATAATTAGACCGAATTTTATTTAGTGTTAATGAGAAACTGAAATCTCAGGCTCCTGGTATTCAAGTCACTTAAAGATTCGCACCTGGTGCCCAATATTTTAAATTTGAAAACTGTTTTTTTTTTTTTTTTTTTGCATTAAAAAACCCACAGCATTTGTATAAATGAATAATTTGCATAACTCCCAATCAGAACATTGTTAAAGTTAACATTTCTTATTAACTCATTTGATGTTATTCAGGGAGTCCTCAGAAAGGAAAAGTCAGAGAACTTTATCAATTTAGAGAAATCATAGAACTCAAATTCCTAAGAAGTCAAGGATAATGAATAAATTTTGTTTGATATATTTAAGAGTCTAATTTTAAAAAAATAATAAAAAAACTAGTTTTGACTCTTATTCATATATTAGTGTTTTGACACTTGGTTCGAAAATCAGCTTATTATTCAGCTTTGCAACTGTCTGAGACAAAAAACGAGAGTTTTTAACTCCCCTTTTTGAGGATCAACAGAAATTTAGTTTTTATTGTGTTGTTTGCAATTATTACATCCCATTCCTTACAAATTTATGAATAGGTTTTTTATTTTTTAAAAAAATTCTGTTTTGAGTGGAAACTATTTACTTTTTTGTACCTCAAAAAAGTCCAGTTCTTCAAGGGAAAGCAGAAAAGAAATTCTTCTAATCATGGTTTTTTTTTTTTAACAACGAATGCATAGGAAATTTAAAGGGAACATTTTAACTTTGAATTCAGAAGATTTGTGAAGCTGAGGTTCTAGTTAGGTTTGACTATATTTACTTATTAATATTTTAGGTGAAACTTTTGTATCTTTCGTGTTTGTTTTTGTGGACACTTTTACATTTATATGGGAAAAAAGAAGAAGTTTTAAATCGTTACTCATAACTCTATGTATCTGACAAATAGTTTCATGGAATATTCTGATATGATTTTTATTCTTCATGTTTTCCTCTTTCTTTTATAAATAAAAATTAAAAGAAATTATCTTGTCTCTCTTATACAGGTGTTATTTAGACCACCTTTGCATATGTTTGATGTAATAATTCATCTAAAAAGAAAAGAAATTCCTAAACTTAGTTATGCAGTTGATGTAAAAACAAATGACCCTTTCCCATTATTTGAGCCTTATCAATCTAACATCAATGAAGTCTATCCAATTGTTGAGTTTGATCCTGTGCAACATTACCTAGAAGAACTTATTGTAAGTATTATAATTCTTCTTCAAAATTTATGGAATTATGAAATACGTATAATTGGAAATACATTTAATTCCAAGCAAAATTTGCTTGGAATTAAAAAAATACGTATAATTATTGAACTGTCTGTTGGCAAATTTTGCTTGGCCATTCGCCATATTTGCAAAAAATCATTATCTCTTTTTCTTTTTTTTTAAAAAAAAAACACAAATGAAATTAAGAACAACGCATCTTTCTTTGTTTAAATGTTTTATTTTTGTTATAAAACTTTTTTTTTTATCAATAATGTACATAAATATTTTAAGAATACTTTCTATGTTTAATTTTAGGAAAATTTCGGTGATTTGGCTGTTTTTCTAAATGATTCATATGGAGGTGATTTCATTACTGTCAAATGGAAATCAGCTGCTTTTTATCCCGAAAATGCCAAAGTATGTATAAGTCTTTCTCTGTACAAAAGTTAAAATTCCTTAGTTAGAAATATTTTTAATTACTTATTTTTTTAATTGTTTTATTCGTAAAACAAAGGTGTGTGTGAGCTCTTTTAAAAAAGTGAAAATGACATTCTGGATATCTTAAATTAAGATTCGGTGTTACTATATACTATTTTAATCTGTTAAGTCTTATAATAAAAAGCTTTTTAAAGTGTGAAGTTTTTTAAAAAAAAACTTCCAGTTTATTGTTTTGCACCAAATAAATTTTATTTTTACCTCAACTGAGTGAATTTTAAATGCTACTAAAATCAGAAACAAATTTGTGTTCCTTTATTAACTATCATGCTCACAATATCATTTTAAAAAAATTACTTGCTCTTTAATAATTGTTTTATTTATATTTTAGACCAGCCATGGCTGCAAATTGGTTCCAAATGTAGAAGAGATCCTAGAAAACTTCAAAATCTTAGGTGAGGGACTTGTAGAAAACATAGAATGCAAAACAGAAAACTGGCAGTTACCTTAATGTGTTGCTGACTACCTGTATATATTTTATGTACAAAATATTTTTTTTTGTTATGTCTTTTTTAATGAAATAAAAAATATATTGTTTTAAAAGAATATTTTAGCAATTCCATTATGGTATACGCAGAGATTTTATTGTGTTGCCTGGTTGTTATTAAAAAAGTTTTATATGTATATATTGAAAATTTTATATATTATATAATGGAATAAATTAACATTAAGAAATACTATAAAAGTAAGCTTGCCTAATTTTATTGAAAATTTTTTATTTTTGGAAAACAAAGCATAATTCATTATCTTTTCAAAAAAATTTTGGCAACCTGCATTAAATATCACATTGTATATGTTTAATCGTAAAGTTAATATATTTGTTTTTTCCTAATTATTCTTATTTTGTAAATAAATATCGAATGCAAATTTTAGTTACATCAGAGTAATTCTTTTTAATTTACAGAGAGATAATTCATTCTTATCTTAATTTTTAATCCTTATTAACCTAGTTAATTTTTAAACTTAATTATACTTATTATCTAGTGATTAAAGAGTGTGATTTTCAGTCATTAAAGTATTTCTTTTTCATTTATAGAAAAAAAATTTAGTAATTCTTGGAAAAATCACTTCACGTTACTTGAAATTGTGTAAAATTATTTTTCTTTTCAAGTTCTCTATCAAATAAAAATTCACAGTTAACGGGAATTATCTGCTCAAAATAAATTGCAACAATACATTAATTATTCTTTAACCAAATTAATAAAACAAGTATTTATGGAAATTATAAATTTAAAAATTTTAATATGCTTATTAAATCACATGTTTATCCAATTTCTCAATTTGCTAATGAATGAAATTTTTCTATTGTTTTCTTCAAGAAAGCTTTTTTAAATAAATTTTCTTCTGAAATTGTATGCTTGATCTATAACAAAACTATATAAAATTAAAGAAATGAAAATTCATTTTAAAACAGAATATGAAAAAACAATACAAGGAGATTCAAAAATAAAAGAAAACATTAAGCCTTCTTATTAGAAAACTACTAGATCAAATATGTTTGATTAAGTTTAGTAATCATTTATATAAGATACTGGAGATTAAAAATGTGATTGTAATCATGAAACTGTAGAGCAAGTCATTTCAAAATTTGTCTTGCATAAATTAGATCAAAATTTTTAGATTACTTTCAAAAAATATTTTGGCTGTTATGAATTTTTTTTATTTTTTATCTCCTATACTTATTCACCATAATCTAAAATAAAGACGATAATTTCTTATAACCTTTGGCTTACAGCTGGTACAACAAGTAGACCAAAATGACCTGCTTCTCAATGCTAAGCATTTTACGCATAGAATTAAATGACTTAATATTCTAATGCCAAGCTTTCAACATGAACTACTTTCATGTTATCTTGTACATAAACTAACCTAACAAAAATACTAGCATTTTGATAAAATAAAAAAAAGTACAGTATTAACCTATTTTATCATTTTTGCCAGGGAGTTGTATACAATAACAAACTCTCAATAATTTGGTTCAAAGTTTTAAATATTCCAGTCTATTCTTAATATTTTATACATTTCTTTTTAATGTTCTCTTTGTCTCCTTATCATGAAAATTCTCTTTCTTATTCTATTTTGTTTTTTAAAAAAAACGCATCTTTCAAAGATTCACATTTAAAAAATACAAACCAAAATTAATTTCTGAAAGTTTGGGATGTCTGATTTTGAGAGATTTGAAAGATTTTTTATTTAATACAAATTGCTGCCTGTTTTCAGTTAAGAAAGTATGTGAATACGTAATTTATTCATAGAAGGTTGCTAGAGCTTTTCAGAGTTGTCAGAAATCAGAGTTATCCATTCTACAGGAATGTTTACAAGATAAGATTGTATTGTATTATCAAAAACTTTCATTTAGTGTTATTTTTGACTCTCAAAGAGGGAAAACACAGATAAATATAAAAACAGTGGAGTTCTATTGACAATTCTTTGTATACCACTGAGTCTTTAATGCAATATGTATCAGTTACAAGTGGCTGCAAAAAACCTATTACCTAAAATAATAGTCAACTATTTAGACATAAGCATCAATAGTAGTATGGCTGATTTTTACTGCCTCTAAATTAGATAAGTACCTGATTTCAATATAGTTTTAATTACAATTAATATTAATGATCATATAATACTTTCTAGACTACTGATAATGTTTTGGTAATTTATCTTTCATATATACTAGCTTACTTAGATTTAGTATGTAGTTGCTTAGTTATAAAAAAAAAACTTTTTTCCCCTTTCCTTATAAATATGTCTTAAATCTTTATTTACATCACACTAGCGCTGCAAAATGGGCTATAGGCCATTTTGTAGCTCTAGTGTGATGTAAATAAATCTAGTTTTGCTCTAGTGTCAGGAAAGCATCACTGAGGATGATGATACGAAGACACACCATTACAATTTTGATCCTCAGAATAGGGGTCGGGTTCCCCACTCTCAGTCCTTAGTCCTGGCTGATCTATAAGTGGCAACTCACCGATCACAGCCAGTGATGCTTGATTTAGTGTTTCTTACAATCAGTCCACTGTGGGTCTATAAACATTGCATTTTATAGGGTAAAAGAGTAATAATAATTATTAGTTTAGTTGCTTTAACTCCCAATTCCAGTGTACAATGTAAAAATTCTTGCACAAAACTATATTTTAAAAATTATATATTTTTTTAGCTATTTTCTATTTTTATTCTTATTTGTAACTTAAATTATTTCCATACTTTTTGTCAAACATTCAATTTTGCAAAATAGAACCATTTCTGCTAGTTTTGAAATTCAATTATCCGGTGCAAAGGTAATTTTAATCTCAGATCATTCAAAAATTTCCAATTAGTCTCTTAAGGAGGGAAATTAGAAAAATTTTTCACATAGGTATAACATAAGGCAGTTACAAACTAAACTACAGATGCTTTTACCTTTCAATCCAAAGATAATAATGTTTCCTAACTTACAGTTCTTCTTGATCAATAACTGAGTTAATTGTAGAGTGAGCAAAATAAAAAACGAACCACCCTGATTAACTTTTGATCTAATGATTGGATCTTCACATTCAAGGACTCAAACTTAATTGCCCGTGAGGGTGACTTCAAATATGTTAAGTAATGTAGACGATATTTCACAAAAAAGTATGTTTCACAAAGAAATCAGACACAAAAAAGTACTTTCTTTGAAGAAACATACCTTTTTTTTTTGATGGATTCTGATTTCTAACCCACAAAATATAGGAAGTAGCCAATCTGGGAAATATGGTCCCCATAGTTTGGTAGTAAAATTTCATTCTTTAAAATGACGAAAAAAACTCCATACCTCACAACTCAAAATTAAATAAAATGAAAAGAGAGTAATAAATATTTACTGAAAGATATATTTTGACTTGATAAATGAATTTTATAGTTATGTGCAAAAAAATTTCAAATTCGCTTAAAAAGTTCTAGAGATATGCCGAAATACGCAAAATATAAAACATTAAGGAGGTTCAAACTTTGAAATGCTCTCCTGAACAAACTATAGGAACCATATTTTCCAGATTGCTTCTGCCCTCTATATTTTGTGGGCCAGAAATTAGAGTCCGTTGAAAAAAGGATATGTTTATTCAGAGAAAGTACGTTTTGTGTCTGATTTCGTAACTCAAAATATCGTCTACATTACTTCAACCTTTAAGATTGAGTCCTGGAACATGTAAATCAAATCATTAGATCAAAAGCTATTCTGGTGGTCTTTCTTTTTATTTTGTGCATTCGAATATAAGAAATTATTTTTATACGGTAAGGTCAGATCAATGTGGATGACATGAAAGGGCAACATCATGAAAGTAATATTTCTAAAATTATCAATAACTACCAGCTTGTTCTGTTTTTAATTTCACCTTTGAAACATGTTTCTATAAAAGTAAATAATTTCATATAACCCATAATGTAAATATAAAAATTACCAACAGCAGAACATAATTGAAAAATTGCTTGATTGTGGTAAGTTTCGATTATTGTGAATCGGTCGCTAGAAAAATCATTAAGTGGAATGATACAGAGTATAGTTATTGTTCATTTTGAACAATTTAACATGATTTTGCTTACTCTAATATTGTATAGTCACAGGGAGAAATAATAAATAAATTGGAATTATTTTAACTTTATGAATTATGTCTGTGCATGCCATTTAGTTTTGTGAATATTTCGCAGTTTTGATAATTTATTATTTACTATAAAACTTTTTACCCGGTTAGAAGAATGGATATTCAGCTAATGGTATGTCAAGAAACCGAAAAAAAATAGAAATTCAGGAAATTTTTATTGGGAAATTCAAAGTAAGACATTATAGTTTTAATATCGTAAATGAACAAGTAACAGCTTAAGTGTTTTCACCCTGTAACCAAAATAGACCACTATAAATGAATGGCACAAAAACAAATACTAGAAAATTCTTTTGAATATACACACATTGAAAGAAATACAACTAAAATGACAGATTAGTTTTTAATTGAAATGACTGTTAGGAACTGTGTGTATACATTATGTCTTAAAATAGAAAAAAATTTTGATTATTCAGTTTGGCACAGTAAAATAACATTCAAACAGCAAATAATAATTTCTACTGTAAATTATTTGATGTACAATAAATGCTTAACAAAAATATCCTTTATCCGATAAAATATTTATATAAAAATATAATCCATCTTGCAATTTAAACGCTTACACATCACAGATTTCTTTTCTTTAAATATTTTAAAAATTAATAAATTAGTTAAAAGTCATGTAGAAGAAAATAATGATAATTGTTTAATATGTACTTTTTTTCGATTTTCTACGTAATAAAATAAAGTTTTTCCTAAATATTAACAGTCTTGACACATAATTGCTAAATAGGAATAATTCTATGAATTAAGAACATTAATAAACAAAAATATTTTTACAATTTTTGAAAATACTAGAATTTATAATTTATACTGTTTATAAAGTTCCATTACTTCTTTAACATCTTCTGGTGAACCCAAAAAGATAGGGGAACGTTGATGAATAGATTCAGGCACAATATCTAAAATAGGCATTTTACCAGTGGTAGCAATACCTCCTGCTTTTTCAATCAAATAGCCCATTGGATTGCATTCATACATTAACCTAAGCTTGCCCTTGGGTGAATCCTTTGTAGCTGGGTACATAAATATACCACCGTATTTTAGAGTTCGGTGCACATCTGCCACCATTGAGCCAATATACCTTGCACCATATGGTTTTCCAGAAGCGGGACGTTTTTTACTTCTCACATACTCAGAAACAGCCGCATCCCACAGAGCTTCATAGCCTTCATTTAAACTGTAAATCTTTCCTCGGGGTTTAATCTTAATGTCTGGATCAGTTAGGATAAATTCCCCAATGGATGGATCTAACATGAAACCATTAACTGGTCCACCAATGGACAAAACAAGCATAGTAGCACTTCCATACAAGCCATAGCCCGCAGCAACAATATTGCGCCCGCTTTGCAATGCATCTTTAGGAGAGGGTGGATCATTGGAATCACGGCGGTATATTGCAAATATAGATCCTATTGATACCAAACAATCTATGTTAGATGAACCATCCAAAGGATCAAAACAAACAATGTATTTTCCTTGTTGGGCGGTTTCAACTTCGATGACATTTTCATTTTCTTCGGATACAAGCAAGCAAGTACCATAAGATGATTTCATCATATTAATGAACAACTCATTAGCTAAAACATCTAACTTCTTTACCTCTTCACCTTGAATGTTGGTCTCCCCAGCCATGCCATATAATTGTGCAATACCAGCTTTCCTTACTGCTGTGGATATAGCTTTAATTGCTGTCATAATATTACTCAATAATTGCGTGAGGTCCCCAGTTGCTTCGGGGACTTTACGCTGCTCCGCTAAAACATAGCGGGTAAGTGTCATACAGTCAGTATCGATACCTTGATGCGTGCTTGACATTTTTAACAAAGTATTTGAAGAATTTAAGAGTTAAACTTTTAATTTAAATCCCTTGACTCTACGACCTCTAGCAACCACGAACGTTTTGATGTTGATAAGATATCAACAAATAGTAAAATAAAAATATAAAACAAAACGAAGTAGGCGGGGTTTTACCTATCCGAGACAGTTACGAATAAGAAGGCACCAAAAGAAGATAAACAAGAAAGGTCAAGAGATATGAAAGCTAATGACACGCTCTCTCGTGACGATATTAAAAAGTCCTTAAAGAGGTTGCAATAACGAATATTTAAAATATTTATTATTAATTGTGACTACACGAATTCAACTGAAAATTAAACTGACCAGCATCCTCAGAAACTAAAAAACTGGTAGTAAAATTTCTACAAGAACATTCGGAAACCTAGAAAATACTGTTAGAGGAAAAGAATATTAAATTGGAAAGGTAAAGTAGTGAATTTTCAAATATCTGAATAGAAATTCTTTTTCAGTTCTCCATTCCAGTAAAGTAAGTGAAATTGTTGCGTTGTGTCTTTCAATGTCCGTAAGCACCAATAAAGAGGAGGGTGCAGGAGACATGTTTGTTTACTGCTGGTAGGATTCGAGCCCAGGACCTATGAAGCTGTAATAGGATGCTCAAACCATCCTGGGAAAGGATGTACCTGTAAAACTCTATCTAAGATGATTTAGGAAGCTTGCTTTAAATAGTGGCCACCGCAAGGTGTTGCAGACAAATATTTGAATGTTGCAGAAACTGAAAACTTGCTTGAACAATATTTTCTTTCAGAATCATGCAACGGTGAAGGCCTGTCCATTATGTTCGAATAGCACAATAATCCTACGCGTACTGCAAAGTCAATTTTTAAACGGCTTTTGGTTTATAAGTACATATTATCGATTAACTACCCGATTTGAATTTGATTGAAAACATAGGAGCACACTAACAAAAGTAGTGCGTGCAAGTGAAATGCAGTTCAACTGAACTACAGACACTACAAAGACTAGTTTTTTTTTCGTTTTTTTTTTCTTTTTCTTTTTTTTTCTTTTTTTTTTAAAGAAAGAAAGAAAGAAAGAAACTAGCAAATATAAGTTTATTCAGAAAAAAAAATTAGAAATTTTTCTCATAAATTAAACAATATTTTGCTCAGTTCAGTAAACTACTTTTTAAAGCAGTTGATTTACGTTACTTTTGTTTTATTCATAAATCCTATGGTCTGCTATTATTTTCATTAAATGAAATAACATAGTTTATAAAATAAAACTATGTGCACAGTGAAACTTTATTTCTTAACATCATGGGTGTTGGAACCGGAGGGGGGGGGGTCTGCGGCCCCCAGATCCCCTCATTATTTGGGGAGACAGAACCCAACATTTTGAGAAAAAAAAAATTTCTGTTTTATTTTCCACATGAGCTGTGGTTGCTCAAGGGATAGAGCTCACGCCTCCCAACGAGGTAGCCCGAGTTCGAATCCATGGTCGATTTGAATTCAGCACCCGGTTTGCTAGTGGTCAGGCTCAGTGACGTAAAATATGCTCAGATGATGGGCTAGAGTCCCCTTGCCGTAAAGCTAACCGCGGTGGTTTTTCGTGGTTTTCCTCTCCATGTAACGCAAATGCGAGTTAATTCATCTTCAGGAACAATCATTAAAAATTTCCCCAAGGCAAATTTCTCCCGATACTTGATCCAGGAGTTCCCTTGTAACCTGGATCGGGTTCAAAATTACAAGGCTATGGAGTTGAACATTGGTAACAGTGAACTCAAAATTGGGTCAGCTTTTTAGCGACGATTATGATATTTCCATGAAAGATAATCCATGTTTTTCACATAAAAAAAATTATTATCTAAAAATATTTATTATCCCAAAAAAATATTTATAAATACACGTTGAAAAAAAAAAAACGAACTGCATCAAAAGTAACAAATACCACTCTAACACTCTAACCTTTCTCTCAATTGAGAAATAAAAGGAATCAGATTTATCAAAATAGGAGGGATAACCGCAATATGCAAAAAATAGTTTAGTCAGGAAAGCGAATTTGAACTGTATAAAATATTTGGGGACCTGAGGCCGATTGCGGTCCTTTTCCCATTCATCTTTAGCGTGATCTTTGTGGTGCTTCGATGAGGATGTGGTATGTAAATAAAGTAATTTTCTGTTAAGCAAGAGATGGCTTGTTCGTAGAATTTGTTATTTAATTTAGCTATATGTTTGTCTATTCTATTGCATCTATTTTGAGGTCATGGTATCATTTCTTACGAACCATCTGGCTTTTGTTATCATTCTTAATATTTTATTCTGTCAGGCTTTTAATTTATTTAGCTGAGTTTGAGGAGAGCAGATGAAAGTTTAGGCCTCTTATTATTATCCATTGACAAAATGGGTGTTGTCTTGGGTTTGATGGAGTGCGCATCTTATTTACACGTCATTGCACTTTTCAGCTGTGTTCAAGAGTAATAGTAAACAGTGCCCATGCGTCGTTATTGCATGCGTTTCTATGGCAACAGCTGCTGTTTCATAATTTTTTTAGAATTTTTTCTTTTTTTTTTTCTTTTTTAATTTTGTTATGCATTAAGTTGGTGAGTTTATTTTTGAGATATGGGACCAGAGAGATCCCATAAATACTTCTTGGGTTGTAAATAAAAGAAAATTTCATTATTTTAACGATATTTTTCTTTTTAAACTATCCTAATTAAACTATCTGAGTTGAAATGGAATTTTAAGACTAGCTTTAATGAAGTATTACGATAAAAAATCTCCTTCTTCATTCTTTCCTTAAATGTTTTCAAAATAATTAATTAAATCTCCGACACTAAATATTTTTAAAGTAATTAATAGTTTATCGTTGATTAATATGTTTACAGTCGCTGATAAAATTTATTATTATTATGTAATTCTGAGCTATATTTTAAGATAAAGTTATTTAGAAAGATAGTGATAATCTTATTAATTTCACTTTTTGTGTGTGCATATTTTCTCAAATCTTGATGCGAATCGAAAATTCGCATATAATTATTAAATTCCTTTTTGCAAAGATATTTCTACATACTTAAAATTTTTTAATAATTATTTGATACATTTTATTGTTTTTTTGATAATAGTCGAAAAATTTTGAATTGTAAAGCACAATTTTTTTACATAACCTTAAAGTAGTATTAGTAAGTTATAAAATACAAAATATTAATGGAATCGGTCGAATAGATCACAAGAATCGAAACTTTATATATAAGACTTAAAAATAATAATAATAAATAAATAAAAAAATATAATGCATGTCTAACGACTTCGGCGATTTTCCTACTTTAAGTACACGTGAGGCGGAGCGAATATATTTGTGGATTTCTTCTTAAAAAATAAATAAAATAAGCATGTGCACATTAAGGGTTGCAAATTAATATTTAAGCAATGAAAAAGATAATTCTATCAAAACCAAAAGAATCATTGCTTAGAAAAATGGGTACTGGAAATACTAAACTTTAATTCGCGAAGAAAACAGATAGAAGTTGATAAATGATTGAAGAAATACCTGTAAGTTTCATTAAGCGATAGAAAACAAGTACTGATATTTTCATCCCACTTTCCACACTAGTGATTAGACAGATTTCAAAGCGATATTGTTTCTTTCTCGCTAAAATATTAATTAGTGACTTCATTTTCGTCCAAGATTCTGTAAATGTAATAAGGATGGTCATTACCGAAGAATCTCATAAAAGATGGCATTTCATTCAATAAAGCTTTTTAAAATAATATAATTTTACCGACAATTAGGACATATAAGTTTAAAACTTTGCTTATATTCTTATGTTTATTTATAATGAATAAAGCATGGAAATTTAGTCAAAACAGACATTTCAATGTAGATAAAAATTATACGTTTTAGTATAATTTTTATCTATATTGAATTATTATCTATATTATCTATATAGCATAATATTTAAAAAAATATATTTTACATACATAATTTTAAAAATAATGTACTTATCTTTGGCTCTTTAAATGCGACCTTTTTATTTAAAGGCTTGAACTCGAACTTTTTTTGTTTTGTGGATTTAACTTTTTATAATCCTTATCATAACCTGATGAACATTTCAGATTGAAATAACGAGCCATATTTCATACTTCTCCGAAAATATACTGAATTCAGACTGCTATTTAAAAAGTTTAATGTAAATTTAATATCGAAATGAAATTAATATAAAAATTGTTAGTTTGCAGTTAGTATATATGGCAAGTATAAACCAACCGGTTTATTGGTTAAAAAAATTTGCTTTCCTTATTTGTTTTGAGAAAATAGTTTAATAGTTTGTTTTTAAGAAAGTGCGAATACAAAATTTGTTGTACGCCATTTAATATTATTCATTTTTGATACAAAATTTTTGTCATTAATGATAGATTAACAATCCATATTTGCGTTTTCATTTAGTTTAAATTTAATATGGTCTATTAAGTTCTGATAACAGAAACATATTTATAAAAAAATTTTTTTATCAGAAACTTAAATTAAAATTCAAATAATTGCTACATTCATTAAGTTTTATGTTTTCTTTTTGAATCATTATTATTGTTCTACGTTATAACATTTATTTCTATTAATTTGAAAATTAATAAAAATTAGGTATAGCTAAAATATAATTATTAAAAANCTTGCACCATACGGTTTTCCAGAAGCGGGACGTTTTTTACTTCTCACATACTCAGAAACAGCCGCATCCCACAGAGCTTCATAGCCTTCATTTAAACTGTAAATCTTTCCTCGGGGTTTAATCTTAATGTCTGGATCAGTTAGGATAAATTCCCCAATGGATGGATCTAACATGAAACCATTAACTGGTCCACCAAGTGACAATACAAGCATAGTAGCACTTCCATACAAGCCATAGCCTGCAGCAACAATATTGCGCCCGCTTTGCAATGCATCTTTAGGAGAGGGTGGATCATTGGAATCACGGCGGTATATTGCAAATATAGATCCTATTGATACCAAACAATCTATGTTAGATGAACCATCCAAAGGATCAAAACAAACAATGTATTTTCCTTGTTGGGCGGTTTCAACTTCGATGACATTTTCATTTTCTTCGGATACAAGCAAGCAAGTACCATAAGATGATTTCATCATATTAATGAACAACTCATTAGCTAAAACATCTAACTTCTTTACCTCTTCACCTTGAATGTTGGTCTCCCCAGCCATGCCATATAATTGTGCAATACCAGCTTTCCTTACTGCTGTGGATATAGCTTTAATTGCTGTCATAATATTACTCAATAATTGCGTGAGGTCCCCAGTTGCTTCGGGGACTTTACGCTGCTCCGCTAAAACATAGCGGGTAAGTGTCATACAGTCAGTATCGATACCTTGATGCGTGCTTGACATTTTTAACAAAGTATTTGAAGAATTTAAGAGTTAAACTTTTAATTTAAATCCTTTGACTCTACGACCTCTAGCAACCACGAACGTCTTCACTTGATGTTGATAAGATATCAACAAATAGTAAAATAAAAACATAAAACAAGACGAAGTAGGCGGGGTTTTACTTAACCGAAACAGTTACGAATAAGAAGGCACCAAAGGGAGATAAACAAGAAAGGCCAAGAGCTAATGACGCGCTCTCTCGTGACGATATAAAAAAGTCCTTAAAGAGGTTTTAAGAACGAGTATTTAAAATATTTATTTAACTAAGGATTAAATGCGTCGTCATTGCTTCTATGGCGACCGCTGCTGTTTGATAATTTTTTTAGAATTTCTCTTTTCACTTTGAATTTTGTTATGCATTAAGTTGGTAAGTTTATTTTTGAGATATGGGACCAGAGAAATCCCATAAATACTTCTTGAGTTATTGTGAATAAAAGAGAATTTCATCATTTGAACGATATTTTTGTTTTTATTGTTTTAATTTAGAATCAGAAATTCTAACCAACAGTTCAAACTGAATCGTTTTCTATACTAATTCAGGTGAATATCACAAATACAGAGGTTTAAAAAAAAATTAGACTACAACCATTTTGCCAATAGGTAACCCATTTATTTATTTATTTACTTCATATTTTTTCTGGTTATAGTCAATAATTTACTTTACTTAATTTTTTTCTCATTTTTAGTGAAACGAAAATTACTCATTCATATTCAATTTATGCATGCACTGAATCGAATCAAGAACTAGGCTAGATGTCGCCTGCAAACCTGTAAATTAAATTATCTGAGTTGAAATGGAATTTTAAGGCTAGCTTTAAGGAAGTATTACGAGAAGAAAATCTTATTCTTATTTCTTTCCTTAAATTTTTTTGAAATAATTGTGGCGTAACTATCACTACGAAAATTAAACATCAATTCACTGGTATATAAGACATGCTAACTTAATTCAATCACGAGGTACCTTTTGATAGATGAAGGTTGGCATTGTCGGTAACTCTTCCCCCCATATTGGTGACCCGGACGTAATAGGATCACACCTATCTTGACAGTAACGCCTACTTCGTTGGATGGTCCACATTGAACAGTTGACTTGTTACTTGTGTTGTGATTATAGCATTGTCCACCTCCTTGCGTTACTGCATCTCAGTCTCGTCTCGATCATACACAACGTCACCCTGCATACACTCGACTGCTAAATGCAGCACAGGAGCGACTACGACCGTGAAAATAATACACCTCTCACATTCAGCACTAAAAAAAACCCGGTGACTTTATAACCAGCTCTCCCGATCTTTCACAAGTACAGCAACTAGTGGTACCCGTTCATCGAATTTTATCCCTGATAAAATTCTGGTGGGGGAGTATTGAGGCGTAACTACCACTACAAAAATTAAGAATTAAACTCACTAGTATATAAGACATGCTAACTTCATTCAATCACGAGGTACCTTTTGATAGATGAAGGTTGGCATGGTCGATAACTCCGCCCCCACATAATTTATTAAATTTCCGACACTAAATATTACTAAAATAATTAATAGTCAAGTTGATTAATATGTTTACAGTCTCTAATAAAATTTATTATTATTATTACGTAATTCTGTGCTATATTTTAAGATAAAGTTATTTAGAAAGAGAGTGTAATCTTATTAATTTTATTTTATTATTTTTTTTTTTGCATATTTTCCCAAATCTTGAAGCGGATCGAAAATTTGCATACAATTATTAATTTTTTTTTTACTAAGATAATTCTACATACATAAAATTTTTTAATAATTATTTGTTGCATTTTATTGTTTTTTTTAAACCGTAGTCGAAAAAATTTGAATTGTAAAGCATGCATTTTTTTCCATAAACTTGAAGTAGTGTACGAAATATTAAAGTAATCGGTCGAATCTTATAACAGTAATAGTTAACACTGTATATTATCTATGTAGCATAATATTTAAAAATATATATTTTACGTACATAATTTTAAAAATAATATACTTACCTTTGGCTCATTAAATGTGACCTTTTTATTTAACGGCTTGAACTCGAAACTTTTTCGTTTTGTGGATTTAACTTTTTATAATCCTTATCATAAGCTGATGAACATCTTAGATTGAAATAACGAGGCATATTTTATAGTTCTCCGAAAATATACTGAATTCAGACGGCTAGTTAAAAAAAAATTAATGTAAATTTAATATCGAAATGAAATTAATATAAGAATTGTCAGTTTGCGGTTAGTATATATGGCAAGTATAAACCTACCTGTTTATTGGTTAAAAAAATCCCCTTTCCTTATTTGTTGAGAGAAAATAGTTTAATAGTTTATTTTTAAGAAAGTGTGAATACAAAATTTGTTGTACGCTATTTAATGTTATTCATTTTAACTACAAAATTTTTGATACGAATGAAACATTAACAACCGATATTTGCGTTTTCATTTGGCTTAAATTAAATTTGGTCTATTAAGTTTTGATGACAGAAATATATTTGTAAACATTTTTTTTAATCAGAAACGTAAATTAAAATTCAAATAATTGCTACATTCATTTGGATTTATTTTTTTATTTTGAATCATTATCATTGTTCTACGTTATAACATTTATTGTTATTAATTTAAAAATTTATAAAAGTTAGGTATAGCTGAAATATTATTATTAAAAAAAATCCCGTCAACAGTTCATTATTTATATACATTCCTTAATTGTCATTCCAATCTCTTTTAAAGAAATAACCGATTTAGACTTATTTTTCAAGTTAATACTGAGATATACCTATTTTTCATTCGATAATCATCATAATTAGACATCATTCTTTTTATAAAAATCATTCGCATTTTAATATAATTTGAATTCTTTTTACAAATAAAACAAGAAGACGAATCTAGAATTTCTTGTTTTCCTTGGAAGGTGTTAATGGCCATTCTGAATGTTTCATGCTTAATCATATAGTCATTTTCTTTATATTGTGAGAAATTTTCAGCAACACGATGATTTATTATAATTAATTTTTTTGTTCGTTTCTTACGCTGCTACTAAATAAATTCTATTTGCCATTTTTATCTTTCTGAAAGCGGAACACCACGAGGCTTTTAATGAAATCATGGTAATAGAAACCGAAATTTTAAAAGAAAAAAAAAACAGTTATTAAATGTACAAAATAAATTCCCATGATTCACATTTATAATATATATATAAAAAAATTATAAATATTTTTTTAAGGTTAATTTGAAAAAAGCAAAATTTGTTTTTTTTTCTTTAATTTTTTTACTTACCAATACTTTGTTATTTTTGATTCATATCGTTAAACAGTAGTTATTTTTTTTATTATTATTTTCTTTCAATTTTGTACCTCTATCTTTGTTAACTATTGAACCAAATTTACAGATACTTCAATAAAATAAAAGAGAAAAGCAATTTTTAAAAAAAATTATTTTTATTTAAAATATGTACAAGAAGGAATTGACTTTGACAGTCATTGTTAATAGATATTGAATACAATCACAGCAAGAATAAGATATTTCCTTCTTATCAGTTGGGAAAATCAAGTAAAGTAAATGATGAGCTAATCTTATCATTGATTTAAAACCAATAACTTCAAAGAAAACGTTTTGATGAAATTTTTATCGAAAGTCAGAAAATGCTCTGATACTACTATTTGTTGCTACATACTTCTTATACACAGATATGAAATAAAATAAATTATTATGAAGTTTTTGACTTAGATGGTTTAAGCTACGATCAAGTTTAACCACTTTAACTAATCCTTTAAATCTAGGCTTATTTTTACTCTTAAATATTCTTTAGTTTTATTTCTAAAGAAATATGATGTGTTCTTGTATTTTAATTTCTAAAAGTTCTTGTTAGAAAAATTCAAGAGGGAGATTATTTCTTGAGATGTGATCAGTATGTATAAGTTATTCCGTAAGATTTTCTCTCGCATATTTTAAAAATACGTGAGAAATACGTCCTTTTGAATAAACTATGTTTCATAAATTTCTGAGCAAAGTTAAAATCCTCTCGGTTAAATTGTTGTAATCAAAATGATTGTGTTGTTGAAGAATTTCATTATATTTAATTATAATGAAATTCTAATTGAATAATGAAATTTAATTATTTTCATTGGTTGTTAAGAATTTCATTATATTTAATTTTAACCAGAAGAATTTGATTAATTGATGCTACCAAAAATGACATATAAAGAAAGCCATTTCCCAGTGTTAACATCAACCTATCAGAATTTATAGATGCTTTTCAAGCTATGAGTTAATATTACTCAAAGAAAAGAGAACGATTTTTTACAACATACCATTTACAAATTTGTTGCTAGAAAAAAATTAATTCGAATTTAACCCTGCTTTGCGGTACCGATATTGTAAGACAATCTTTCTACATCGATGTAAGATGGTCCTTCTACATAGTAAGGATCATCTTTTTTAGGATCCCATTGTCCATCGTTGTATCTAGCTGCTTGGGGAGCTGGTCTATACTGTTGGGGTGCTGGAGCACTGTACTGTTGAGGTGCTGGAGCAGCGTATTGCTGGGGAGCTGGAGCAGAGTAGTGCTGGGGAGCTGGTGCGGCGTATTGCTGGGGAGGAGGGTTGTAAGCTGGAGCTGGTTGTGGAGCTGGTCCTGGAGCAACTCCAGCAGCACCATTGGGGCCAAGATCTCCCTCAGCCATGAAACCTGCTTTGCCTGCTGTGTAACGGATGATTCTTTGGCGACCATTTTCATCCATGATCCCATAAGCGCCTTTGACTGTACCGTCTGGGAGACGGGTTTCTTCCCTGAAGCTTTGTCCCAAAGGTCCTTTGCCAGTGTCATAGCCAAATTTGTAATCTCCAGCCAGATCTTGGCCAATGTTTACGTAATGAACTGGGGCCGGTGGGTGATAGTTTCTGGGATATGGAGTTGTCAGCTCATTCTGAGAACGATACTGAGCAAAAGCCAAGGCAAATAGGGAAAAACTGAGTGCCTGAAACAAATAAAGACAAAATTTGTACTATTTTCAAATTTCCTTAAAACTAGGTTTTTATACTCAACTCCTCAAGTTATTATCTATCACTTAAAAAATTTATCTAGAAATTAATTAATTATAAGTTTATGTTATTTCCTTTACACTAATTTTAGAATCCAGAATAAAAAAAATTAAAAATACGTAATGATATAGTATAAGAATAGATCGAATACATAGAAAAAATATAATAATACAGAAAGAAATTTTAGAAAATCCTAAAAATGTTTTTTAAAATAATTCAAATTGAGGAAACATTTTCTTTTTTAAGTGATTGTTAATAAGTATAACTGTAGGTAAAGATTACGAGAAGTTTTTAAAGTTTGTTAAGATTAGCAATAAATTCATAAGGATTATTTTTAATTTTATCAAACTATTGTTGGAAATTAAAAAGCAAATTAAATTTGGGAAATTAAACTAATCCTGGACTACGAATAATTTTTAATATAAATAATAATTTTTATTTCTTCTGTTACAAATTACTATACAAATAAGAGTATTTTACAAGCAAATGTAAATAGTTCACTATTTAAAAATGAGTTAATTTTAAAATTTGAAACAAAAAGAGTTAATATTTTTAAGCAAACATTAACAATTTTTAAAAATAAAGGTGAGAAATAAAAAATCTTGGAACAACATTAAAATTGCTTCAGCAGTTTTAATGACAGCTCTCAATGTTACTGAATAAATTACATGAAATAAACTATATAGACATTTAATTTTTAAAACATCTTCTGCTAGTTTTGCTTCATGTAAAAAAAAAAAAAAATTAAAATTTTAATAATACTAAAATATTTAATTTTAAAACTCTTATTTTTGCTAAAAGTGACTTAAAAATGACTTAAATTATTAATGCTATAAGAATAAATGTAAGCCGTAAGCAGTAACTGTCATCATTGATTTTAGAAATTGATTTACTAAAGGGCTATTATAGCTTCATGTCATTTTAAATAATCGTTTTAATCAATTGATAAATATCAATAAAGTATTTCTTTATTAAAGTAATATTTTTTCGCAAAGCATAATTAAGGAATATTTTTCTCTACTCAATACTATTCGAATCAAAGAATATTTTCGAAAAAATTCATTAAAGGGATAAATATTTTTACATTGCCATAGGTTTTTAATTTATGTGTTTTGTTAAAAAATAGAAAGAAAATTCCATTAAATTGGTAAACCAAACGTAAATAACACAATTACACATAATAACTGGCTATTGTAGCAAAAATATAACCTCATTTAAATTATAATTGCAATAAACTTTGCAACATATCATGCTTATACTGTCAAATGTAATCTATTGTAAGATAAGAGACCTTAAATTTGCTCAAATTGTAGGGAAAAGTAGTTTAAATTTTGACAATTGATAATTTAAAGTTTTAATTAAGAAAAATAGTTGAAATTTTATGCTGTCCTGAATTCACATTATTAACTTACTTTTTAAGTTATTTGTTTTATGTTAAAAAATATAATTCCAAAACAAAAAAGAAACATAAAATTATATTATTTTCTCTTTTGTTACAAATTAGATACTTTTCAAACTTAATACCACTTCTCAAAAACATGTTTTTTAAGAAAAAGTTAAATTTTTTTAATTCTTTTCTGAGCAGAATGAAGAATATGAAACCAATAATTGCTCAAAGCGTTATTCTGAAATCAAAGATAGAATTAAAGTCATGCAATGATTTTAATGTCCTCTCTTTAACAAATGAGCCCCGAAGAAGTAAAATAGTAATTAGATATACATTTTGTCTTTTTTTTAACTATGTCATTATATATTAGAAAATTAACTACATTCCATTTTCAAATTAAAATATAATTTTTACATCTATTTCTTTTTCTCAGATTTGATTGCTTACGTTCTTTCGTTTTTGAAAATATGGAATATAAGTTGATGAATTGAAAAATATAGGCTAGTGAAAATGTTAATAATAGTTAACACTAGAAAAATGCAATAGATTGCTTTCAACAAATTCAGTACGTCTTTGATCAACTTTAAAAAGTAAAAAGACGTATGCAATCATTTTCTTGAAACAAAAGAGATCCAAACGAAAAATATTCAATTTTATCAACGTTTTTAACAGCACAAATTAATTTTCCAGTTTAACAAGAAGTGAATTACAAGTCTTTCTACTTCATAGTAAAACAAATCACTTTTTTAAATGACAGCAAAAATAAATATGTGTTCAAAGTAATAAATAAATTACATTACATTTCTGAATAAATTGCATTATATTTCTTATAAGTTTAACACCTGAAATATTTTAAGAAATGGCGATTTTATTACAACAAATTTAAAGTCCATTTTAGTGATCTGCTAAACTTAACTTAGCACAATTTAATTTTTATCATGAAGTTACGAATTTTAAAGCATTTAATTTCCCTAAAACTTAACAAAGTGAAACTATTTAATAAGAACTCTTTTAAAGAAACAACAATTGGAAACTATTCCTCTAAGAATATTTAAAACTAGGGTAGTTGAAAAATAGTATAAATATGTAGTTTATATTAAGATATGAATAAAAATATTCAAATTAATTAGATATTTAAAGTTCGAAACAAAATTTACAAAAAATGCTTAAGGCTGATCATGATTTTTACGTACTATTTGGCAAAACCATTTAAAAATAAATTAAATTAAAATAACAAATTTATGACTTTTATTTGATTCAAATTAAATAATTTGATTTTTTTCCAGTTTTTTTTTATCAAAATGATTATAATTTTTTTAAAAAAAAAAGAAGAAGAAGAAACACCAAGTTTACATATAACAAACCGGTAAACCTTTGACATTTTCCTAAATTAACTAAAGATTTTAGAATTAATAAACTGCTTTTGGACTGCCAAAGGAAAAAAAGAAAAAGCGTGAAAACTAACTTTCGAAAAACAAAACTCGTAACACAGTAAGGCAATAACATTTTCACTATTTTCTAAATTAAATGCAGCTAATAAAATTATCCTATTATTTATTGATAAACAGATTGATAATTTTTTGATAATTTATTAAAAAACCAGTTAACGTATTGACAAGTTCCTAAAGCCAATTAATAACTGCAAAATTAATAAAGCCAATAAAATCTCTGGATTTTGAAGAAGAAAAATATTAATTTCAGAGATATTTTCACTCACCAATTTAATCATGGTGTCGAATTTCCAAAGAAACGGTGAAAGGATGAAAATGATTTTCAGAATTAGTGATCCACTTCGGATATCTGGATTTATATATATACTGACTGAGCCCCTCCCAAACCAAACGAGACAGAAGCATGGTTGGAATCTGGGTCAAGTTTAAAACTATTTTTCTATGCGAAGTCCTAAACAAAAGTGTTTTTCCATCTGTCTAGCCTAAGGAGTTTGGATGATTCGTAAAGGACGCATCGATGATCCTGGTGGCAGTTCGAAACGGCAGGGTCATCATGGACACTTTCACTTTTAATCGGAAGGTTGGAAAGCCTCAGTTAGGCCATTCATAAAAAGTTGACCAATTATTCGGTTGATGTGAGAGTAATCTCCAGCTTGATCGATTCGTTTATTTGTATTTTTTATTTCGTGGTTCATTCATTTATTAATTTTGAGAGTTCTGCTGTTGCTTTTATTTCAATATTTATGAGCACTGTTGCGGTTTAAATTTTAATGGACGCAATACATATAATTGTTTCTTTAAAATTAAATATGTTTTATTTACTGCAGACTTATGCCCTGTTAATAAGGGGGAAACTATACAATATTAGCTGAATACCAGTTCTTCAGACGGTGCAACAAAAAAATCGAAATAATAAATGAATTTGTGTTTGTTAACACTTAAAATTCGAGTACATAGCTGAAAAGTAGCATAAACTCAAATAATTATAGAAAAAAAAATCTTATAATTTATAGCTTTTCTCTTTGTTTACCGGAAACACATTATAAGAAGAGAAAAAGAAGATCAATTTGTCAAAAGAAAGCTTAAACCATATTCAGTATCATTAGACACCAAAAATAATGCTATTGATCATGGCCAAAACGTGATTGTCAAAATTTGCTACAATGAACCAATTTTCCAGGTTAATTTACACTTGATATAATTTTTTTTAATTTTAATTACCATTAATTTTTAACTTATATAGGTTCCTAAAAACATGTTTTAAAAACGTATCTATAAACAAAATAAACACATGGCTTCAAATATGTTTTCTAACTACGAACTCATTGATGTCACCTTATATTGGTTTAGCCTAAACTTACTTGGATTTAATGTTCAAAGATAAATAAACATTAAAAAGCGTGCAAAAAAGAAAAGGAAACTTTTTGTGAAACTTGTTTTTGTTTCAACAGAGTTGTAAGCTAGATAACATCACTGATGTTATCTTTTTGAAAAATTGAAAGCAGCAATTTAATTTATAACTATCTTTAATGTTAAAATTATGAGAAAAATTCACTTTTCAACATTCCTCCTGAACGAACTAAGGGATACATTTGAATGCTNTTTTTTTTTTTTTTGTTTTTTTTTTTTTTTTTTTTTTTTGATAGTGGTCTAAAATTGCTCCTTGCACCCGCTTTTCGAATTTCAGAATCCTAGCACAAACCATTCTAAAGCTATGAGAGAGACGTCCAGACAAAGAGGCACACACAAACCTTTCTTCTTAATAATATGGAGATCAAATAAATAATTTAAATGAATTTGTGTGTATATTACACACATAATACTTCATAAATCTTTATGCAATTTACCTTGAGATTTCATTATTACCGATTAGTAGGTGCAAGGAAAAGCAATATTCCTTATTATTTGAGTGGAATAATTTAAATATGTTTCATTAGTAGTCAAATGCTGCATTTAACAAAAATATGACCAATAAAACAAAATGTATGCCTAATTTAATAAATAATAAAAGTATTCGCATAACAGAACAGGCCATTATCAGTTGAGAGGGTCATGGAGGTTAAATCTACGCAATAGTCTGACCAACATCATGATGGTGGCAAGCAAGGCTGATAAACTTGGTATTTACCAATCTGAAGTTGATTGCACTTCAAGTCGCGATCGGGAATAGAACCCTAGCCCTTTACGATGATAACATAGAGACGTTACGACTATATTCAAAAATAATTTAAATTATATACATAATTAATTATATAAGCTTTTTAAATAAGCTTTATTTATGTAAATTGTCTTAGTTTCTTACTGTTTGAATGGAATTAGTTTGATATATTTCATTGATAATCAATTTTAAAATTTAACCCTGCATGTGACCGTGACAAAAGATGTATTAGTTATAAATAAGGCGAACAGTTGCAGATTACATTTAAATTTCTTGAATGATTGAACAATTTAACTTCGTTCCTTTTTTAACTAACTGATGTAATTTTTCATCAGTTTCATTTATGGTCTTTTACAAACTTCTTCCTATCACATGTAGACTGTATTCACTTTTCATGAAGCAAAAGCAAGAAGGAGAGTTTTTATATAGAAATATTTATCCCATTAGGTGAAATATGAATGGTTAAGGCAAAAATTGATAGATTGTAATAAATCTTTAAATGTGTCACTATTATTTAATAAGGAATTTAAATTTTTTAACATATTTCATTTTCAAGTTTCTGGTTGTTAAAATCTTAAATATTCTTGAATCATTTCTGCTTACTTTCACATTAAAATGATTTTAAAACAAAGATTTCGATTTTTTATAAATACATAAGTATCTTTAATTTTTTTTTTTAAATTTGTAGTTTTCCTAGTCATTGCACTAGTCTGAGTGGTGTGCAGAGATGGAAGGATGACCGGGGCAAACTTCCTGATTAATGTCCCTGAAAAAAGGAGTGTAAAGCTTTACATGGGAGAAAAATTTTAACGTCAAGAAAAAAAGGTTGGAAGCATTAGACCGTTTCATATATTTATGCTTCATTATATTATACTGGATGCCTCGGCTGTTGCCTGACTTGGCACGCCATAGACTCCTCTTTCAAAAGACATCTAGTCAAGAGTTTTACCCGGGCATCGACACATGCCACTATATTGTACACTCTGAATACTGTAAAATATATTTGTGCATGTTAAAAATGATTTGCGAAAATTTTTTGCAAACTTCCAAAATTGTTAGATAAAAACCATATTATAGTGTAAGTTTATCCTCCCTACACTTATTACGCGTTTTAAACACATTTTTCGTGCACTATAAATGCATAAATACGTACATATTTTTTATGAGAGTCATATTTTGATTATTTTATTTTTACATTTTCTAAAATGACCCTTTTGAAAAAAAAATGGTAGTTTTCTTCAACGAAGATGGAAGCGTTAATACATATCTTTTAAATCTACTTCCATATAAAATCAGCGTTTTAATTAATTGGCTACTTGTAACTAGAGAAGAAGAATACGTGATCAGGCTCAAACATGTGATTTGAATCACGTGGTCTAAACACGTGGCTGTGCTTGGCGGGTTAACGTTACAGCAATTAGGCTTGGTTATCACGCCGAAGTAATTTTGGGACCAGATGTGTGTCGAACCTAACTGTGTCCCATGAACTAGTACCTCGATTTACCTACGATGATGTCGTTTGCAGGTATCCAACTAAATAATATATAACTATGTTTCGATATTTTTAAAACGATATTTTAAGCTAAAAAAAAACTTCTTATTTTTTATATATTTTTAGCAGACGACAATCATTGTTCTAATTTCTAAAAAGAGTACGTGCTTCGTATACATTTTAATTAATTTAAATTTATATTATAATAAAACAGGTACTGGTAGAATAAGTAAATTATAATGATTTTATTTAAAATATTTACCAAATTATTTATATTTTATTTTAATAATTTGGTTAAATTATTTGTTGTAGATAATAATATCATGAAATATTTTAACACTATCCAAAGGAACATCTTAATGAAATTCTAAATTTAATTTAATGACGTATTAACTGTTTCCTTCTTGTACTTGGTAGAGCATATTAAGGTGGAATTAATTAATGTTTTATTTTACAATTTAAATAAAATTCGTCATAGGAGAAAAATTTAACTCCTTCAATCACATATCTCGGACACATAAAGCCGGTATGAGAAAATTAGAAGGTGAAAGCCTACGCACAGAAGTTATTTTGGCATCATAATAAATTCAATTATGGACAGAAAATGATCCAAGGCCATCCATCACGTTTGGAAGTCCACTTAACAAGCGTGTTTCCCTAGATTTCGGGAAACAGTTATAACTTGAATAATTCGAACATTCGTTCTGTTATTTAATGAATATAGAATGGAAGAAAGAATGTTTGATTAGCATCGATTTAATCAACCGGTTCGGATGAGGAAATTGATACGAAACTATCTTATCTAAGAGTCTATTTCCCGTTGATTTCAAAGAACTTTCTTTGAAGAATGTAAATAGCTGTAGGTAAATGTTTTCCTTCGTTTGACGTAAGAGCAAATGCGAGACTGCATGTTACGTTACCTTAATTAAGGCTGGTTTTTATTATTTTAATTTACGCTAAAGGGTACTGATAATATTTCGAAGTCATTTGCATTATAATTATGCTTCGTTTGTTAAAATAACTGAATTTAAAGAACAAGGTTAAAAACAAAAAGAATTTTAACATATTTCATTAGTTTTAGAGTTTGAAAATAAAATGTTTTTTGCCATTTTTTTTAAAAAATGTTTATTACCTGCATTTGTCAAACAAATCAGAAAACGAAATTATTTACACTATTACAACTTATATTGCAATGATTTTAAAATCAGGCTGCTAATTTTTTCTCATTTATTTTGAATTTTATAAGGTTAAAAAAAATTTATAGCAAAATTTTTTTTAAATAATTTGTAAAAGACAAAAAAAATGCGTAATAATAAATAAAAAAATAATAATAAAATTAGTAATTGTTCAATTCATTTTAGAAATAATTCTCAAAGCAAATAACTAGAACGAAGATTTTATTTCAGAAAATTTTAATTTGAAGTTAACTTGCGAAATCCTTTATATGCTATATCACTTATTAATTTCAATACACCCATGAGTTAATTTTTTTTCTTCAATTTTTGATCAATGCAAAAAAAACTACTTTAATGCAATGCTCACGATGACAGCTTTTGCNTATAATTGCATAAAAATAATACTTTTTTAAATTAGACTGTAGAGCAATTGAAACGATAGCTTTCGAGAAATGTATCTTACCAATCGTTTTCATTCTGTTGCTAATACTATCAACATTGAAATAGTAATAATAACAGATAAATTTTTAAAAAAAAGAACAATTTTTTGTAATAAGTAGACTATCATGCAACAATGTCAGATACATAAAAGTCGCA